ATACGTGATAAACTGCCAACTATAAATAAATTGGAGTCGTATTTTTGCGATCTTGGAATTTGTCAAACTTGATTCGTTCTTTCGCACTTGAGATTATTTTTAAGCAAGATATCGCCGTTTAAAAAATCGCAATGTCTGGGCAAAATACGAACAATTGAAATTTATTTTATTGCATTCGGCTCCGTTGGTAGTTTCAGAATGAAAATGGGTACATCGCGGATCGCGCGCACAATTGATTGCGTGCGGCTCCGTCGGTAGTTTCAAAATGGGAAAAAAAGGTACATCGCGCGCACAATTGACTGTGTTTCGATTTCGCAGTTACTACTACGATGAAAACCTGACATAACACCAAATTTTGTGATTTACAATGTCTATAAAAGCGTTTTCAATCTGAGGCGAGTCTGCTGAAACCAAACGTGTGATCTTCCATTTTAAGTTTTAGTTTTAATATTTTAGAATGCCGCTTTTCAATCAAGAAATGTTAGTTGCGGATTTACCTCTTTATTAATTATTATTTTTAGCATTTCATCGTCGATGACTATAATATGGTAACATATTTTTCACATTCAACTGATAATTCCCCACAGAACAAAAAAGCAATTAACGTCGTCATTGTGTAACAATACATGTATATGCCGATCGACCCCTAATTTATTAGTATGTTTGTCAAGTGTCAAATTTACAGCTTAAGTATATATATATAATTTATGCTTAAAATTTAGTTTTATTTATGACTTGCATCAACCCTATTAAAAAAGGTTCAGCATTTAAATTGAGTAAAGTACTTTTAACTTGCTCAGGAATATTAATCTGAAAGTAACAATTTTAACATTTATTTTGGGGCTCCGTGAATAATATTCAACCTTTTCAAGGGCTCCGCAACACCAAAAGTTTGAGAACCCCTGGCCTATTTGATTCACCAGAATGTCACAGCATTCCTTTGCAGACAAAATCAAACGCTGCGTTGTTTGCCCGCGGCGTAAAGAAGCACTTCATGTGTCGTCGTATTTTATTGTTTCCCGGATACGAGATACAGCATCGCAGAAGTCTGAAATACACGACTGCACAGACGCTCCATCCATTAGCCTTGACTGCAATGCGCCGTATAATACATCCACGTGATAGAATATTGTGGAGAAAAAAATGAAAACTCACCATCTTCTAGCAGACGCTTTAGACCTATCGCCACCCTCACAGAGCGTTCGTCCCAAACCGGAGAGCTCTGAATGCCATTGAAACACTCAATGAGCTCAGACCTAATTTCGGACACGCCCTGCACCATGCGTGATTGGAAGTTCCAACGTGTTGGTGCACAAGCTGGGAGACGGCGGCTACATATCTGGCGAAGGAGGTCAGAGCGCTTCGGCGAAACGGAAAAAAATGAAGCAAACCCCGAAACATTTGCAAAAAATATACGGACGAGAGGGGTATCAAGACACATATTTTTAATAACGAGGTTAAATTGGTGTGTATAACAATGTAAAAATTGCGCACGAGGAAAATCTTCTTTTATATAAACTTGAACACCATGTTTCGACCCACTCATGACTGCCGCGCCGTCATAAGTTTGAGCTATCGATTTTGATTTCGCGTTGTAAGGCTGTAACACTTCTTTCAGTACAGCCGATATCCCGCAAGCCGTGCGATCAACGATTGGTACAAAGCTGTGAAATCTCTCGGTAGGTTTACCATCTTTCACAAACCGAAAAATCACAGCCAGTTGGGAAACGCACGTGATGTCAGTTGTCTCGTCATACTGAATCGAAAGGAACTGGCAATTCTCAATTTCCAGAGCCAAATGTTGTAAATAAATTTTATACATTGAGTCGAGCAAATCATTTTGGATATCCTTAGATGTCCCTTTCGAAACAGTTGCGGCATCAAGATGATCTCTCAATACTGTATCTAGGGATGCGGTGTATTCCACCTTATCCAAAAATACCCCTCTATTAGAAGAGCCAGCCCGTTCATCGTGCCCACGGAGGGACAGCTCGTGACAACCAATGAACTTCAAAACATCTATCAATCGACCGAGAACATGGCGGTTTTTCTCGACGTTTTGGTTGTGCCGACGAATAGAAACCGCGCGTCCTTCATCTAACTGTGCTGCAATATTAACATTTCCGAATGTTCGGTATTTTACTGCATTGTCCAGATGCTCCATAGAAGATTGATGATCCCTGGCACGCTCGGAAAGATGTTTAAGAACTCTAAAACCAAATTTACACCAACGTGAGTCACGGGCGGTAGCAAAAATAGGCAATAAAAACAAAAAAGTGCATTTATGTCCTCGCTGTAACACAACCATTCGTGTTTTTTATACCAAGTTTCTGCGCAGAATGTACGCCGACGCTTTCCTCCGTCATAGGATTGTTCCAGTGAACAATTTTTTGGTTGATAAGGCCCAAGACGTTGTACCTCTAATTTTTGTTCCAGCGGCAGCTGCGAAAACGGAGTGCGAAGTAGTGCATCAACCTTATTCATTATGAGGTCTAAGGCTAAGAAATGCGAAGCCGGAAAGAAGTGAGGAGCTCAAAAGGAATGTGGAAAATCGAAAGCAAACGGACTAAAGGTCTCTAACTGATTCAAATAGCGAAACAAGCGACAAAAACGAAGGCGAGGAAACTATCAACTCTTCGAGCAACCAACGAACGAGAACGAGCATTGCCCCGGTTGGCCCTATTGACGCGCCGCCACTGATAATTTGTATTGTAGTTCTGTCAGCTTGTTAAAATAGGTTCTGTGCAAGTAGCGATACTTTCATCAGGAATTTTATAATAATTTGATAAAAAAATGTTATAATATTTTGGTCTTATTTGGTTGTTGATTTATCGAGTGAAGTTGGATGACTTTAACCTTAACTTCGTATATGTTGACCATACCGCCGAGCCGAGTTATCCGAAAATAATTACTTTTTAAGAAGAATGGTCATTCGTTTTGCCGTTGCGAAAGTTTGGTCCGAATTATTGAGCATCGTTTTTTTTAATCAGCTGTTTAACGATCGCAGGTTTAAATCACTTGATAAGAACATACATCGATAGAACTCTGGACACAAAATGGCTGGTGTGACGTCACACGAGCGCTCATAACTTTACCAATGCATGTCCTCACTTGGTTTATAGCACTGAACTGGAAATATATAATATATTTATATATCTCTGTGGTTTATAGTCACTTTGGTCTTGAATACCTAGGCTACATCTGACGTCACTGAGGAGCGTATGACCAAAATATTCCGTTTCAGAAGTCCGGCTCTCCTTTAGCTTCCGTAATTTCAGAATTTGGTATCCATCAAGTTCGAAAGAGTAGAGCACCGTATCTCTACCGGTACCGGTACCGTACCATATCGTTCTGTTAGGTGATTTGATTTTTGTCGGGATGTGAATTGTGAGTTAACAGTGTGCAGTTGTGGTGTACCGGTACGGTACTTATTGCTGTATTGAGGATCTGATTGCGGACTTCTTTCAGCAAAAGACGCAATTTTGGTTATGTGGCGCCCGACGCATGTTGCGATTGATTCAAACCGAATGTTGAGACATCTTGGAATTGAAGAACTGTGCCCTACTGTATTTCAGTATTTACTTATGTCTGTAAGTACCGTACCGGTACCCAGCGCATGTCACTACATACGGTACCGGTACGGTACTGATATAAGCCTGTACAGCTGTAAGCAGGGATGGGATGGCCAATACCGAATAGTTCACTATTTCGAATAAATTCGAAATTATTATTTTCGAATATGAAATTTCGAATACATTTAAAAATAAATTCAAGTGAAAACATATTTTATGGCATGAATCAATTGCATACAATAAACAATGGAATTCCGTAACTGTTATCTACAACCTGCCTATTTACCAGACATTTTATGTCCGCAAGTTGCCTGATATTGTAGTATTGCTTTTCATATTTCAGTAGGGACAAAACTTTGAATCAAAAATTAATTATAATGGGTAGTTTCCACAGCATTTTATGTCCACAGATCACCATGATATTTTAATACACGATAGCAATGCTTTTATTTTTTTCATAAGTTGACGCAATCACGGGGTATGTTAAACAGAATTAAATTAATATGGCAAGGCATTTTAATTGCTGATATCTAAATATTTTGCGCTACAAAAAAACATCCTAGTAAAAAGTCGATACTTCTAACTAGTCTATCATTATCAAAATCGGTTGCCAAAAAGCGAAAAAAACGTATAAACTATATTTCCTAATAACTCGGACTAATTTATTGGGTGTTGTAAGTTGTAACAATTGTGGTTTTGAATGATTTTAAATTTTTCGATGTGAAGAAAATCAATGTATAAATTAGAAGCCTTGCAGGGTAATAGCGGCAATGCCAATCATGCAACAGTATGAGGCGCACGCTCGCACAGGATATCACAAACAACTAAAGTTCCGATTCTATTTCATCATGATTACGATACGTTACAAAGCGCCAAAAATCGTTCGAAGATTTCACTTTGACACCTCGCTGACGGCGAAGAGTGGCTACTATTCAGAATTATTCGAAAATCAGCCGGAAAGGTCAGAAGGTATTCGAATACTTTGATATTCGAATGTTTTCGAATATCCGATTTGTTTTGGACAACCCTGCCGAATCCATTGGGTAATTCAATCTGGCCCGCCTGATGTTACCACAACCAAACCGAAATAAACTTTTGATGTTTTAGCTAAAAATAGCTCAGGGAATTTGTTGAGATAGCAGTTAAATTTAGTTTTGGCACAAGGCATATTGTTTTCCACCTTTGCTTTGTAACACTGTGAATATTGTTCTCAAAATGTTACTTTTTACGGCACACTTACATGGCCCGTCAGTCTAGGTGGGCAAAATTTTTGGCCCCTGGTTCAAAAACCTTGTCCATCCCTGCCTTAGATGCTAAAGCTTTTCATTTTCAACTCTTTCTGTGAAGTTGATAAGGCAAGGATCATATTACCTTGAATTGAACTAAAAACTACTAGAAAAAATAATTCCATTATAAAATGCTGAACGTTTTTGTTTATATTTACCAGCAAATTTAAGTATTTGATTCATTGTAAAATACTGATATATCGGAGTATGGGAGACTACAATCAACTTCGTCAATATGTGCATCAGTTGATGAACACCAATGGATATACTCATATTCCAGAAGCTTCTAGTGATGCTGCCAATGTAATAAGACATTATCCAGACCTTAAACCAAAAGATGAAATGTTCACATTTAACAATGGTTCAAGAAGAAAATTAGTTCATCTTGTTGGCACTATTCCTGTTAGGTATCGAGGTGCAAGTTATAATATCCCTGTGGGTATATATTTGATGAACACCCATCCACATGCAGCTCCACTCTGTTTTGTAAAACCAACTCCCACCATGCAAGTTAAACCAGGAAAGCATGTTGACATGAACGGGAGAGTATATTTACCGTATTTGAATGAATGGAGACCAGGACAACATGATCTAACTGGCTTGGTACAGGTCATGACAATTGTGTTCGGAGAAGAACCACCTGTTGTCTCTCGGCCAACTCAAGCACCTCCTCAGAGAGCTCCATATCCTGGTGTTAATCCGCCATACCCACAACCCGGTCCTGGATATCCACCTCGTGGTCCACCCTCTACTACGTACCAGCCTGCTAATCCACCTTATCCAATGGGAACATCACACCCTCCCTATCCAACCAACGCAAATTCAGCTTATCCACCTCACAATGCAACCCCATACCCTTCTTACCCAAATGCTATGTACCCACCTGGCCCCGCTCAACCTCCACCCGGACAAAATACCCCTTATCCTGCTAATCCAGTTACTAATAAACAAAGTCAATTATCAGATGATATGGTGAAAGCTTCACTAAAATCTGCAGTCAATGATAAGTTGAAAAGAAGAATGCGTGAAGCACATTCACAGGCAGAATCTGAAATGTCTTCCTTAAAACAAACCGAAAAGGAATTGAAAGATGGGCAAGTAAAAATTCAAAGTATTATAGAGAAGCTTGAGTCTGAAACAGCACAGGTAGATCGTAATATAATGATACTGGAGTCAAAAAATAAAGAGATTGAAGAAAAAATTGAAGCGATGCAGAACAAGCAAGATGAACTAGATGTAGATGAAGTCGTTTTGCCAACAACTCCACTCTATAAGCAAATCTTGGAATCTTTCGCAGAAGAACAAGCTCTAGAAGACACAATATATTATCTTGGTGAAGGCTTGAGAAAAGGTTCTGTTGATTTGGATGCTTTCCTTAAACATGTAAGAGCACTTTCACGGCAACAATTCACCCTTCGGGCCACTATTAAAAAAGCTAGAACAACTGCTGGTCTTGCGGTTGTGTGAATCTTCAATATAACTTCTAAATTGTATAATAGTAATTATTTAATAATGGAGTGAAACTAATAACTCTTAAATATAAAGTAGTTTTAATCTGTACAATTTTGAATGTTGTCCTGTTTGGATACTGTTTCTAAAACATGTTCACTTAGAATGTGTAGGAAAGTGCTTTTTTGCCATGATTTTTTGAACGCGATCATCACTTCAGTGGTGCAACTGTGCACAATTAATGTGCATCTTGCTACAAATGCCTCCATCATAAGTATTGTCTTGTAACTGCCAAAATCATCAGCTCAACTATACAATGCAGTCAATTCATGTGACAATCTATTAGAAATCATTTTGAAGACTTGTGTTAGTAATTCAGCAACTTTCAGCAGTACTTCTCAGATCTAGCTATGAAAATGGCAATTACTATGGTGTGCAACGCACATTAGGCGACTGAAATTGAATCGGCTTCAACCAAGAAACTGATCCAATGCAAAAGCTTTGCCGTCTGTGTAATATCTTGATGGCAAATTAATGACCACAGCGTTCGATTTCCATAAGAGTCTGTAGCGTGATAACTGGAATTAACAGTGCAAACTTTGAAATTTCAGGATCTTGTTTTGATGTTTTATTACATAACCTATTGGTCTTCATTATTTCCTTCCTATACCAAAACTCATTAATATAATTATCATTCTTTGGTGTTGCGCTACAATTTTCGATTTAAAAGCTGTTGACTTGGCAAACTGGTTGCTGAATGAAGTATAAGCCATTTTTATGTAATTAACTTAGAGTCAAATAATTAGAAAGTTTACGTGTGTTTATTACTTTTATTTACCTAATAAACTTTGTCAATAATGCAATAAATGAGAGTTGTAACAGAGGAGTTATTACGGATATTGCATGCACAAGAGTATACAAGTATATACGCAACTGATACTACTAGAGTAGTACAATTGGCAGGAAGCCCTCGCAACCATGTAGTATTATAGTAGTGCATTACACTTTAGAAAATACTGATTGGTAAGAGACTTAAAGCAGTTCAAGCTTCAAAACAGCTAGCAAGGTCTTGGAGAAAACTAATATCTGTATAATACTAATGAGAGACAAATATTAACAAGAATATCGGTCAGAGACCGTGAAGACTTATAAATCAAAGGTTAGGGGATCCCCCAAAACAGCGCTCATACTCCACAGTGACACCTTGTGTCCCACCACTAATTGATTAATTATACGACATAATTCGCCAAAAATCAATAGGCTTCTGGTTCGAGATGAGATGAATGCACATGCAAAATCTGGAGCAGATTCAATCTCGCTTTCGTGAGATATCGCGTGCATCTAACAGACATACAGACAGATACCTATCAACATACTTACCGATTAAAATCGATAAGTAGTGAGAGACAACAGAGGGCTGACTGAGGTTATATATATTTTCGGATTTTTTCTATTCCATAACAGTTAATTTGAAAATATTAGATAGTTGGATGACGTATGAGCCATTCAAGACCTTTCATCTGGTTGCTAGTCCGATTGAAAAATCAACAACATTAGAGCTAAAGTATTCATTCACATTGTTAAAAAAAATAGCAGTGAGTGACTGTATATTTATTCAACATTAACAATTAAAAGAAAATAGTGAAGAAAGCCTGGTACTCCTGAAGTATGCGCACCAAGATGTCGCATAACCTGAACCCTAACCTGGTACATACACAACCTGTGTTAAGGTCGTGCGCCATCTTGGTTCGCATACTTCAGGAGGTCCGAAATTCTGGCAGTTAATAAAATTCATACGAAAAAATAACTATAAAATAGGCTTATACATGTGACATAAATACATCCATCTGTCAAAAATTGAAGGTTGATGGACATAAAACACAGATCCAGCCGTCACAAGGTCTGTCACTACAGAGTAGCAATCAAACAAATTTTTTTTGGATCAGGGCTGGGGAGGGGTCACAATGGCTTTCTACCTCTGAGCTGGGTTCCGGCTCCATAGCCATTGAAGATTTTTGGTATGACCACTACCACGAAACATCAGCCAAATGCAATTTCACGAAAGCAGGACTCTAAACTATAATACAAGGGTTTCACAAAAAGAAAACTTCAATGAAGTGTTAAAAAATTAGAAATGTAAAAAAATAATTGAACGATTAGAAAACTGAAGCGAAGAAAATTTCTGGTTTCTCTATGCCTCCGTCTGTTATGGTAACTTCAGCTCTCATCCTTGCTTTCAATGAACATTATGATTTGTACCATACGTATTGGTTATAGCCGATAGATAACCACAAGAATTGTCATTCTCTGAAGAAATATTGCAATATCTACAGTGCTCCATTATGATTTCCTCTTGCAAAATGGCAGTGAAACTCAATTGCATTGTTACACTTGACACCACAAGTATTGCATTTAAAAGGGTCATCATAACCATGACAACCCATATGTAAAGTGTGAAGAACGCAATTTTTAAAATATATATCGCAGTGCTTGCAAGCATACATATCTGAAAGAAATATATAGCAGAATTAAGTAGTTCAAATAAAACTAGCAAAGAATTAATTATAATATGAAAATCCAAATTCTCCGTTTTAAAAAGCAATGAGTTAAATACTATTGTGCTGGTAGTGATATTCAAAAAAATTTTCAAGAACACAGATCTGTTCATATAGTGGAAAACCAAACTTTTCAGATATAAAAATCGCTAGTTGTAACTTGTAAGCATATTGTACATAATCAAAAATATACAATTACCTTTCGTGGTTGGAGAACTGTCTGATGCCGAGACTGCATTGTTTTGTGCAGGAATTACAACGCTTGACTTATCCTCAGTTGTTTTATCATCAGATAGATGATTAGATGAATTGGGTATGAAAATATCACTGGTGTTATTAGTGAAGGAATCATTATTTTCATGAACTGACGGCATATCAAAATTATCTTCCTCACTGTGAAATGTAATAAAAAGGTGTTTGATAAATATGTAAATCCTATCCTATTAGCATTTGACGTTCTCAGATGTGAAAAACAAGGGTGACACATGAAGAATATCAGGAATAAGAATAAATGGCAGAGATTATACATTCGATATAACCTTTTCTTCTCATTTCCTTCATTAATCAAAGAAATATCAGTTTGTATTTCCTAGTTCTTTCAGGCTGATAGCTTTGTTCAACACTAAGGCAACGCATCACAGATGCATCGCAAACGCAAATTTGGTGCGAGAAAACTTCATTGAATTAGTTTACATCAACATCAACACCTACACAATTTCCTTTATTTGGTCATTGGATATATCTGTAGTGTAGTGCACAAGACTTATTGAATAAACTTGCTAAATTTTTATTAGCTAACCTATGTTCCTGATACATGTTTTGAGAAATCATTCTTTGAAAACTGGAAAAAATACTTTCATCATTTTCTTCTGTATTTGACAAAACCTTTTTCTGCACAAATGGTGGTTTTCTTCGATGCCCTTTCAACAATGTTTGATGTAACGACGTCTCCGGTAAAGATTTTGGTGATGGAGTAAGATCTGTAGATACACTTGTTGGTGATCCCATATTTTCTGTTATTTCAATTGGAAAGGGTCCGTTGTCAGGAGATTCTGAAAGTTCAGTAGCACTGTATACTGAATTAATAACCGGTGTTTGGTCAAGTGGATAATAGTCAAAATGTGATGTAGAATTGATTTTTGAAGATATCGACTTGGGTTTTAATAATGATGGCATTGTGCGTGATGACGGAGCTTGGCGGCGGAAGGATCCTGTTGATTTCCTGAAATAATGAAAGTAACAAATAACAATACAGTAGTAGAATTATATATTTGCTTGATTTCATCAAAGTTCTGGCTTCAGAGAACAATTCTTGACTACATTCTAACGACAGACACCTAGGAGTCTGTAACCAATTTTTCAATAAGCACTAAGATGAGCATTGCTGCCAATTCTCATTTTTCATTTCTCGTATTAGATTGACACATACCAAGTTTGATCAATTAGTTTTACTTTTATCAATACTCACCTAGGTCTTGCTAATTCTTTGTGATATCTTCTGATGTGGCTGTTCATATTGCTTCGATCACTAAATATTGTTTTAATAAGTATTAATAGTGCAACACCATACTTAAGATGACACAAGATTGTTAATGGGCAGAAGAAATGTTGCAGAAACATATTTGTGTTAGTTCACATTAAGACTCTCGAATCACTCAGAACGGTTCGACAGAACGTTTCAGAAATATAATTATGTTAGTCTCCAGCAGAGTAATGACTTTTTTAAAATAAGCCTTACATTAATCATTTTTCTCAAAATTAAAATTTTATCACTATGCAGCAAGATCATGACATTAAATTACAAAAATAGTCCAGTTTCAATGAAAAATTATTTTAATTTTCAATACCAAATACTTTTGACCAGATTTCCTGTTGTAAGCATCAGACGATTATTATTTATAGTAACAGAGATGAATTTTCCACACTGAGACATTGCCATAAAGTCCATAGCTAAGTGATCAATGTCTCAGCGATGAAGGTTGGAAAACATAAAAACTGAATTCAGAAATTTCCTGGCTAAATAAATAATGCAGAATGTGTACAAAAATAAATCTCACCCAAATCGTCTTACTCCTGTGCAATATGGACATTGAAAAGGTTTTTCACCAGTGTGTCGTCGAACATGTACGGTCAAACTTCCAGAATAATATGAAGCGAATGGACAGTAGGGACATTTTTTCTTTATTTTACTTAGTGTTGCTCCATCTAAAACAATAATTTGAATCGTAATCATTGGTTCATATGGGAACTGATAAGTTAACCTGGTTAATGCCAATACCTGTATCAAGTTACTGTTGATACAGTAATAGAATTGTGGTATACAGTAATTTTGTTTAACCATTATATAGAGACAGTAGTAATATGTCTTTTCAACGCTAATGCGAAGAAGGGATTCAAAACAACTGTAAATAATATTTGTGTGTAATAGTTGTGTAGCTTGCTCGATTTCAGTGATGGACTGTGTGATTTGGATATCTATCCGTATATTGTGGCGTGCCTTATTACGCCACTGTGATGTCGTAGTTGATATTGTTGAACTACACCCACTACTGCACTAGAAGTACATGTGATACAAATCACACCAGACCCAAAATATGTGTGAATATGTAGGATTATATAAGAAAACATTTAAACTATAAAGAAAATTTGTGGGAAGATATCGAAGAAAAAGATTTGATGGCAGATAAAAAAAATGAAGGCACAGTACTGCAGTATGCCATCAAAACGGGAAATTTTTTTATTTTCTTTTTTTATTATGTCTAATCTTTGATATGTGCCTAGACTTTAAATCGGGGGTGGGCAAGTTCTCTAGCCTGCGCCTTGCGGGCCAGATGCCATTTCAGGCGAATGTAGCTAACTTATACGTCGGCGCACACTTTGATTTGATTGCGAGGTCATAGTGAGGTAGCCTACTCTTTGGATGAAGAGCCAGGTAGGGGTTGGGAATAACATATATGCAAAAATGATTGTGCCACGCAAAATAGAAGTATTTGTGTCGTTTAGTAAACATGCGCCCTTCGAAAGTCACTTAAAAAATGTCAGACATCTCTGCAAATGCAAGCACAGAAGCAGGGTTGCTTATACCAACGAACCAGCTCAATTTTGCAATAAAAGACAAATCCAGTAATTAGATAACACATGTACTAAACCCAATTATATATTTGCACATACCAGATTTTGCGGATTCTTTTTCCATTTTTTTTTAAATCCCAATTATTCCCAATGATGCAGCAAACGGCAGCAAAGCAGAAGTGGCAATCAATAAAGCCCAATGGATGTGTCCTCGACCCTTGACCCTAGAATAAATCTGCTTGTTTCGAGAGTTTTTACCGAATGGACCTTTCCCCGAGCATCGACTCCCCTGTTTACTCGTGACATTGGCCAATCAGTAAGATGTAAAAGTGACGTGACAATGCTCCCTTTTCGCATCCGCTCAGACACTATTCTCACTCAGAAAGTGTCTAAATCAGGGGTTCCCAAACCAGGCGTCGGAGTGATAGGATTGAGTGAAAGTTGGTAGGGTGGGTCGCAAACAGGTCATGGGGTCGGTTGGGTTGCTGAGTTATGATAGAGGATGGATGTACAAAACATCTAAGATTTGACAAACCATGTTAAATTTAGCAGTTTGTACTATGGCGTACTGTAAAACAGGCCCATAGGCATCGCTCTATGCTTATGCTAAAGAAAATGTAGGTGATTATTGTGACATCACTGTTTGGTTTTAGCTAATTTTACTTAATACCCAATCTCAAAAGTCCAGTGGAAGAAGCTCTAAAGTTTCATGAAAAATATATATATTGACCTGGGGTCGCACTGGACACTTGAAAGTTGTCTTTGGGGTCGTCATGAAAAAAGCTTGGGAACCCCTGGTCAAAATATTGGTACGGACTCTCTAACAAGGTCATTGCATTACAAATATCTGAGTGTTATATTCGACCCACTTCTTAAATATAAAAAGCATATATATCGAATATGTTCAGACGAAGTGTTTTAAAAGAATAAATTTGCTACGTTTACTTTCAGGAACTACTTGGGATCTGCTAAAGGTCCGTTACTCATGCTATATATATAGGACACTCATTCGTTCATTAATTGAATATGGATTTGAAGCATATATTTTTGCCCCGCGATAACATCATCGTTACCATACTGGAACTATGATTGCCCTTATGTTGATCTTACCCTAGCGGAAACTCTGAGCAAAAATGTTTCTCCCGATGTTGTACGTTTGACTTTGACGGAACATCTCGACCATTACTATCCAAACTATTTAATAATTTTCACAGACGGATCAAAAAATGAAAATGGCTGTGGATCCGCTATTTTCGTGCCATCGAGATCAGTCGAACACAGCTTCCCCTTACCTCAACCGAGCTCATCATATAGTGCAGAACTAAATGCAACCCTACAATCGCTGAAATGGGTCAACGATCAAAGCAATGCATACGAAACCGTTATTTTATCAGATTGCCAAAGTGCATTACAATCTATTGAAGCGTGCACGAATTTCTCCAATGAATTTATCATTGACATCAAAACTACATATGTCCAAATTATCGATCGCTATGAGGAAACGAGTCACCTTATTATGAATTTCCGGGCATAAGGACATTCTGGGAAATGAACGTGTAGATTTACTAGCAAAGCGAGCTACCGCTTCTCCGAACTCTGCTGCTCCTATAGACATTGAAGAAAATGAAGCTAATTCTTTGTTGTCTGATGTTTGCCATCGCAAATGGAATACTGAATATATACAAAGTGAAGATACAAACCATTTTAAGATGTTTCACCCAGACCTACCCATAATTCAATGTCCTAAGTCCTAAATTTAAGTCACTGATAGCTGTAGGCGAAGAGAAAAGAAACATGGAAATGGAAATGCATTGACAGCTCAGTAAGATCGCACTACTCTGGATGTGCCCCTGATCGCAGTTGCTGTGGGTTGTACAGAGCAATGCTCATTGCAATTGATTTTGCCGTAGTTTATGGTGTAAGACCGCGATTTGTTCATAATACAACAGTACCGGTATTGGTTTGGAGTATAGCCAATAAAGCACTAATTGATTGATCCATACATTAGGCGCACGATCGATTTTAGAGGGGAAAAGGATTTGAAGTGCGCCTTCCGGTCCGTAAAATACGGTACTTCTATTGGAGACATAAAATATCTTGTCGTCACTTATTACTTCAGACCGATGCGTGAACAACAAATCAAAGATTTTGCTGAATAAATATATTTAAAAGTTTGCATAAAAAGATTAAATTTTCACAAAATAAAGTACAAAAACGAGGACACAAGTTAATTTAGACCCCTGACCGTACTCTACCAATCACATAATAACAAATAGAAACGACGCAATTGAATGTTCTATTCATATAAAATATGAAATTGGCTATGCTGAATACAAAGGCATTACGTGTGGCAAAGTTGAAAATACTATTTATCGAACAACAACATTTTTATTTCAATTTGAGAAAAGTATTCTTGTTGTATCAAATTATCAAAATAAATACACTTAAATAGTTGTTGAAAATTTATAATGCGGAGCTGGTAGCAAAATTGGAGATTTTTTTTATCAAACTACTATTACTAATATTATTTTAAATTTTATAAATAAAAATTAAAAATGGGGCCCGCCCCATGAGGTCAATATATTTATCTTTAGAAAAAAGGCACAAAAATGACAAAACAATGGAAGATGAGAAAAACATCAGATGTAATCAGATACATTTAAAAAGCAACGAACTTGAAATGTACAAAAATTGTAAAAACAATAATTACATAAATTACTATTAAACACCATTAAACAAAGCTAAATGGGAAACTGCCTACGAAAATATTTACTGCGTTTTGACAGAGTAATTCAATTTCTTTCAAATCAGTATTACAAGCGTTATCATCGAGTTATGCTGCGATCTATCACTTAGCTAAATGATATAATTGGACACATAAAAGCTAAGCTACAATGCATTTCAAGCCCACATACTAATCAATATCTTACTGCTTTAGATGCTTAAATATTCGCCATTGACTAATATGATCGAATAATATGAAATGGAGCTAAAATTCTTCATTGTATAAATAGGAACGAACAAAGAAACACACTTGGCAAATGGTCATAGAGGCAACTGGATTGTAATATAAAATTGAAAATTCTGAAACATTATTGATCAAATAATAACAAAAATCATTATTTATTATTAAAGGGAACATGTTTTATGAGGTAGAAAAGAATAAATAGGTTGAAAACTTGCGAGTTGCGTTGAAGCTTGAAGTCAATCTGAAAAAAATACGAATATTAGCTATATGAAGTATGAAATATTAACAGACCCATTAAGGTAAATAGGAGAAACAAGTGGTTGGCACTCAAAGTCCAAAATTTCTCAAAAAGTATTGAGTTGAATAGGCTCATCAGACAATAAAGACAGCTTGCATATTGCAAAAGGTAATATTTTCTCGAAGCGGAAATCAATATCGAAATTATCTTCAACCTGGAGTCGGAGTCAACAAGTTTGGAGTGGGTATTAATTTTTTCGTTTCCACAGTCCTAGTAACGCTATATTATTATATGAGATTGAATTAAGAAACAACTTACTTTTTATTCTACCTCTAAGGTAAATGATTTAATATTAAACCAGTAATTGGATCTGGTCTGCATTGTCCACAATAACCTCCACATTTTCCAGTCACAGTTAATCCGTCCTGAAAAAAAAAAAAAGATCGTTTGAATTTTTCATTTTTTTGACCGAGATATTAGAATTTAACATTCGCTAGCAAAAGCCTTCGTGATATGGTGACCAGGTATATATTACATCACAATCTGTAATATATCCTCAAATAGAATGTTTTAAACGGTGGCTTCCCCAATTACTAAATCGACTTGGGCTGTGACCTCCATAAAATTGGCGCACTTTATTTATCGAGGATTCTTTACGCACCCATACATAAGAATCAAGATCTGTTATAAGTACGGAAAATATAAAAGAGAAAAACATGAATTTCTTTTAATTTTATTATAAATTAATAAACTTACATCGCTGGGCGAGATTCGTTGAACAGCAGAACGTCCGTATGAGCTCCATCTAGTGTTCGTTGTCACAGTTAATCCAGTACCCATGAGGTTGATTTTGAATTCACCCTTTGAAAAAGAAACGAATACTCATGAAGAATCACATTATGATATAAGTCTATATAAAATAGTATAAATGAATAATATATAAATATAATATAAAAGTTGATTTAAAATAATGTCGAGGGCTAAGCTGCCATAATGGAGAAAAGTGTACTTTCTTTCTGTATTTCTCTATATACATGTTTTCTATATACTCATAAAAAACTAACCTGTGGACAACTTGCTCTGCTATAGCAATCTCCTGCAACTCCAAATCCAACAGGTCTTCCGTATTTGAAAGTTGCAAAAGAGAAATCGTTTACTGAAAAAGAGGAAGTAAAAGATTAAAATGAGGCTGTTGTTAAATTTTAATTCTAGATAGACACCAGGTACTGATAAATTCATACTATTACGAGGGTTTCATTGAAATAAAGAATACTAGAAAAGAGACTTGTTGTTAGTAAAGAACTGAGAATCAATGAGCTGCAACAAAGTCGACGAAATTTAGATAAATAAATACAATTTATTCTGTAAAATACAAGTAGATATACCGGTTTTGATACATACTACCAACCATACTGTATAGATAAGCATTTACCTGTCTAAAATAGCGGCCCCAACTTTGGGCGAGTATTTGTGCCATGGCCTTAGATAAATCACTGACAGTTTCAAACGACAGATTGTTAAACTTACTTATAACTTTCATTGTTCGAACATCGAAACGAATTTTCCTAAAAGTTGTTTTTCCAGATTGTGGATTCCTAGTACATGCACAGTGATCGTTTCTTGAACCGTTGTGAGGACAAGAGTCGGAATTGTTCAAACTAAAAAAAATGAAAGATATTCAAAATTACTAGCAATTCAGTACGAATATCGCAAATGAATTAAGGTTGATATGGAAGAAACATTATCTCAAATTCTGCATATAGCTTTATCGGCTTTGTACTACAATTTGAGATGAATGGAACTGTATACTTGCTTTGAAATGAGTACTTACCTAAAGCTATAAATTTCAGAATAGTTTTCATCACTTCCAGCGGCAAGTGTAATAAACTCTGTTGGATGTCGGGTGTTCATACCTTTGCAATAGACCTGAAGAATATTTTTTCTAATTTCAAATATACTATAGGTCAAGCAATATTAGTAAATATAAAAAATAATATACAAAAAGCAAATTTGGAATAAATAAAATAAAATTTAAATGTCGATTGGCTATAGTGGTTATTGCGACCCCACTATGCTTGCATCGCAACATGATCGCACTATAAGTTATTTCATGAATAGAGCTCTATCTATGTCTACCAGCAACACAGAATACATTGGCCAAACAATAATGTGCTCAATCGTCAGTATCCTTCTTCAGAGAGAAGGTGGGGAAAAGTTAGATAATGAACTAGAAAACAATTGTTTCAGCTTAAGCAAACCATACATACCTTCAGCGATTTTCCTCGTATTTGTAAATAGAACTCGCCGTCCGCTTTTGCTCCGTGTTGTACTTGTGCGTGCCTACAAGAAGTGGGAAGACAAGGTGCCGCAGTACATTTACTAGCTCTTTCTGGAGGAGCAGAAGAGGCAGACTGGCAATCATTTTCTGGCAGGATCTGGTCAGTAGTCCGACTAAAACATACAACCTGACGCTCAGAGATTCCTTCACCACATGAAGCTGAACACTGTGGAAATTATAAATCAAATTATTTAATTATTAATACAGAAGTGATAGCAAAATCATTATTACCATTTTTAAATCGGAACGTAATTGTCGAGTAATTGTCCAGAAATTCAAGTATTATTCAGTTGGCTCACAAGGCAGTATTATTTACAGTTACTAAAAATTAAATCTAAATATAGAGCGCCTTGGTGAAGTGGGATTATTGTTGACTCAAGCTCGTCCATAGAACTAAATTACTGACTAGTCCATATCCATTCTCACTTGAACGGGGAAAAAGTTATTTAATGAAAATATGATGATGGAAGATAAAGATGTATAAAAAAGCAATGATAAAATAAATTAGACGTGAAAAATTGTTCATATTTCATTTGGATTCTCTTTATTAAAAACGAGATTATGTATTTCTAGCAACGTACCTCACTCCACGGTCCGACTCTCCATCTTACGTCAGCGTCACAATTGTTGACGTTACATTGACGCAATTCATCAGGACGATCTTTTTTGGGACAATTGGAAGCCGGTAGTAGTTGTTGCGTTCTTATGTCAACATAAACGCAACGTACATATCGAAATTCAACTCCGTCTCCACATGTTGCCGAACACTGAAGAAAAAATACAACTGATCAAAAATTCATTTCTATCATTTCAATTTTATGTGATTCAGGAGTATTGCGTATTTCACAGAAATACATTTGTGTTATGGTGTAGCAAGACTCTTAAATAACTATTTTCATTCCTGATATAGTATCCTAACGGTAAAAGCATACTGCACTAGCAAGGGTATGGAAAAAAATGGGTAGTCATTCTCCCACAGTCGTTATTTATCTTTTCAAAGGTTATTTTAAAAGACGATGAAACAAAACAAAAATAGTCAGAGAGACATAGGTCATTCAAAAGACATATCGAATTTGAGGATTCCACAGCAGCTATAGTATACATGCAAATAAAACAGATTACAGAAAGTAGAAGTACGCTTCAAGGAGTACAGAAACGTACGTATTATATCCAGCGGAAATATAAATGGCTTATTTCTTCAGGTATTATTGGGCTACCAAATGACTATCAGTAGAATAATTAAACAACTAAACAAAATAAATAATGAAAAAGTTTGCCATATCGAAATTTCCTTTTAATACACCGGTGAATAACCGGGTACCATGGGGCTCTAGGGAATTTCGAGACAAAAAAAATTGTCAGCCTTTCAGCGACTTGATCCATCTTTAGGTATTAAAAATTCAAATTTGATTGTAAATTAGTTGCGAAAAAAGCGATTTTTTCTTAAAAATGATAAAAATTCAAAACCATCGATAAGACGTCCAATTAAAATTTTATGGGATGTAATAACAATGATAAATGCAAAATCCACTATACCTCTGACCATGGTTTAACATGCCAGAAGGACGTGCATGGTCCGTTGTTACATGTTTGTTCTGTTTGAGGTTTTGTTTTATAAGGACAATATACATTTGGCACTGTTGATCCACGATTATCTTTGCATGTCACAGTTCTTCTCATAACACCATTTCCACACGATGTTGAACACTAGAAATTATATGATGAGGTTACAACAACTTGTAGGCACTAAGTCATGCTGTAATGATTTAACATCACTTGGGCTAAAAACATTTGAAATCATTAAAAAACAAGTTTTCGCGTAAAGCAATGTACTTGATTGGCCGTACACATTTTGTGTAGCTACCATAAAAAACTGATGTCTTTACAATAGCCTTCTACAGAAGAGCACATTCAAATGACGATCGAATGACGCTTGAGAGCATACATATTCATTTATTTTTATTACAACGACTTAAATTTAATCTGACATAATCAGTGTTTCAAATGACGACAATCACTGGAGTTCCACATAAAAAAAAAGAGTTTTGATGTAGTTTCAAAATTTTTTGACACCATCAATTTTACATATGTCTACCCAAGTAAGTAAATTCCTAAGTAAAATTAGACAAAAGAGTAGTAAAGGGGCCTTTTACTATAGGGTGCGACATTTTTTGCAGTACAGCTGCTGTTTGTTCACACAACCTATTCTTGTGTCGCTCCAAATACGTGACATTTTTAGCACTACGTATTCGCAGTAAACATATTATTTTTCAAGTAGCTTCATTGTGAAGTTTACGTTTGTGAAATATAATGTCTTGTTCCTCAAGGCTTATTAGAAAGCTAAGTAATAGAAGACTGTTGACAACGATGATATACATTGATTTCTGCTCGATTAAACTGTAATTAGCCTACAAATGTGTTTAAATGTAGTATTGATGTGCGCCTTTGACTTACCGATGACCAGGATGAAGTTATCCACGCATAATCGTCGCATTCAGTACCATTGCACGTTTCAACGTCTTCTGGTTTGGAATTTGCATCACATTGGTCATCCGCCAACGTTTTACGTTTGTATCTGCAGTGAACACCACGTACACGGACTCCAGTTCCACACGAGGCAGAACACTGTATATCGAAAAGTAAGTGTTTTTATAACAAATCGAAGCTATTTGACTATACTCAAGTCCTGTCTAAATCCTATGTGGCAATTATAAAATTTTCTCTTTGCAATATTAAAATTCCCAACATATGAAACAAATAACTTGGCAATGTTGAGTGACTATAGTATCTATCTTTAAGATATGTATAAACAGCTAAGGAAAAGCTTGGAAAGAGTTCTGGTATCAAGCATACAAAGTATGGTATTTTACTGGCGTTTATAATGATTCCCCAATTTCAATTTGATCTCTTATTTCCTATTTCATTTCTAATAGAATAGGATTTTTGAAATTATAAAGTGGGAGAGGAAAGCCGGTGAGGCACTTTATTATAAGGTCAACCACGGCATCTCGTCCGGTTACCAGTCCATGTCCGATATAGGAATAGTTGGCCTGGTACTTGTTTCAGATGCTTGGTTCATTACAGACATTACATTGTAAAATTTAAACAAGGAGTACTTAAAACAATTTGAATAAATTCTTTGAGTAAATACTTGAGATCAAAAAGTTGTCGTTAAATAGCTATGCGTTCACATTTATGCATCGTGTTGTGGTTTTACATTATATTGCTATAGCTTATTTTCGGATATAATAAACTCGAATTACTTAAATACTTTTCTTACCTTATTCCAGTTTCCTGTGTGCCATCTCGGACATCTTCGTCGAGTTCTACATTTTCGAATCTTATTCGGTTTTCTGCTCCGAAGATTTTCACAAAGTTCATCTGCGACTCGATTCTTTTCAGTATCAACGCACATCACGTCACGTGTCTTCAGACCCCGCCCACATGTCACTGAACACTGTCAAAAATTAGAAAAATATTATAAATATTTTTATGTATGTGTAATTGTGTAGTATTTTATGAAGATATGAAATAAATAAATAAAATGTTCCAGGTGATGTTTTATACTTTGTCAAGCATGACGCATTGACAAATAATATAATTTACTAATGTATCATGCTTGACAGAGTAACGGGTAATTTGGGTTTTGTTCGAAATGGAATGAAACAGTGGTATTGGTATCTTATATACAAGCTAACTCGTCACATGTCGTCGAATTTGGATTTTTTTATCTAATTATATGAATTAGGGATTACAACTTTCAATTAGCCGTTCAAAAACACTCAATTTGACAATTATTACATAAATTTTGTCTCCAAAAGGTTGGCATGGGGGATTTTCATCTCCAGTTTCTAGATAATGGTCCTACACTTGAGATAAAGGGAGACATTGAGGAGGCAGACTAAATACAATACGGAGCTTTCCCTAACGCTTGCAGATTCGAAAACACGTTTTTTTCAAATTTTTAAAATCTGTGAGATATTATGGAATATCAATACAAATGTATTATATTTCGAAGACGTTAGTATTCCTGAGATGTAAACTAACTAAATGAGCATGGCACGAATCTATCATACTGTTACAGCGTTATCTTGCCACGTAGCGATTACCGGAGCATACAAAATACAATACTAGTATTAGTATTACGGGAATACATAATTCAATATATTGAATACATTATACTCTTTATTTACAACATTTTCAAATAACCAATTATTTAACATCGTTCTGTGTGTAAGACTCTGTTTGTATTCTTTATAATGCAGAGAAATGGGATCTACCAGAAGACAATTCATATTACGATTGGTATCATACATCCATACCTATAAGCCTAACTATTTTACGCTTGGTAACGTTTGTTTTACGCCTGTTTTACGTTAAGATGTTTGATGACTGACGCAAAATTTTGATCTACATTGCTACCATGTAAGGTAAATGACCACAAACGCGCTATAACCTTGGAAACGTTACATAGGAGACAATTAGTCTCAAGTTCGGCTACGTTTCTGCCTATTTTCGGCTTAATTTCAGCAATATTTCATCCATTATTATTTCCATCAAATTATTCGATCAAAAATGGTTAGAAAACAATGAAATAAGTGATTGATGTCATATTTGTTGTCAGAAATCTATAATTAGTAAGTTATTATTGGCCACGTATTATTGATACATAAATGACGCATGGAATCGGTGATTTTTTATGGTCAGTGCATGTTCTAACGTTGTTCGTGATCAATATCAGAAATGTTTTGAAAATTTTGAAATATTCCATCATAAATCCTATGTGCCAGTAAAAAGTATGTTTTGACGTACAACGAAGACAGATTTGTTTGCTTTTCATCATTTTGCAAAATCTGCAAAATGCCTTTTTTTGTTTCAAAGTGTCAGTCAGTGTCAAATGAGTTCACGTTAACATACCCTTACATATCAACATGGCAAAAAAGAAAAGACAAATTGAGAAGAATATTAGGATTACGCTATAATATATAACAGTCGTTTCATCTATTATGCTTCAGGATTTTCAATACCCGCAATCGACATATCTTTCTTTCGTGAATTGGATTTTTCCTTTAGTGGGCACGAAATGTACATATGTATTGTTTTGCTGAATTACTGTTTTTATTGGGATATAAAAAAAATTTCTTTGCCAAAAATGGACTAAACGCAATAATAAAATTTCGAAATCACTGTTTTTTTAAATTTTTCTCCAGGGCCCGAAATTTCAAAGCAAATTTTTCTTGTGTTCATAAACCACCGACGAACCTTTTTATGGCTATCGGTACAATTCTTTGAACGTTTGGCTACATACTTGCTGACATTGCGGTGGCCATATTACTTATTGGACCGTCATGTTCATGTAAGCATTGGTCTCATGTTATTATTATGTTGTTGTTGTTAGTGTTTTCTTCTTATTGTTATCAAAAAAAATCTCTTCAACTACTGGACTAATTACTTTGGAATTTTCAGTGGTTAGAGATTGTATTTGTGGATGTTTCTGATATTTCTGTCGGCTCTATGGCATTCGTTTTTGTGTGTGATGACGTAACCAAAATTTTAAATTGCGCACCTTGTGGCGGTTCAACTTTTGCGTAAGTTGATATCTGCTACCGGTACCGGTAGACTACTGTGACAGATTGCATACCAGTGTACTTCGTTTTGGCCTTCGTGCACATATAATTGAGCATCGCTCTCTTGTATATATATTACAGTGAAGACCATTTTATTATAGTACTGAAGAATATTATTGTCTTTGTTGTAATCATTTTTATGTGGTCAGAAATAAATACCTATTAGATTATGGAAAGTTCAAAATATTTTTCTATTTGTCGTCTATACATGTCGTCTATACTCTATACATTAAAATGATTTATTGCGATAAAAATGTGTTTATGTAGGATTGGTGTTATTGAAACAATTTGCAGTTCACTTGTTGTATTGAGTTTAAAATTGCAAAACAATGTTTTCAAATGACAACTAGCGAAACGCAACACAAGTTTAAAGGTTTCGATTCCGTCCCTAAAATCCTTTCGTTATATGTAATTCTAATATTTGGCCCAAATGACATTTATTTTCCATACTAAAACGGGAAAATTACCACACAATCATGCCCGACCATACATGCGCTATTCGTAAACAGAATTTTCATTCGATTGAATATTCAGACATGAAAATCATAACTCGAAAACCACTGTGTATACGAACTGAGCGGTTAAAGCACGGCCTACTGCAGGGTTACCGCTTAGGAGCAGGATTACCGCTTAGGATAGTCTTTTTTTATTTGGAGAGAAACTGCTCCTGCGTGATGACGTCATTTATTTCACATCACGTGGTCGAGTGACATAAAATATAATTGTGCCATTCAAAACCAAAACGGCCATTTATATTTATGTTTCCATACCCCGCTCCAGTGTGTAGAACGCCATCTGTATGGTCGTCCGGGACATCGACGAACTTCTCCACTGCACGGTGTTTTATCAGATGGTCGTTTCATTACGAAACACCTCGCATCATCGGTCACACTACCATCTGCCATTTGACATTGTACTGCTCTGGAGGATATCCCACGACCACAGGTTACAGAACACTGAAACGGAATAAAGACGGTGAATCATGATGTAATATAAGGCATTATAGTAATTTTCACAATTAAAAATATTCGCCCTCATGGTTCCTTACTCTGTGCGTTACATGGTTTCAATAGTGTTTCCGGAATTTTCAGCAAATACCGCGTTTCCCCGAAATAAAGTCAACCGAATTTTAAAAATGATTTTAATATAAGCACTCCCCCTAAAATAAGACCTAGTCGATAGCACGAAATTTTTAGATTCAAAACTTTATGAGTCTATTGACATTCCAGGAGATAATCTACATTTAGCAGTTTTGAATAAAAAACGTGTTATTTATACGTGAATGGATATCGGTTTTCATATTTTGCAATAGTTATATATACCGTAGTTGCTTATGCAATATACTTTACACAATTACCTGTGACCATTCTCCAGTTTGCCATGATGGACAAGTTCCTGCATTACATAAACGTATCACAGAAGGCATTGGCATGGCGTCACAATTTCCGTGGCACACAACCGCCCTCTTTTGATTTCCGCTGCCACATGAACTCGAACACTAAATAAAGAGAGTTCAGTTAAATAAAATGTCCAAACCGAAATTGAACAATGTTGAATTTTTTAAAATGAGAAAACGTACTTCCGACCATGGTCCCGTTCTCCATATACCAGTTCGCGATGTCACTAGATTGTCTGGCTCACTGCGGTCATTTCTTGCGGACGGAGGCAACAGTTTTGGCACCACAGCGTTTGAATCTACTGTCGTTATTGTTGTGGTTGTTGTACTGGTTGTCTGTAAATGAATTGAATGCGATTTTCAATGCATGTGATATCGCAAGTCATATGAAAGATGTTAATGAGTGGGAAATTACCCAATACACAGTTTTGTTCACAAATTCAAATACAGTTATAATATTCACCGTGGTAGTGCTTTGTAGAGTAGGGCAGGGTGAAGTACGATCACATGCGGTTGTAACTTCTGGTTTTTCGTCTGCTTTACATTTCTCTTCCTCATCGTAACGCATTTCATACATACATCGTACATATCTGGTTTTAGTTCCTTCACCACATGATGTCGAACACTGAAACACAATTTAATGAATATTTCATAATTTTAACTATTAGAATGTAACATAACATTGCAGTAGGCGAACATGTACGAACAACGCTAAGTAACTGATAAAGATAACAAATATGGTTATTTGATTATTATTGTCTGTGGGTGCGTATATTCGCGGGTGCAAATGTCCGTGGGCGCCAATTCCCGCAGATGTAAATGTCGGTGTGCGCAAATGTCCGTCGGTACAAATGTCTGTATGTGAAAATATTCGTGAGTGAAACTATACGCGGGTTTTAAAATTATGGGTGCAAAAGTATTTAGATGCGAATGTTCCGGATGTTGTTTATGGGTGCAAATATGAGGGTACAGATTGAAAAATTTGAAAATTGTAATACTGACACCAAAATAAGACTACAAACGAATTTAATTATTTTCTCCTATTTGTATTACTATCTCTCACCTCACTCCACGCTCCTGACCTCCATTCGCCAAAACATTTCCCAGAGTTACAAAATTCTTTTCCAGATGGACGAACCGTAACGTCGCATTGTGCGTCATCAACCTCGTGGCCATTGTCATGGCGGCAACTTACATAACGTTCTCGGCGCCCGATACCGCATGTTACAGAACACTGTAAATTAAATTGTATATATATTTGAGGCAGAAGCATATGATAATAATATTTCAAATTACATAAATATACTTTATTTTGGGTTTTCCGACAAAATCAATATTTCACAAAAAAAAATATTATTTCAGGGTAAATGGAATACTATCATACCTCAGTCCAATGCCCAGTTCTCCATTGCACATCATCCGATATTCTTGTTATTTCTGATATTTCACTTGATTCTAGTTCAGGTAAAATATCAACTTGATGTGGTAAATGTCGTCCAAAACTTCGTCCTTGTATCGATACGTGGCGAGCAGTGGGAATATCTGGATTCAAAAAAGACGTTTATTGTAAAAAAACAAATTTCAAATAATGGAAGGAGATATTAAATCTAAAGCAGGCATTTTAATACATTAGATTATTAGAAGCCTAAAAAAATGCGTTTTATTTTCGGCTTTGTCAAAGTTAGAGAATAGACAACCCTGAATACAATTAGAATTAAACTATTACACCTAAGCTATAAATAACAGATAGTACGGCAAAAGTATATTTTATTCGAATAATACGGTAAAAATACGTGGATGGAACATAAAGAATGAAATATATGAAAAGTTTTGAAATGTTAATATTCAGAAAAAGGCTGACAAAAACAAATATTTTTATTTTTAAAGCTTCACGCCCTCTAAAAAATTGTCTACACGCCACAGCGTTTGACAACCACTGCTCTAGATTCTAGAATGTTTCATTGAGGTTTCGTTCCACTAAAAAAGATGAAAACCACTGTGGGGGCATCCGGAATAAACTTTCATCAACAAACCTATCACATCCAAGTAAATATCAGCTTCAGATTTTTCGTCTGCGTCAGTGTTGACTGGTTCAGATCTTCTCTCGGGAGCTGGCATTGCTCTGTTGATTAATATTGGATGACCTGATCTTGTGTGTGATGGGAAATAGGAAGGCAATTCACATTCTGATTGATGACACGGCTGCGTGTCTCGTTCCTGTTAGAAAATACAATGAAAGAGAAAAGGTTGATTAGACAAAATATGAATTGAATGATAAATATTGCCAAAGTTATTTTTCGTATTTGGATACCACCATTTTCTAATTGAATTTTTATAGTTTTTTCAATCCTGTTTTGTAATGAAATTTGTCTGCAGTTATGGTAAAACAGAGTGAGGCAAAGAGAATAAACTGAGTGTATATTTATAATAGGTGGGTTCATCACAAGTGTTTTCAGTTCAAATTCATGGATCAATAATTTTAAAACTATGACACTGGGATGCATACCTGTAGTCCTTCATTACATTCTTGATCATCAACATGCCTTCCTAAATAATCCGTACATTTCATTATACGTTTTGTTGTTCCAGTTCCACAAGTAACAGAACACTAAAAATATTGCAAAATTTCTTGTTATTATTGAGTTATTGGTAGCCTCAAACTTGTGCAAAAGAACATTTTTAGTACAGCAAAGCTTCTTGCTTTTAGGCTACGCTATTACAAAACTTTTGTCTGTGATGTGTCTGAAAAATATCCTGTTCTACTTGTCCCAATTGTATGATTCTCACCTCATAGGAGTAATCTCATCGCCTGCCAAGGTATTATACCTATCCTAACCCAGAACATAGTATGAATCCCAATTCATATGCTTACTTTAACTTATTGACCCATCACTTATATATATACACCCCGAGTGATACAAGTGTGTAAAAAATTGGCACAAAATTTTTTGAGACACCGATTACAAAATTTCGAGAATTTTTTTTTTCACTATCAAGATCTCATGACAAAGGCGTCATATTCTCTTGCAGAGAAAACCTTTATAGATAGTATATAACTACTATAATACGTACCTTCCCCCATGCTTCATATTGCCATTTGGGACACGGTCTCATTGTACATTTAACCGTTCCAAATGGTTTGCTTGTAGAATCGCACGTTGAGTCAGGTTGTACCTCGCCGTCACTTCCCCGACACCAAACCCTCCGATGACGGACTCCAGATCCACACGTTGTCAAACACTGAAATTATTCGTTTCGTAAACAATGGAGTAAAGATTAAATATATGTACACGAAGATGCAAAAGCCTATGTGCAAAGAAAAGTGACTGAGAACCGAGTTCAAAAAATCAAAACGATGGACAATCGTGACGTAACAGGTCACGCTTGATGGAATAAAAACAGTATTCTCGTAAATTAGAAAAAACAGCGAAAATTGAGAAATATGAGAAAATGAGCAAAACTTATGTCTTCTGAAGACTATTTTTATCTTCGAGTACTGAAATATTAAATTTGATTGTTCGATTAGTTACGGAGTAAATACCACCCAACAACGACAACTACAATCTAGCGAAACGTTCCACATGACCACTTCCTGTCCAATTATACTTATTCAAAATTAAGGTGCAATATTTATTAATCAAAATCAACTTACAGGTGAATAATCTGATGTCACCCACTGAGGACATGCGAAATTATTGCAAAATCTTGAAGTCAGACGTGTCCTGGTGTTACATTCGGTAGATTCCAACAGAACTCCATTAGTGTCTCTGCATTCAGCGGTTCGAGTTTGGCTTCCACCACCACATTCTCGAGTACACTGAAATTAGAAAATATCGGTGGTGAATTGAAACAACCAAGCAAATCGTTAACGTAGGCCATAATCCGATGCGTCTAATAAAGGATACGATTATATATAGACATTGGTTTATTGTATGCCAAATAAAACAATAAATCAATGTCTTGCAACCACTGACTATTTTGAACTGATATGATACAATGAGACATAAATATTATGTCTCATACCAATTTTGAAAATATACAATCGGCGCCTGCCTCCGGCTGAAGCAAATTTCGTCTCCGACTCCGGAATTCGAAAACTTTGAATCCGACTCCAATTCCAAACACCGAATTGTTAAAAAATTGGACTCCGACATCAACTCCGAGAAAATCTAATTTCGACACCATGACTTTTTTAATAGGCCGCCGTTAGGCGCGCTTAGTGAAATTATTATTATTTTTTTTGATTTTGTTTTAGCAGGAAATTTTGACTTATTTTAACACCATTGAAACGTTACATTATCGGATGACACAGGAAGCCTGGTATATAAATCCTTATTAAAAAAAAATTCTCTCGAACCCACCTCAGACCAGTTTCCGTATACCCAAGATGTTGGTAGGCATTCTCCGTCACATGCTCTATTTGGGCTAGGTTTTGGATTGCTACATTCCCTGTCAGGTAATATTTCGTTTTTTGTGTCTCGTTTTGCATACAATGTACTTCTTTTTATACATTCGTACTTTACGTTAGCGTTGCCTTTCCCGCATCTCACCGAACATTCGCTACTTTTCATTTCCCATCTGGAATAAAGAAAACGAATATGCAACATTGAATACAATAAAAAACTTCAATCAAAACGCGTGATTGACGAAGGGCCAAACACGGCGCCTAAAGTTGAATATCGCAGGAGCGAGGAAACCTAGAGCATGCCCCGCCCTCTAGGATAAGTAACAATATTAAACCGGAAAGATCCCACTCATTTCACAACATTAGGGTAAAGAGCGAGGATGTAAAATGATTTTCTTAATAGATAGATTAGTTCGCGAGCACTATTCATTGCTAAATGAAGCCGAAATGGTTTGTTCAAGAAACTAGGCATTTTTAATATGCGTGGTATTTATACGGCTTTGTCTCATAACAAGGCGTTGTGCAAGCATCAACTGATATGTATGGAGCTGCTGCTTTATTTTGAAAAGACCAGAATAATTTGGATTCAGCCTTGTCTACACAAGATATTACACCCTGGGTCAGGTGGCGGGCATGGGATTCGAACCCGAGATTTTAATCTACGATGCTAGCATATAGTTAGTGAAGTCTAACGTTCTAACTACTTTTCCACCACGCACAGGTTTTCCTATTATAAAAAAAAACTGTCGTTGTGATTAAAATGTAACAATTTAAAAAACTATATTACAGCGCTTCTATTTAAATGAAAATATTTTTCTCTAGTGCTCCAGAAAGTATTCAAAATGCTGCCTACTTGATTTCACAATGTGTGTTGCAGAAACTTTGAATAGGTTGAGGTTTCACAGTTGTGTGACATTTATGATCTGCTACCACTTGTCCATCGTCTGATCTGGTACACAAGACCTGAAATTAACATATACGTTACGTTCTGCGTTTACAAGCTAAATATTAGTTTTATATATATGTATATAAACCCATACCTTCTTTTTCTTTCTGCCTTGACAAGTGTTACTACACGAACTCCATGGTCCATAAGGATCCCATGAATATGCGATTTGGTCTGGCAATGGAATGTTGTATTTATATAATATATTAGGAGGATGTAGCGACCCTGATGATAACACCTAAAGATAAAAAGTACATGTTAAACACAGGTAGTTAATAGGGTTTGTGGTGTTTACTTTGATCGTCTGTTTGTAACTTTTCTATCAGTACTTATGGTGCTGGGAACTGAGCTCTAGTCGAGCAAACACATAGCTGTTATTATAGCAATGGTCGTTTGCAATTTTCTATCAAACGTTCCTCAGTCATGATATCGGGTATTTAGTTTTGACAAATATACAGAACAGGTAAAACAGTGGGTACTTGTAAATTTTCTAACAGTATTTCTAAAAATTTAATCGGTTGCGGCGCATTAGTTTGATCAACTACACAGAGAAGACACTCGGGTGTTATATCGTTAGCGATCATTTGAGGTTTCATTACATTTGAACCCACGTACATTCGAACCCGTAATATGAATCCAGGACAATTGCACCTGCATACTATTGCATCTATGGAATTTTTTTAACCCTAACCCATGGATTTTAGCACTCTCATATATATTGAACCCGCGGATATACGGGTGCAAATGTATGGGTTCAAGTGTACGGTCACCATCATTTGAAATTTCTCTATCATTGTTTTTTTTTTCAATCTAGTTGGTGCCTTACTTTGAGCAATCTTTAACAAAGACTGTGTTAGTAATTCAACAGGATTTACATTCTAAACACTTTAGTATTTTACCAAGACTGTAATGTTTTCCATGGTCGGTTTGCTTGAATTGATTCGTTCTATTAGTGTGTCAGCTCCGGTATAATCGAATTGATATGAATATCCTCGTCCTATCGGTGAACGTTTCTGTACATTGTGTTTGAATGGAACAATGTTTCGGTTTCCGTTCAGAATAAATAGACCAGATGAGTCTTTCAAAGCTAAGAAAAAAATGTCATCACTTTTACTAACACAAACGAAATTGAAATCTCCGATTATAAAAAATATAATTCCGAATTTAGACCTTCTTTAAACCTTTGTTATCTGATATATCTAAATAAGTCAAATGCAGGCAAAAACAACCCACACTTCATCAATGTATAGGTAGGCATGAGAAAATCAAGATGCCTCTCCTTCGATATGACTGGTATTCGATTTTACATCCACTCATACTAGTTGCCAGATCCGGTGCAGTTGGGAGAAAAGCTATCTAAAACCCAACTCTGGCTTTTACATCAAACTTCAGATTAACAGCAATTTGACTCCGACTCCTGCCTCCGGTTTTAAAATTCGACTCCAACATAGATGAATTTAGTCCGGATTGGATTCCAAGACCGACATTTAAAGGCAGGCCCATCCCAGTAGCCCAGTATTGACTAATAGTAAACATGCGAAAGTGTAAACGTACTGTTAATAACAATTGTCAAAATATACCTAAACAGACACATTTTTAAAAATCACCAACCTAAATAAGTATTGTCCTCTGTTACCAAACCGAATGATCTTTGTTCGATGATGATATTGGTCGCTCCAGCTGGTATTTTGACAACGACGTTGTATCCTTCCCTTTTACCAATGTTATAAACGTTTTCCACTGTACGACATCCACTGTTATCGCCTCCACAAACACCACATTTGTCTTCTTTGGTGTTGGAATTAAGAACGTGATCGCAACCGGCTCGCTGAAAATGATTTCAATTTGATTAGATAAAATTTTTCAAAAAGATTTTAAACGGTTCAATGAAGAGAAATTCAATTATGTTGAACAGAAATATACATCAATTTATTTCGAAGGAGAGGAAATAAGATTGCTAACCACAGACTGGTGCCCGGTAATGATAAAGGATAGATATTCCAAGGTTCCAGATGTATGAATGTGGTCATTGGTATGGTACATGACCAGGGCTACATCAGTGATGGTATTCAAAATGTTAAGATCGGTTCATATCGAACTCTGCAATAACAGATTCGCTTATTCTAAAAAGCCTTGCCAACTCAAAAAACGACAATTCAACTCCTTAATCTCACCACCGGTTACCACCAATCTGCTTAATCGATACGTCTTCAAAACTGTTTTGTAAGTTGTCGGTGGATAGGTATATTTGAATGCGACCTTGCTGTATTCTAGGTTAAGCATGTCGATCGAACAGGCAGAATATGGCAAGTAAGAGAAACTGACAATTGGCGCGCAATGCGACCCCATAAATATATATAGTTTTGAAAACAATTGGCATTCCAGTGGTCGTCTGTAACTTAGCAAAGAGTGTGTCTACTTCTGAGTGAGTGCGAGCTTTCAAAAATTGTTTATAGTAATTTGTCTCTTTGTTTACATATACACCCACCTTACAGATTCCTTCGACACAAATATCATGGGTGTCTGGACCGCATGGAGTACCGTTGATTAATTTGGGTTTCAAGACGTACCAGGGTGCTCCATATTGATCATCACGTTTCACTTGACAAATAAGTTTGCAACGATCCTGCAAAAAAGTATCGGTGAGTACTAGCGTCATTGTGATAGTGACGTAATAAATAAGGTCAAGTAAACTTACGTCAAGAGAAAGTCACACGTTCGTAAAACATTCAGTACAATTTTTTAAGGATTAGTTCGAATATTCCAGTTATTTTTGTAACGATTAGTCCGTCTGTTTCACATATAAGTACGATTTTATATCTCATACCTGTAACAATATTCCATCATATTTTGGTATCCACACTGCATTATCTGGTACTCCCCGAATTTGATGTTTATTATGTTTCGACCAACTGTATGACTCGCACTGCTCAGCACGAAAATCTTTTACGACTTTGCATTCCTGCGTGAAAAGAATCAAAATTTCAAGGAATTTTTTAGTTTATTTTTCGTGTTTTTGAATAGTACTCGACTAAATTCACAAATAGCTATAAAAAATTAAATTATTTAAAAATTGATGTCACTCAGCTTTCTTAGGATTATCTTCGGCCTAGAATCTCACGTTCGCACTAACCACTGATAAAAATATAATTATCACTTATATTAATAAGGAAGGAATCAAACATATATAGGAGATTAGAAAATGATTACTCTAATCCGCTATCTCATTTTGGTTTTATCTGACACCGACATTTGGGGTCACGACATTTGACCTTTGAGGTCATGATAGGTATCAATGCATCATTATCTCACGCAGCCTATAGAAGTGATCGTATTGTTTTTGTTTATTTCTTGTAAACGAGGAGCGTAGTTTTTTATGTCTATCTCTGTTACCTGATTCTGATGATGTCATCGATAAATATTTATAGACTGTAATAAAAAACGTAAGTATTACCTGCCAATTACAAGATCGAAATCTCTTCCGTTTCCCAACGCAGTAACGACCGCCGTCACGTGGTCTGAAGTATTAAAAGAAAATTAGAAAAGGAACGTTAACGGAAAATACAACTATAAAAAAAATAATCCACACCGTGAAGAAAATTTACTCGCAAAATGCTATATCTAGAGGAGCGCGGTTAGGCACACAATGGACAAATCTGTTTTTTGAATATATTGTAAATTGCGAAATATATAACACTCACGGTGGATTATTACACTCTCGTTGAGAGATTTTCACACCGCCTCCACACGTTCTCGAGCAATCTCCAAATTTACTCCACTCTCCCCATACTCCGTGAACAGGTCGTTTGTAGCGTTTCTCCGGGACACACCGACCTTGTTGACACCACTTTAAAACAAATGAAGAATTGAGACGGTGGCAGAATTGTGAGTTTCAGTATACACGCGATAAAATTAAAAAATGAAGATTGACAGAATTGTGAATATCAGTAAACGCGGTAAAATGGAAAAGGGAGTGGCAGAATTGCGAGTTTCAGTATACACGCGGTAAAAATAAACGAGGTTTCACATACCTTCCCTGGAGCACACTTTGTACCGTCTGCCCAAGGCATATGAGGGGTTCTACATCCGTGTCTTCTTTCTGCATTCACACACCAAAGCCTATCACAAGTAGACTGTGAAAAAACGGATTTGTATAATGTAAACCGTACGTTAACTATAATTAATCAAGTCAAAGAATATACTAAATTAACTGATAGTAAAACAACTGGTTTTGAAATGTGGATTGTATTTGGTTACAACATATAGGACAACCATTTTTAATTAGATATAGGATCACAAGAAATATTTCTACATTTATGGACTAATCAAAAATTTGGGGACAAGTGTGTTGCCAAATGTCGCTACCTCTCTGTCCAGTACTTGTTGATATATGTCACCCAATCATTAGTAACCCCAATCCCTTTTACTTTTTCATGTGATTTAATTCGGTCGCATAGTGTTATAAGTTGAAAATAAGAGCCGCAAACACAAAAGTTTCCAAATGTTTCAAAATGTGATAATAAGGACTTGAATCGGAGGCTCGACATGACTTTCTTTCTAAAAATTTGACTTGCCAGAAAACTAACTGATTTACGACCACTATAAAATTCACATTTTTTTCTTCTTATCAAAGCAATATAATTTACCTATCTGGCAACTGAGGTAACAAAATGTGTGATACCTATATTTACATAGCAAACGGTGCATCGTTAACAAAAAGATCAACAAAAAGACAAAACAAAATAGTTGGTAAAAGTCACGTAGGCTATTGTAAAAAATCAGTGCAATCAACTGTAACTCAGTGGTAGTTGACATAGATTGTGATTATTCAAGTGGTAAATCAACTGTGTAAATATAAACTGAAAAAAATATATAAGAAAAGTTTACAGTTTTTCAACAGTGTTTTAAATGAACAGGACACATTTGAAAGTATACAAATTCCCATCCAACCAGTAAGCAATTTCCGGCAAATAACTTAACGATAAGGCTACCGGTAGTCGGCATTTACCTTTGATGGTTAAGGTGTATAATAGCGTCAATTTAATGGTGGCGGCATTTTCTTTTCAAGTTAAAATCGGCTGGTTGTACAGATATGTGGATTGAAGATTTAGATTATTTTACTTTTGTTGTATGAGAATTGGACATAATGAAAACCTTGAATTGTTTCGAGTTATTGCTTTAATGCTAACAACATGAATGCTGCAAAGATTTTCGAGGAAAAGTGTTTCAAATCACCCAGATTTGCAGACAAATCCTGCAGCAATTTTTTCATGAGTTCGAGTAAGTTTTTTAGATTTGAAAAGCTTTAAGTGTTATTTTTGACCACTGTGATATAAAATTGGGTCTATATATAATAGCATACACCATGTGCGAGGACTCACTCGCCGTTTTACAAGTCTAAACTTAAAAGAACAGATTCTCTGCATGTGACAGGGTGGCTCTCTAGTTGAACAATACATTGGCGAGGGTTTGAACCTCAGATCTGTAATATGTCATCGATGACAACTCACATAAAAAAATGCTAATATGGATAATATTGATACTGTAAGTCAGGGCTTCTCAAACTGGGGGTCGCGAACTCGCTGGGTCGCGCAACGGATTTTAATGGTCGCATGGAGTACACCAATTTCGCACAACTTTATATCTTTTGTACTTTTGATTGCAATCACAATTATTAAAACTAGTGCATTATTATAACAGTGCCGACTTTGATCGTAAGACCCGAGAAGAGACGTGCTTGCATAACAATGCCAAATTAAGAAAGGATCGCATGGAACCAACTACTGAATCAATTTGTTGACATCAAAGAGTAGAAATGTCATTTGCATTGTGTTGATTTGTTAGTTAACTTATTACAGAACTATATTTTCTCACGAGAAAATCACTAAAAAATGTAAAGAATAATTATTGAACGAGAATAGTTCGAATTCTGCACCAATAAAATGAACAATATACGAGCGTATACAAAAGTTGAGCAAACTATAATGCGTAAAGTAGGATACAAGAAGCAGTACATAGAAACACAAAAAGCTAACGGATGAAGCAGGGTTAAATAACACTGCATGTGGATTGAACTTACGTTGCAAATATATGCTCCAAACTTGCTAACGCAATCCTCTGCTGTTTGAGACTCCTGGCCTCAGTAAAACAAAAAATTATAAAAATACTAACAAGGAACTTTAGCTCAGTACAACGCCAATGGAGAGATTAGAGAATTTGTTGGAACTTGTGTATAAAATAGAATGGGCCATCAGTGAATAATATAACCAGGAGATTCAGTCCTGTGCTGTGGAGTCTGAGTTTGACATGAGATTCGGTCAGGATATTAAGTAGCCAGTCCAATTTATTTTTAATTTTATTAGGGAGGGGGCAATTATTTCTTGTCTATTGACGTTATACTCGTGTATTTCGCTCCGAACAAGGCTAAATAAAAGCAGCCACTGATATCTAATAATATCTCAAACGAGAATATCGGTCACAGACCGAGGACTTATCGATCAAAAGTTAGGGGATATCCCAAAACAGCGCTCTTACTCCATAGTGACACCTTGTGTCCCATCACTAATTAATTAATAACTCGCTAATTATACGACACAATCCGCCCAAAATCAATAGGCTTCTGGTCCGAGATATGATGAATGTACATGAAAAATCTGGAGCAGATTTAATCTCGCTTTCGTGAGATATCGCGTGCATCTAACAGACAGACAGACAGACAGACATACAGACAGACAGACAGACGAACAAATACCTATCAACATACTTACCGATTAAAATCGAAGAGGAATAACCTCTTTACAGACTTACTTCGCTTGTGGAAGTTATCCAAGCTATATAAGCGCGCATTTGGAGAGAGGATCATTGATAGTAAGCCAGAAAACGTCAGGTTTTCAGTAAACCGTTCAACAATAGAGCGAAATGGTATTCAAAAAGACGTAGGAATTTATGTCTAACTGCGAATGCCGCAAAATTGCATTTAAAAAAATATATATATATAAATATATATATATTGAAAATTCGGTGTCGGATTTCCAAACTCATGCACTAAGGTTTTATATTCAAAATTTGTTTCCTCGGGAGTTCGGACTTGGAGTCTAAATTTTACTGACCTTGGAGTTTGAAGCCAGATTTGGAGTCAAAATTTTCAATTTGGATTTGTACTCAATTTTTTCGCCCGGGTGTTGATTAAAGTAGTATAGTAGTTATACTGGTAAATTTCAGAAACTATCATGTATGCATTTAACAGTTTCGCTACAAATCACAATATTCTAAATTTTTCACTTATATTCGAATAGAAACGAGCGAGAGAAATGATTCTTTTCAGTACATAAACAATAGAATGCGGTCATAACCCAAAATTAAATATCAAAGTGATGTTGAAGCATTGTTGCTCATTAGCCATGAAATTGTGGTTTCAACGCTTTGGTGACTTCATTTGGAAATATTAGAATAGGATGGGAAACGGTCATGAATATGAAACGGTTAAACGGAAACGCTTAGTAGTTAAAAACTATCGAAAAGTACCGTGACTGATCACGCATGTCACAAGGATACAAATATTAATACGAATACCCGATTTATCTATGGCCAATGCATAAACTTTTCTAATTATATCACATTTATATCATGACAGAAATGATTTTCAATACATGATATACAATTTCCGGATCATCAAAAATAATTCCGGAGTTAAAAATGTACTTCAAAGGCGCTTGGTGCTTTGATCAGTGCGATATATATTGAAAGAGAACTATCAGTTGAATGTGTGTGATTGTGAAGCTTTCATTTTCGTGGGTGACATTATATTTTCCTTATCCTGTTCATGAAATCGCAAAATGCTATCAAGCATCTTATAATTCACTAAATAAACGATTGATCAGCACTCTCCAGTCTCCACCATACGATATTTGCTATACGAACTAAAGTTTAACGGATATTACACTAAGAAACATATAAATTTCGGCGCTCCAGAAGTGTGTGTGTGTACCAATATGGAGCTAACTTATTTTGTTCGCCTACTTTACATCAAGTTGTGTAAAGGAACTGAAACCTACGGGCAAGGGGTATATTTACTTGACTAACACAGACAGTCCCCGAACTCGTAATATAACTAAAATAAGGAAAATCGTAATAAAAGTATGCCCCAACCCTAATCTGGAACACACACTACGGGAGTACCCAAATTCCATTTTTTTTTTTCAATTTATTTTCTCAAGTAGACGTTTCCACGTTTTCACTGTGAACCAGGCTGTGTAAACGAGCTATTGATATGGAATTAAATTTGTCAATACGAAGTTTTCGCGCATTCAATCTGTAAACGGTTTTGTAAACGTAATCACAAATATGTAAGGATCCACTATTTAGTAATTACGGCATTATCCTCGCAATTTGATACATGTGGGTGAGTTTTTGGTTATAGAGTTTGAACCGTGAATCTAGTCTAACCACTAGTATTTGTAATTTCCTCTCACCATAAATCCGCAATGAGTTACACCCTTTCCATACACGAAGCTACACTGCTGATTTACGTCGTATATTTGTCCCGGTTCTTCTCTTGGTAACGGTAAAACTATCTGCGGTGGTTCATCCAGTAGACATTGCCCGTTGCCGTAACTGAAATGTGAGTAAAATATCGGTTTTACAAAACTACAACCTAGAATTCCCTTTCAAGAGTTTGTACGGGATTCCTCGACGTTACTGGTCGGACAAAACATGATATACCATTAGCAAAATTTACAGCCAATCGCTAAATTTTATATTGTCAGCCCTTGCACATTAAACCCAGGTTGTGGGTATGTTTCAATATACTTTGGAAACAGCCATTAACAACTATTTATTGGCATCGCGCTTTATATTGGGGGTATATTTAATTGCTATAAAACAGTTCATCGTATTTAGCATAGGGTAAACACTCAAACGTAAAGTTCACGTAATTCAGAATTTTACAAGCTTGTATTGAAATAGCAAAAACCACCTAATTACACCAGTGTAAAGTTTGCAATCGACTACTATGATACTTAACTCCAAAGGAAATCCAATTTTGATAACGAAAGTCGAGTACACTGCTTCTTTAATAAACTGTTAGGAATGTTTATAGTAAACTTAATTTCCCAAGTTTTCAGAAGAAAATTCTAACTTCGATTATCACGAAAAGTCAGGAATTTTAAATCCGGTTAATTCAAAATTTAGACTCCATATCCGGGAGTTTAAAACATCACTACGGCTCCAACTCCAATGAAAAAAACAAACCAAAATCCGATTCCTATTCCACTACGCTAGTTTGAATAGTGACACTTACTCCAAAAATCTTGTGATGTATTTTGCACTGCACTTTGACCAGGACCATGGTTTTGACTTATTGTCTAATGTTGGTGACATGACATGCATACTCTCTGGCTTTCCAGTCGACGATTTGCAATCATCGTTATTATCATGTGGAGCATTGAATCTTGAAAAAAAAATGATTACTAATTTAGTGATTTTGGGGTATTTTGCTCGTTTCAAGTAAAGTATAGAACTCTATATTTCTGACGATATATCGAGTCTAAGTTTCACACCGTTTATTGCCTTTTGCCCACGACAAAATAGCTTTACCGGATACATGTTCACGGTCGGGTTGATGGGAAATTTTTTGTGCTGTCGTGTTTATGTTATCTCAATGCTCGACTGGATCCGAGTAAATCCGATTTTTTAAAGTTAACCTTGGTCGTCGTCATATTGATCATATTTCACACAATGAAGTTTTTTTTTGCAAATTCAACAAAAAATTAATCTTCTTAACTAACCACGGATGCATATTCCAAACGAATGAAACAACCCAAAATTGACTTTCCAATATTGGTGGTAAATATGATATTTAAAATTTTGGCCATGATTATTATTATTATACTTAATCATACATCAATCCTACTTAATCAACAAAATCCATGCGGTAAAATTTAATGTTCCCATGTATGGCGCATTTCAATAAAAGAATATCTATTATTACTTTATACTGAAAAAATCCGGACCACCCAGACTTAGAAATGCAGTTTGCGGCCTGAGGTGTCGTTTTTCACCTGTAGTGTGTATTACATAAGTGTAGTGACGAAGACGAAAATTTGTTGCACAACGCCTTCCATGCATGGCCATGCGCTTTTAATTGTAAATTAACTATATCTCACGCTTGTATGAACATAAAATAGTTTACTTATTGTAGAAATGGCACGAACCGGGGCAAAGAAAAGGTAACTAATGTTGCACGCGGTTATACCGGATTTCTAAACATTTGTCTGCATTCTGAAATACTTGACATTTCAACAATCAACTTACTCATGTCCTATTTCGTGTGCAATAGTGAATGCAGTACTTAATCCATTGTCCTCGTTTATTGAACAACTTCTGAGAGGATCGCACATCGTTCCTAATTCTGCCAATCCTGAAATATTAAATATTAAATAAATATCGTAGAAATTTTTGTAGATTATTTCCATAAAGTACTAAAATGAACACATTCAAATTTATAATATTTCTTATGATAGCTGGCACTACATCCTTTATGTATGTTATATACCTAATAGGAGAAAGGTTGTACATTTTATATGCTTTGTGTAACTCTGCTATCTATATAGAAGCCGCATAGCCTCCTATGGTGGAGGACATTTAAATTGCGATCGAGACCATAACCATTCTTATTCTGAATCAATTTTCAATTCGCGTACCCGCTAATGGGTTAATGTTATTGTAACAAAGTTTGCAAACCAACTGTTTATATCGAAGAATGATATCCCTTACGGAGGAGGAAATTTAAATGGTGACTGAGACTTCCTATTATATACAAGTTCCGAAGTGTAAATACTGGAATACAGATTTGTGAATGAACATAAACTATGTTCATTTCTGCGTATAAAATGATCGTTTACATATTGTAAACACGACTTTCCAAAGCGGAAGAATAATTGAAAAACGTGTTCTAACCGGCGAATTGTCGGCAACATCAGAAGACGTAAAACACGTAAAGCGAGGTCAAGGAATTATGAGGATTACCTTCTCAAAACAATGACGCACGAATATAGATAGCTTCGCTTAAATATAACTTCATCAGATAAGCGACCAATATTTGGAAGAATAATAATACAGTAACGATTGCTTATGGATCAACTTAGCGGTTTGGTCGGGGTGAAAAAATAAATAGTACGCGGTTTGAGAAAACGCATTGTCATATTTTAATAAAACAGCCAGGTTATGAAGTCGGGGACATTGGCATGACATTGGGGCATGGCCCACGAAGGCGTTTTTTCCAAACATTATTTCGGGTATTTGCTAATTTGGACATAAAACTGATTTTGAAAGATTTTATTATTTATATTTCAAGCTTGAAATATATGGTCAAACTTATGAACATTATACCGACCCACAAAGAGCTAAAATATCTTAAATTTATCGTCTCATTGACAATAGCAAAGGCTGTTTGACATACTGGAAATAATTTTGAAACAAAATAAACCCAAATAAGTGTAATTTACACCAAGTTTCTAATCTTAACAAATACCGATATCAATACACTTTCTAAATGTGCGTTTTAGAATACAGTTAAACGCAGTTGAATTTACTAAATAATTTCAACCGTAATGATTGGTAAGATAATCTGACCGCCAATGACAGACTACGAAATATATACTATTGATTGGGGATTTGGAAATTGTCGGCGTACCTACTTCTGCCAGGTGTACAGGTGCACAAAGACACAATGGGATGGAGACCGCCCACAGTGGTTTTGTCGTAATAAACTCGTAAGCGTTGCTCTAGTAGCAGTCTCGAGTAGTCATCCATAGATTTAGTAGTAGAAATTTTTCGACGTGGGGGCAATTATATAGATCATTAAACGGAACTACAAAATATAGACAGAAAAAAAATAATATAAAATCTAATTCGATAAATTTTCAAAAAGTTGACCATATTTTAAACCGACATTATTATATTAAACTTCTTCCATTATTTAAAATGCTAAATATCTCAGCATACTCCTGAGTACCAAACAAATCCGTGCATGATATTCCATACCCGACATGGGCCGTAAACTGGCCGTGGTTTACGATATAACGAAGTCGTCCTATCGGCTTTCTACTCCCTCGAATAAAATATGATAAACCATGTCCTATCTAACGATGTAGGCCTTTTAAACCAACCGACTGGGACGTATCTTCAAACTTTCCTTATTCATTGTTTGGAGGAAACTCCAGAAAAATGAGTTTTGAATGGCTACATAAGCCTAGAAATTGACAATTATACGATCGGATCGTAAATTTATCGTTAAAATTTGTTTGAAATCGCCTTTTTGGAAATATTTTTAATATCACATAATTGTCACGATTTTTAAATTATAATATTTAAAAATACATCACATATAGTTTTGAAATCAAATTATTAATAATTAACACGACAATGGAGCAAGCTTTTTCCACAATCCTTTACTTTTTGTGCTTTGATTTAGGAATTATTTGAGATCACTTATGTGACACCAGAGAACAAATTGTGTGGTTTATGACGGCATAATATGATTAAAATATATAATAATCCTGGTTCTTACCTAAAGTGTCGCATGCTGATTCTGACCTGCAGATGTCTTGCCTGTAAAAATAGAACAAATTAAGTGACTGTAATTAAAATCATTTGGATTATCAAAATTGGTGTTTTTATACATCCGCACGAAGAGCGATCACAACTTACTTATATGTAAATCGCTACTGTTTTTGGAAAAACTTAAATCTCCTCCGTACGATACAGTGTAGCCAATTGGCTTGCTCAAAAGGTTAAAATACTGGCACACCAACAGAACTTTCGTTACAAATTCATTTCACGAGACAAAGACGGTAAAAACAACATTCGATCACATAATAGGATAATCTGAGACACATAATGAGAGCAATTAAGTCAGTCATATTATATGACCTAATTTGCTTTTCCTGGACAAGGTAGAAATTAACTAACCGCAGATGTGCACTTTAATTCAATTGAAATTTCCATTTTCAAATTAAGACGAAAAAAATAAGAAGAGTTAATTGATTTGATCATAATCACGATATAAGATTACTAGTTGTGTTGAAAGTATAAAACACTTAAAAATACTAAGCACATTTGAAATAAGCTGTCTGATGCGGAAAATGTAATTGCTTACGTCACACCGTGACATGTTAGTGCTGCCACAATACGTGGCGCCGCGGATTCTCTCTCAAACGACTTACAATGTGTTTTCAGCCAACTGCATATATACACTCTTTAAGTTTGAGAGAGTATTTTCATACAGGAAATTCTAAATTTGCCAAAAACTAGTAACTATGATGTAAGGCAGCCTGATTTTCCCGTCGTCAAGGAAAAATGAATCTAGAGTTATCAACAACGTAAGCCACGTGTATTCACATAAAATGTTTGCAGTTCTCTTTTATAACTTAGTGAATATTACCACAATGCTTTATTTTGTACAGCTCTCTGTATATCATACGTGTCCCAACGCTTGGCATAGAAGCAACAAATGGCGCGTCATGGTGACAGCAATAAAGACGTGAATTTAGGTTAATATTCGCCAACGTTCCTGGCATAGGTCAAAATTACCATGAACCATATGTATTTTACGATTTTTGTGGTCTACAAGACGCAGATGATTAAAGTAATAAGTGTCACAAATAATGAAAGCACATCCTTCAGCTGAGAAACAAAAAATAATCAGATGGGCGGTATAAAGGTCCCGTCTAACCATAATGCTATATTGATGACTTCTTGTATCGTATGTCATGTGGGTAATACAATGATATTTACGTTTTCTCATTACCCGTGATTCTTAAGACTACTACTGAAACCTATTTCTCCAATGTGTTTATTGTTAAAGCCATTTCTAACCAGCAATAATCGTGACAAAAATTTGTGATGCATGATTGTTTTCACTAGTCGACAACTTGATTGTTTATCAGACAGTGCGTCTGGATTTAGGTCGATCAGCCATTCTATTAAAAGTCATTGGACGACATATTTGTGAGAATATGTAAGATGAGCATAAAGGCAAAGGCGGAACAAGATAATAAACTGACGATTATCACTGGTGTTTGTTACTGTGACTGGCATTTTGAAATTAATGCCACAATACTCTCTATTCTTAAACATATAAATATGGATAAATGTGATTTTAAATTAGTTTCAATTTGTACTGAAACTTTCATAAATGTCACTGAAACTGTGGATTTATTTTCTGATTCCAGCAGATTAATAAATCTTTCTCCTGTTATTATTAGGCGATTATTTTATTACACCGAATACGCGTTTTCATGCGCATCAAATTAAAAAAAATAGTTTATTCAAACGTCGGATAACACTTAATATAACTGAAGATAACTAAATTCACAGTACTTAAGGGAATGGCCATTCATGACAGACAGCTATAGCAACAAAACAGCTATTTTTACCTGACAATCACGCAAATATGAAGCTTAGCAAAGCAAATTTATCGAATAACAACAAATTAACATTTTAGCCAAATTTCATACGAAAGAATTTCTCTTGTTTGTAAAAACAAAATGTTGTATGATTTATAAAAATTGGCATTTGCAATAATATGATCTTAGAAAAACGAAATCTGTGTATACTAACTTAGAAATAATCGGAAAAATATCGCGGAGACGAGATCATAGTATAATAGAGGTTGTCCAAAATATTTGTTTACAAACAGCAACAGATAATTCTAATATCCCTAAATATGACGTCAGAAGTTGCAGTTTTTCACAAATGTTATTTTGAATGCAAAACATTCGAAGCAATTTGATTCGAATACAGCCAGAAGTTGTCAGACACATAAATTCTTCGTTAAGAAAATGAAGCATGTAATTCGTGTAACGCTCAATTTGATTGTATAAATATAAATATTGAACTCTTACCATTTCTCCATGATATAAAAATAATTTTATGACCCGGAAGATGGAGGCGGTGACACCGATAATAGTCTGGGAAAATTCGCCCTACATTGAGACGAAACTTTATTTCCGGCAACGAGCCAAATTATAAAAACCTATTATTTCCGCCGCTATTGAAGTTTGAGTTTGACCGGGCATTATTACCCGGCCAATTATTGGCCAAAGAAAGCGTATGGGAAGTATATTTCACTGTGTATATAGTATATACCCTTTTTATCTTATACCATATGAAATTTGAGTTGATTGAATATAATAATACATATTGAATATACTTCGAAATATGGTTGATATCCCGACGCAATTACTTCGATCAACTTCAAAAAGATTTCTTTTGAATGAAATTGCGGAAAAATCGAGAAATTTGGCAACCTTCGAAATAATTCAAAATTAATTTCAGGTCGATGTTGGTGGGCAAAATTGAGCGAAACTTGATAACCATTCAATGATTTTGTTTGTAAATTCAAACCGTTGCCAGAACGACGACAAAAGCAATATATGCCATAAAAAACATCAAGTTAGGTCTTCAATTTATAAATGCGAGAAAATTTATATAATTCCAGACCAAACGATTGCAGCAATTGAGTCAATGTCAAAATTATAATCTGTTCGTTTACGATTGCATCGTATAATATTTACTTGATTGGTCTACGCGCGTCAAATAATATTTCAAAACCAAGAACGTATTTGAGAAACTAGGATGATCACCAACAGACTGAAGAGCGATATTTTTGCATCTAAATATTCGCAACGATTCTAGAACTACGTAATTAATGGATGTAACTTCGTCAGATACGTTTGTAGAATATCGACACAAAAAAATGGAATATATATTCATTGTTTCGAACAGCTAAATGAAGCTAAAAAGTAACACTAAACCAAACTTATCTATTCAATTAAAGAGTCCAGCTGCACACTAACACAAATGTATTTCTGTAACGTTTCGTCCGACCAGAGTCCAGACTTCCTCAGACAAGGAGTTTACAACTTGTAAACTGCTTGTCTGAGGAAGTCTGACTCTGGTCGGACGAAACGTTACAGGAATACATTTGTGTTAGGGTGCAGCTGGACTCTTTAATTGAATAGAATAGTCATGTTTATTCCAGCTACCGTATCCTTGCAGTATCCGCATACGGATCCACTAGCATAAAGGCATAGAGAAAAGATAGGAAGTTAGTCTCGCGCAACCCAACTCAAACCAAACTTAGCTCGCAATGTATTGTAAACATGTTTTGTTATAATGCTCCATTAACATCAATGCAGAATAAAATGTAATTATTATAAGATAATTCAAATAAAGCTGCTAGATTACGAATCAATATAGATTTTCGTCTACCACAATGCTTAGGATATATCTAGTGATGGGTAAAATATCAAGTTACTCGTTAAAGAACTTGATATCTATTTGGTATAGGTTGCGTTATTCATACCTTCAGTTGAGACATTTAAGCATCTGTATAACGCAAGTCTTGAAAATTCGCATAGACAGTTGCATCACAAATTTTAAGAAAAAAAAGGAAGTTTAAGGGCATATTTGATTTCACCAGATGAAATTGAGACGCAATGCAGCGGCGTTTTGTTTTTGCAGAAATATCGTATTATCTGCAAACTTGTGATGTTAGCTCGTGTGAACGTTTAACGTGAGACTTTCTTTCGACTTCGGCTATATGGATAATGAAAAGAAGTCGCAAGGGTTTTGTGACAAATGGAGTTTTAAATTTCGAATGGGATAGGAATTAGAGCTTAATGAGTGTTGATGCAAATAAAAGAAGAAAATGTAGATTTCTGCTAAAGTTTCCTTGATGACCTGCGACGACGAAACCGTATTATATCTGACTGCATTCAATTACCATTATGGATTGGTTTTGCTGCAATGATGAGCCAATAATGCAATGATGAGCAAGTTTGAGAATTATTCGATCAGTATCATTAACTTCAAGCGGCGATTAGGCGCAGAAATCTAGAAATTATCAGGAATATTTCCAAATCGGTAGACATCACCTAATATACTGCACCCTAATGGTGGTAGGGCAGATCTTTTCAGAAAAGTCTGCTGTGCTAAAATGGTTAGGCTCAATGCGATGCATCATGTCCATTATTCGTACTATTTGATTCCATACAACTCCGATTAACGCAATTTACAGAGCAGTTTTATTCAAATGCATATTATGACCTAATTGGAAGCTATCACATTTCGCAGCGACTACGAAGTCATAACTTGGTTTAGTTTGCAAACCGTGAACTATTCCTATTCAATTGGATAAAACTTTCAAAAAAATCCATAAACGATTGCAATATTTGTCAAGTTCATAGCAAGCCCGTGATGGATGATGCTAAATACAACGTTGCAAATTTGTCATAAATCATAATTATTTTGTAGAATGGACCGAATCAACTGAGTAATAATGGTTTCTGTTAAAGAATTTGCACAATTCAATTCAGCACACTCAAAACCTTATAGGTTAATAAGGACGTGCCTTAAGCGCCAGATAATGACGTCTGACTCGGGACAGTTTCTATATTTTATTTACCAAACAATGTTGGCCTTAGTTAGTTATATCATGCTAGCAATAATATACAGGCATGAAATTCTCAAATTTACGACACAATGCGCCTTCATTAAAAACCGCACAATGCGTTTATTCCTTTATTATAAAAATGAAAATTACATTATTGAGTCTCCACATGGCATCCGCGGAAATATTGCCTTTTCGTTTTAGGATTGTAATAGACTCAGGTTTGTTACTAACATAGCCACATATACTATGGCCAGTCACGAGCAGGCGACGGAGTCGCGTTTTACTTGTCCCACGCTAACTTGTCCCACTTTTCCCAGACTTATCTCATACTTCTCTTACTTGGAACACTGCTCTGAACTATGTAGGTATATATATCGTGGGGCCAATGGTGGAGTAAGCATATCAAGTGGGATTCATACTATGTTCTGGGTAGATGATATATAATATTTTAATAGAAGGTTCGGGTTTTCATATGAAGTGTGATCTATACGATTTGGAACTGTGTTGGACAAACAGATAACGGCTCTTTCAAGCTAATGCTGTAATAATATTTTCAATGACTTAGCGAACTCACCTTGTAATAAGTACCGCAGTATCATGGTGATTAGGATGCGAATCATCTGGATCATTTTCATCAGCTTGCCATCGACAAAAATTACGAAGACAATCGTGTGCATTCTTTGTTATTCGTGGTCCATGCTAAAAAAGAAGCGTTGAAAATTATGAAATTGTCACAGAGGAGCAAAAAGAAAGTGAGAAAAAAAAATAGAAAGAAGGGGATCGGAAAAGTAGAGGGAAAAAGTGTTACGGCGTTTGTTCACGCGTTTCGATCCAAACAAGGTCGTGTATAAGCAATTGCTGATATCGAATCATATGTAACTAGATATTATTTTCCGCTTCGACATTTCTTAGCCTATTTTTTGCATCTTGGGTGAGATGGCGAGCATGGAATCTGCATCCGAGATGAGTAACCTGCGATGGACGACACTTGAGTATAAGTAGAAAAAATAAGAAGTAGAAAAACAGGGGCAACGATCAGAATCAAAACTCTTCTGGCGTTGAATCGTACACAACAGTAATTTCCCACGCTACGTGACCACAACATACGAGTTAACTCCTTCAAGGTGAATAGTAGTGTTGTGAATAAAACATCACATCACGACCGATGCGTCAAGTAGATGCGACACGGTGTGTTGACGTCGTGAGATTGGTGACAATGATACGACACTCAAATTATCACTGGGGCGCAGTAATAAGCCACCGACATCCGCATTAGTCCAGGTACTCAACACCAGGCGCTGTGTGTACACGAAGTCAACCATGGGGCACTTGTGACGATGCCAAATACTTAATATCGATTCCCAAAACAGGCTAATAGTACATGTTTTGATAATTACAGTTTTATCTACCTTGAATACTCCACCGAGACTATGAAATACAGAAGACTAGTTTACAGTATATAACTGGTTATCAAGCTTGAAAATAATGCGATATGATATGAAACTTTTCATGAAAACTAAACAACCCGGTTCGATTCGCGTCATTTAACGCCGGAAAAGAGATTTCTACAATCAAAACAGGGGTATACTTTGATCTAAGCGTAACCCACCATCTGCGAAAAGTTGCTTGTAAAGATTCGGTTTAATACGAGAGAGCTTTACAATTTTTAAATGTCGCGTCATCGAAGACTATCAAAAAAAGCAGCAATTTCACTTATATTTCAACTATTGCATATCAGCCAGCTTTGGATCAAGCCAGAAATACAACATGAGTGAATAGTTTGTTTTACTATGTTTTCATAATATCGCGATTATCCGCACAATAGTCATAATCTTCGATGGTTTTTCACGACCATATTAAACAGGTAGAAGGGAACGGAAGGTAGGAAATCTCCGCCTTTGTGTTTGTAACACCTGTCTATTCTCTTTGCTATAATATGTTAAAATCGCCACCTTTCAAGTTACGTCAATTTCGCTCATGTACAATGTAAAAATATCACGTCGGCATTGCTAAAAATATATTTGTGCCGGCATTGCGTCATTTTATTTTTAGAATTAGTGATATATTATGATAGTATAGCATGTAGTTTTTTGTTAATTCCGCGCTTTTGGATGCGACTCTCATTGACGTCTTCAAACGCGAATATGTGAGAAGCGAGTATTTTCGGGAGAATCTCTCTTGTTCAGACCCAATTTATCACACTCTGTGGGAAGTGTTTTTTTTATTGTGCATTTTAGTGATTTACAGTTGCATAAAACTCTAACTAAGAATTTTGATGTCGTCCATGAATTTGATGCAATAGGAAAATGCAGTTTTAGATTTAGAAAACACCAAAAATATCGCAAAATATATAATAGTAAAAGTTACTAAAAAAGCAATCTTCAAATTAAAAAAGATTAAATTGTTTTCTAAATAACATGATGTGAAAACGAATAATTACTAAATAATACGAATACGTTTACCGTTCTAAGGTTTGCAAGTGTATTGAATTGAATTTAACTAAACTTTCGAATAACGTAATTAATAAGTTCCAATTACCTTAAGTAAGTCACTGAGTGCATTTATTTGCATATTACCATACTTACTTCTATAGACTAAGACAAAGAATAAAGACTATTTTTCCGATTGAAAAAAAAAATCAAAAAAAGAAAACCACTTTAGTTCGGTTTCAAGCATTTCAAGTGGTGTATTATAAATGACCACACATAAACACTTGAACGTCAATTTGTACTTGAAAGATAAGAACGTAGTGACGGACTATATGCACTACTGAAGATTGAACGAAAAGGCGTGGCCTAGATTTGGTCAAGCGTGAAAATGTTCTTTGCCGAAGTTGGACTACTATAGTCCAAACCCGGCCATGTATAATTTCCATTTCGCGATCTTGGTCGTCCGTGAAAAAAACCATTAGTGGGAATATTCCTGCCAAAATTTTGTTTATGGGGTGTAAAGGTTATCATGTTTTACGTCTTGTACTTTTGAAGATGTAAACGGGACGACGTCTAGCCATGTACATGTGTTTATGGGATGCGCTTGGTTCTGCATCTTTTGTTGCACAATGGCGTCCCTGTTTAAGTAGCAAACTTGTCTAGATAAAATTAACCATCCATCAATCATGGGGTATAAATAAAGTGATACAAATAGTCTCAATTTAACTACGGGTCATACTAGATATACGGTAATGGTAAAATGAAATGTCCACTAGGGCTTTGACACCAACATTGCCAAATTGGCGCGCGACGAAGGCAATCAATTTTAACGTGAACCAAGATCCGAAGCTTGGTTTAAACGTGAGGAAATGTACAAGCCAGCGTCAGCGGAAGTGATGAGAAGAATCGTTTGCAATGTTGCTATCGCGACATAGTTTTGGCGCGCTTTGAAGTTCTAGATCTATTTTTATTCATTTATTTATAATAATATTATTTATTTAAACAATATATTATTCATGCTGCGGTTAAATCTTAAGTGCTTTCATTTCCGCTTTCAACTTCACTAAGTCAAGTCCACTTTTGTTAATATGTATAATTAATAGAAACAGGTAAAGATGGTAAAGAGCAGGAGAAAATACACAAAAAAGGGAGTGGGATGATGATCCTCATTCATTAAGTGGATGATGTAGCCAATTCTATTCAACGCATTTGATAAAATTATAGAAATGTTATCAATTCTAATACGAAAAATGGTAGACTTAACTGGATTGTCGTGTTAATATATTCATTACATCTCAATATCCAAACCAAATAATATTTTTGTTACATTATCAATGGAGATTCTGAGTGATCATTATATTTATCCTTCTTATATGCTTTTGCACTATTACATTCGTATGCATTATATTGGATTCAGTTTTATATTCAGTATAAATTGGCTATGGATCTATAGTCGTATTCTCTATTTATAGCCTAATCTAGTTTAGGGATATCACTTTATATGGAGGCTGTTATATTTTATTGTGTTTGAATCTACCGTAATTACCCATTTTTTTAATTATCCTATCAACAAGGTATTATAGTGTAGGGATCCGCGACGTTGGTCAGTAGGTAATATGACGTAACAAACTATCACAATTAGTTTATCACCAACACATTAAATTTATTAACCAAAGAGAATAGTTCAAAGCTTTGTACTTACCCTGACGTCGTCGTCTCCGACTATTACAAGTTTAACCAAGACGATATTGACTAGATTCCCAATACTGGCATCACGATAAACGCTGTGAACCTGTGAATAAAATTTGAAAAATTATATTTGATTGTTGTGTCATGCTTTTATGTTTTATGTCATGCATCCTTCAACTTTACAATATTTGACTAGTTACTAGTATATGATGCTTCTCTGATTGGCGTTACAATATATACTTCTTTGTATATTGTCATTTGTTCAACTTTAGATTGACGGACAAAAGGTATTCAGTATCGATACTTTGTTTACAATTCTGTCAGAATCAAACAATTCCATAAATATTTTCACGTTTGATAATTCGATAAAATATAGACTAAACAAGTAAATCGTGAAATCGTAAAAAAAAATTTGCCAAGTTCGTAAAAATATCGTCAGTCGCTATCTACAATTGGTGAATATACCAACAATCAAAACCAGGTTTATTATATCAAAATGGATATAGTTTTAAAAACGGGACGGTTTGTTAGGAATCGTCCAAATTGCCTATTTTATGTTCGTGAAACACATTTAGAACTACCGGTATATCATCATATCGTGGGTTCGTTTACTTTTTTTTATCTGCTGGAATGATAAACAAATGAACTATAATTAAAAATAAAATGGTGCGTATTGAACGGTCAAAGTTCTACAACAGTTACACGAATGAGGCGTGGTGTAAAACAAATTGAATAATAGGAGTCGCATATTCTAAAAATCATTAAGATCAGGAGTTCCTCGAATACATTTGGGGTGATTTTTGTTCTATATTTCATACGACATTTTATTGCTCATTGCGGCGAATATAGCCCTGTAAAAACAGACACCGATATCCAACGATATTTCTCCAATTTCCATTTCCTACTCAATTTATCGCACCCTGAGTGAGTGGTGGGCATTTGTACCGGAAACGTGCAATTAGTGATGTCAACACAACTATTTCGAACGTCTTAACCACTGAGCTATCGAGTCCGTATTTCGTAACTTGCGTATTTCGTAAGAAATAACAGTTTATACTTCTCAATACCTCTGTAATCTAATACAAAAGGAAATCATCGTTTCGTCAAGGTGACCAAATAGAATTACTGTCAATTAGCAGTTAATTTAACGAAGTTTAATGCTTGCTTTGTCGTTGATCTGATTTGTGTTTATTTTGTTAAATGTTATTTTAACATTTCTTAAAACAATCTAACCATATAATTATATACCAAATGTAGATAGGGCACCAAATAGTACTATCATGCTTATATATCTCACATATATTCAAATTCTTATGATCTTTCATATTAAATTCGACAATGCTATCGGCGATATGATATTCCACCAGATGCATTCAACTCCTTTGCATACCCGTGTTAGCGCTTTTTACTGTTTAGCGTGTTTCGTAGTGAAATATTTCGTCTATTATAATCACAACGGTATAACAGAAATCGTGCTGACCAGATTGCAGAGGTATGGCATATATATGACACGACCGCTGCATCGCAAAACGTAATGGTTTATATCATCTATTTATATAATACCGACGCAAAGGGAATATGAACTATGGCGATATCACCGGTTGAATTTGATTCTCTCCCGTGGGATACGTAGAAAGGTTTGATTACACATTTGCAGAGGTATAAGCCTTAATACTGAATATGATAGGCATTGGAGAGTCGCAAATGTTTACGTATATGACGCAGGTAAGGATACTTTGGCACGTAAAGATCGCGGACAATCCCAAACAATACGATCACAAATATAAAGTGTACAACATTTGTACTAGATGTTTAACTAAAGCAATAGGATTCAACAAACCATCCAGTCTGTTAGCTATTCCCCATTTTCTCAGACTGTAACATTGATAAAATAAATATATTACGAAATGCCATAGATGAATTACAGCTGAAATTCTATATTACTACTGTTAGAATTCATCTGTTAAGTGTAAATATCTATATCCAGGTCTTTGAGTCACGTTCAATGGTAAATACCCGAATGATTACTAAGTTATGTTTTCTTATTGTATCAAATTGAAGTCAATAAACACTATTTGGGATGTGGCAGGAAATAGTGTGAGAAATATTTTTTTTGTATGATGAGGAAGTTTAAATCACAAGTACTTGGCAAATTCTTATACGATTACGACAAGCAAATTTGTTTTCAAGTTCTCTCGTTTGGTTTGAACCTCACTAAAATTGTGAGGTCAATAAGAACTATTTGTGATATGGCAGCAAGTAGTTGGATAAATATTTTCATTTTTCATGATGCGGAAGTTTAAATCACCAGTACTTGGCAAATTCTTTTTCGATTACAAAATGTAAATATGTTTTCAAATTCTCTCGTTTGGTTTAAACCTCACTAAAAATTGTGAAATAATGGTTAAGAATGTGACGATGGTGTTATAAGTCTTCAATTCTATTGTCGGAATGATCTTTTCTCATTCAAAGTGTAATCCACACTCGATAACCAGGATTGAGTCAGCCGAGATACGGTGTAAAATTTCATTAGGGCTAGGTCAAAGCACCCACAACATCCGCTGGTATAGTTCGGGCAAAAATTCCACAAACAACAAAATTTGACGAAAACCAACGCCAAATCACAATATTGCTATTTTGATTCATCAATATATTTTTCAAATCCAGAGTAAAAATGTTTTTATTACATTTTATAATTTAAATGTGAAACGTTTCAAATTCTAGTTGGTCCAGTTGCACAGCCAAGTCCATCACTAAATTGTAACGAATTATTCCACGAAGTTATTCTAGAATAAAAATGGGCTAACCAAAATCCATAATTAAAGTTAGTAACCATGTTAATTGATAATTCGGCAATTCATATATAGAAAGTCATAAATAACCCTGTCATATGAGGGCGAATGATTAATCGTGTCTAAGCAAAGAGATCTCACATAAGTGCCATGTTTGGTACGTAACCTATTTTCAATCACTATATAATGCATGATTATGATTGAAATATATTGCCGGTTAGACTATTTCATTGCGAGAAAATCGTTTTCACACGTTTCATTGCGGAAAACGACACCTTGATAAGGTTCTACGCTTCGTTACTCCCCGATTAACCCTTTTTGAACCAAGATGACAAAATAGAAGGTATTTAAAAATAAAGTAAGAATTTGAAATTCAGGAAGGAGGAGTCTACTGAAAATGTACCAACATATAATAAATTTTTGCTATCAATTGGGTTTCTGTGGGGCTAACTGCTCATATTTTTCTATGCTTTCACGCTGGTGTATATATTTGCTTATTATGCAGGGATGCTGTAACGAGATTGAAGATCATTATTCTAACCGAATCAAAAGTCTTGTTGCACACTAACATAAATATATTTCTGTAGTATTTCGTCTGTTCAAAATCAATCATCAACTACCCCAAACCAAAACAAAATAAATTATGTTGATTGGGTAACGGGTAGCTGAACATATTAGATTTTGCTGTTGAATTGCTTGGAATATCGAAAAAAAATTGTACGGCATTTTACTTCAACTAATGTCATGTACGATATGGCGACAATATATTTTTCTTGAAAATACTGAACGTACCCAATTTACTGCTTAACTGAAGTAAATGTTACAGATTTTCCTATTATTTCTCACATTCGCATATCTGCGGATCGGCTTATTTAGAGAAATCATCCACAAAAATGTATGTATAAAATGTACGCAGTAGATACGATGGCTTTTCTAACATGCGATAAATTTGGTACTCCATACTTTGTCCAATTTATCAGTCGTATGTAAAGCCGAATGCCGGCGTGGACCATGTACAAAAAAGGGTTAATGTCTATCTAAACTGGTGGTGAGTGGGTTCAGCGCAAAATATACCGCCTATTTTGTAAATTGGGTCAGATAGGTATATCAAATACCTTTCTTTAAATATGCTTAACCCAATTATATCGTTGACAGCTACCGAATCATGATGTATTATATAAACAATATATCACGTTAACACGAACATCGCTATTTTCCCATCATTTACAACATGCTTTGCAAACATCGGAAATATGTAAATCCTTGTATATATGAGTTTCACATTTAAACACAGTTGAGTGTGGATATATATAGAAGTGAAGAATTGATAGTCTGTCCTTTACTCGAGATTTGTAAAATATTAAATAACGACTCACAGCCTGTTAGTTGCAAGTGTTTTAGTATCCAGGGCATGTCGCAAAAAACTGGATATTCGGAAGTATTAATCAGAAAAAAGCTTAGTCTAATCAATTGCTGAACAATTAACTATATCAAAAAATCGACCAACCCGGAATGATATTATTATATAGTTATATATTTTTTTTATTCATATCGACAATTATTACTGTGTTGTTAAACCACCCTCATTATGCTTTTGGATCCATCCTTTGTTACGCTTTACAATGTCGAATTATGCCTAATTGTAGAAGCTAAAACGAATGAGCGAAATTTTTAAACTGGAAGACATTTTTCGTGTATTATTGTAACATGAAAGGCTTGCAAGTCGGGTTTTGAGTCTTAAATCAGTCCTACTTGGAAACTCCAGATTTGTCCAGCTCAAAGGGTTTGCAATACTCACATATAAGCCTATTTATTACAGTAAAAATCGTAATATACAATATAAAACATAAAACAAAAGAATGTTGATGACTTTAGTCTGAGTATGCCAATTGCTTTTCTGAATCACACTTCAAAAATTTAGTGGACACTCATGCCCTCAGTTAGACATTGGACATATGTGTTCAACGCATTAAATCAATGGCCCATCTACGATTTACGTTCGAATTCCTGTGTTAAAAAGTAATTTTAGATGAGTTATAAACATATTGAGACATACTCGAAGTCATTGTCGCAAAGTACTTTCTAATAAATTTTGAAGTTGATATTCTGACTACATCCAAGCTTGACACAAACGACTCGTGTCATATATCTAAGTATAATCTTTGGCCCATTGTTATACCATCATTTTTTATTGACATTATTTTAGTATGACTCAAGCGACTAAACATATTTAAACACGTTGAAGCCATGATGTACAAATTTCCTGGAAAACTATCCTGACCACATCACAAAATGGGGCTACGAATGAGACAAATATGCATTATCTGCGGTATAATAATTGACAATATAGTTTCAACTACAGCGAGATATCATCATATTTAAAATTCTGTATTTCCGACTTTAAATATTATTGTATTTTCCGACATAGAATAAAAATAATATAGAGCATGGGGGCATGTTTAGCATATTAGATGTGATTTATTTTGTCCAACTATACACACATCCATATATTTTAGTCTCGTTGCCCTACCTTGGTCGCAATTGAAAATCAACTAATTTACGCTTTTATTGATGTTTTCCATTCCATACGCTATATATTTGATATATACCCTATAGGTTGGATTCATCAGTTTAATGAGCAATTACAACTATATGCTTCGAGCGCCGAGTCTTTTTTTAACGTGGCAGTGACATTTGTTCTGACGGTACAAGCACAATACATGTTTGCGGTTAAGCAGAAAAGTAAGGACCAACGGAATGTTTTTTCAACGTTGGCGCCTGATAACCGCGCCTTCATTTTAGTCAATCTTATATAGAAAAACGTAAGGAGCGCGATAAAAAGATGCACGCACGCGTACGTGTGCGTTAGGTAAACTTCCAGGGTCACGCCTGTCAAATATATGCAACTATTGACGAATAAAAGTAGGATAATAATAGAAAGTGCAAATATCCGTCTTGACCCTACCTATATAGAGATGGTATTTGTGATATTGCATAACAGGAATACGTTGAATTTTATCACAATGAAAGACTGGGAGAGCGTCGGAATAATCGAGAACACGAATTGTTACTCGTTACTTGTATAAATTAATCAAGTTTTTGTGTCGCAGTAATTAAAACTATTACAGACATTTACAACTTAATTTGCATTGCAAAAACAGATTTCACACATAATGTAATATACGATTTAAAGTGGGATTCGAGAATGTATGATTCTCCTCTACAGGACAAATTGAATATTTCCAATTGATATTTATTTTAGGAGTCTTGGACACTGATTAACCCATGGTAAGTGATTTACTCAATCGTTTCCGGTCACATTTAGCGGAATCAGCTCTATATACTAAAGTCGATAACAGCTTACATAAATTATAACAAAAAAGTAGTAGAAAGAAAATAATAATAATATGGTTGTTAATATTGAAATGGAATTTAGGGTAATTTCAATAATTTAATTTTGAAAAGATTACTTACAATTGCCATTAGTGTCAGAACGTAGTGCTGAAGATTGGCTCCGTGTGTTTGAACCATACCATTATCAGCTGTGACCATCACTTCAACGTTCCGTGGATAAGATAAGTATCGTTTCCTTCTAGATTTGGGTTCGTTTTCCTGTGCAAGTGGTGATGATGACAAACTTTCAGTTTCGTCCTTCGTTCTATTATGACGAAACACTTTGCGAAATTTCCTGTATTCATTACGCAATTTTAACATTGTGACGCCATTTGGTGATTGTTTGAATAAATCTTCCAGGGCTCGTAAATTATGTTTTACTCGGGAAGAAGAAAGTTCTGTTTCCTTCGAGAGAACTTTTACGATATGTTGATTATGTCCGGACAGCCATCTGCTCATCCTTTTCCGTTTTCCACTTATTGTTCGGTTGAGGTATTGTTTTATGAAAGTAACTAGTGCTTCTGAAGAACCGTGGACAGACGATTGAGAATTGACAAAAGCCTCGGGTATAGAGTTTTCTGAAATATACAATTTCAACTGTTAAACGCAAAAACGTTCATTTCAATAGCACTAAAAACATTCAAATGAACGCAATCTTATTAGTCCAGGCCCCCATTATTTCATCGTAAAGAGCTAATGAGACTTATCCTACCATATAGTCGATAGAAAAATTTAATATTTTTATTTTAAAATCACTTTTCACAGAGGGGCCAATAATGTGGAAGTCAATAACCCCCAAACGTATAATTATTATGCATGTTGAAATGATAAAAGTAAATTCAAAGTTTCAAAAACTAATCTGATTTTTTAATCTTAAAAGCCCATCAAAGATATACAATTAATTAAGCGGATAAAGACCACTTAAGGGAACATTTTCATTTAAAAAGAAAAAAGTATCAAGTGAAAAGGTGTATTTCATCTTGTAAATGGTGGTTCATAAACTCAAACCGCCACCGAAGATGAAAATGACGGTATAATTAGTGTTAGTAAAAGGCGGGGATCATTATGTTCTTAAAATGACCGATAATTACGGCAACTTCAAGGTTATTTTGAAGTTTTAACAAGAAGGCTGTAAAAGTGCCGAATAATTAGCAAAAAAGATGATAAATCGGATACGTATAGGAATGACAGAAAGACTTTTACATGTAGCTGTATTGTATTTCCATTTAGCGTTAATGACTGACTTGTTAGAACAACCACGCGTTTGGTTGGTGAACCTGTCTGATGGTGAATATTAACAGAATATCATATGTCATAAAACTATAAGCGTAAGTTCTTGCGTCGTTTTGTACGTTATACAACGAGACATGCATTTCTTTATTCCTTTTACATTTACTGTAACAGTATCATTTAATGCACAAAAAAATTTCAAGGTCATCAATATAGGTAGCCTACCTACAGTATGTATGGCAAATTTTAGAGATCGATTTCAGTAAAGAAGTCATTGACAAAATAGCGTATTCTGGAATTCAGTCTTGGGTTTTTAATATGAAAATTTATACTTTGTTCCCAAATGCAGCGTATCGATATTTGACGCTATATATACGATATTAGTTCATGCGGATAATAATTCACGCTGGAGGATATCGATTCGTATAACAATTTAAATTTACAATTCCGCCGTAATGCATTTTTCATTACAAAAATTCTACACACGCCGATTGTGTGTTGCTGCGACCTAAATATGTCTGTAAATTTGGTTACCCAGGATAATTGATGTACAAGAATATTAGCTTTTTGATGTAAGTATAAACATACAATCTAACTTCCTACAACACGATGTAGTTAACAAGGCGCGGCAATAGCAACAATTCGGAAACATACGTCACAATGCCCAAACAAACTTTTCGTCTTCGATATGAGAAGACAGTCATCCGTCTTTTTGTAACTTTCTTCCTATTTTTAAACAATCGCTCAATTCGGCATTCACATTACAGTAAACTAAAATATGCCAATAAAACTTTGCGACGACAAAAGCAAGCCACATCGGTTTCCTAACCCAACAATGAGTCGATATACGAAGCATGTTAAATGCTTTCGCGATTTTTTCGATAACCAAATCTGACCCGAATCTTTCGCTTTTAATAAAATGAGTCTGATTGAATGAAAATAAGGCTTGAGTAATACCACGAAATTGTAACGTATGGGTGGCCAATGTTAATTGAACATAATCCAATAACGGTAATGTTGAGAATAATTGAGTAATTTCTCTTTTAAAAACATAACTTGTGGTTTTCCGATCTGAAATCGCTTATTTCATGCCTAATTACCACACAGAGGGCTGGTTGTATTATAGGCAAACTGGAAAATATTTTGCAAAATTAAATTAAAAATAAACTATGTTTAAAGGCACAAAACAGATTATCAAAAATACTGTCGTTTTAAACAAATCCCAATAAGGCGAACCGCAATTAAACTCATAGATATTGCAATTAGAACACAAAGAACGTGTTTTAGTAACAATTCAGAAAGTTTGTTCAAGCCAAAAAATTCATTATTTTTACGCACGAAAAGGTGTAGTATTACTGAATCGAATCTCTATTCCCAGTCAAAAGGACCAAAAAGTGATCGCTCACGTGGTACATGATGGGTTACGACTATAAACAAGAGCCTTATAATTTGCGGCTTTCGAGGTTTAGCTCAGCATTATTAGTATTCGACATTCGTCGAGGTCATTCGACTTGAAAGAATCTGGTGATTTTTGTTTCACCTTATCATTGCTCTCGTTTGTTTGTATATAGTTTACATCGACTAATACGATACTTCCGATCGCCCTATCGCCGCTGGCAATGCCGGTACCACAAAACATTGAAGAATTCAGACATTTCTATGCAGTTTATATCTGTTGTAATGAATAAATTTAAGAATTGTATTATCGCCAAGCACGAGTGATGATAAAACTATATCATATTATGTAGGATTATATATGGATCACAATTGTTTATACATAATTGTATTGATTTTTTGCAACGAATTGTGATGAACATAGAAATTGCATTTAGCAGCATTCTAACATTGTTACATATGTTAACAAGCATTCTTCTAAAACTTAGTGTAATGAAAATAAACATACAATTTTACGGCAATCTGTCTCTATCCAGGCAAAGACGATTCAAAATCTATTAGACGTATTGTTGATCGGAAGTATATTGGCCATTCACGATTTTAAGAACAGCATTATTTATCACAAATTATATTTATTAAAATTGTGATGTAAAAATGTACGAAATAACACTAGAGCAATGAAGAATGAATTTCGCACCTGTATGCAAAATCAAAATCTGTCATTAAATGTCTCTTATATAAACGTTGCATAAAACTTACATTGAAACGATTCTGAGAAAAGCACAATACAAGGCATGTCAGTGGGCATCACAATGGCTGAAATTGTTAAAAGTTTTTTGTTTCTCTATAAAATTTATGAGTAACCTTTTATCTGTGTTGTAAAACAATAAATTCAGCTACTGGATGCTGGTATTTTACACAATCTTTTCATTTTATAATTAAACATATCATGTTCATTTTACAGGTTTGTTTACAATATATCGGCCGATAATGTCTGTCAAATGACCGGCAACATATCCTTGGATACCAGCGCAAAAAAATAAATAGTAATACAAGTTGATTTACAGGTATGATTTAGAACAGTTCGGTTACATTGATAGAATCACAAAAATGCGGATTTCACATAATATACATTGGGAAGAAATCGTTTTCACAAAACGTGGAAAAAAACTTGTGCGGAGACTTTTCCTTCGACATAGTTCATTTCCAAATTTGAATTCTCATAAATTCATTAGCCGTACAAAAACGTCAAAAAATGTCCAAAATACCTCATACTTGTGGCATATGTTTTGTTTGGGTAAGACCGCGATAATTCGATTGAGTATATTTGCCTATGGTGGTCGTGTATATTAGAAATCCGATTGGCGCCGATCCGTGTGAATAACCCTCCATGTCAAACGATAATATTGTATGAAATCACAATAGAATCCTCATATCTGGTCACGTTTTCGGGTACTAAAAACTTATCTGCATTTAAGCATGTTTTATCGATAATTAAAGATCCAATAATACGGTATATCATCTATCCATATCCCTTCGATGAAGGTATATCAAACTTTTAAAGGCGGAGTAAGGAGCCGGTGTTAAACATTTGAAATGATTGGACGCTTTGATTTCTACAATTGCGAAATTAGAAACCGTTAGCAAAGTTTGAATGAAGGTTGGGTTTGCCAAGGTCAATTCATATAGATAGAGAAAATATAAATTCACATATCAAACAAATCGAATCTTTACATCTGATGAATTCCTTTCAGTGACAAAAATTTCCGTCCTTCCGATTACAACTCATTTTAATTTTAATGAGTGTTATAGATTCTATGAAATTCGGTATTCCTGCCATTACTCAATGTGTATAACTGTATAGGAATGGATGATAAACGACACAGTCAATTTCAAGCCACCGTTATTGTAATTGTAACCACGAAGCTGTCGGTCTCGTAAAACTTATCAGACCGTGGTCGACTGACAAGCGGTCGGAATATAAGAAGCAGCATTGTCCGTAACCGACAGTCCAATATCAAGTGCGAATGGAAAAGCTAATGAATTGGGTAATTTCTCACCGTTTAGGGTCGTTTTTCTCAATTTAAAAAAAAACGGTTTCTGCGTGAGTGTAAACATTGAAACTACCCACATGGATTAAAGTACCGGCTACTTTAAGTCCTAGATACTACACATACTTGGATCTTATAAGATCATGCAAAAACCTTGAATAAAACACATTGTGTTATACTTGATTTTGCCTTTTTCTACGTTAATTTGTTTCACAGAATCTGGGATCAGGAATAGTATTTGAAACACTTCTAAAGTGCTTTGTTAAAACTAAAACTTAACAGCGGAAACCACCATTGTGCAAGACCACCGGTGTCAATTTTGCGCCACTCAAACTCTGTCTCAAAATCGAATTACTTCCTTATAGAACTTTAACTCTAAAAATTCCAGAATTTTCAACGTTTTCTCTTCTACTTGAAGGGCTACTATGTTTTAGTGTACGTCATGTTTGGCAGTTTTTGACATATTTGGCAACAGTTCAAAGGATTTTTCCACTAACTGACTGTCGTAATTTGACTTTTATCAACGTACCCAGAAGTTGAAATTCGACTGCAAAAATAGGAAAAAAGTTTGTCTTGGTCAGAATATTATATTCCATTATGTTTAATACATTCAGTTTAAAAATGCCCCACTCAACATTACAGTTGTATACCCACAGTTGAAAGCAGCATACCATGATTACGACAAAAATAATACACAATTACCAGTGACATGATATATAGTTCGTTCGTGGTCTATAATTTATCTCTATTGACGCTTTGTCAAAAAAGTCTGACACTAAAACGTTCAAGGTGTGGATTTGCGGGTTATTTGACCTTTATATTGATCGATTAAATTCATTTAATAACTAAAACTCAACTGTCGGAAAAAAATATAGGAAACTAATTGAGCACGTCGTCATCGACTTATTTGGCATAGTATAATTTCCTAAAAACATACTTCCTATACCAGCGACAAGTTGCGGTTGGGTGAAATATGACATGATGTGCAATTACGCCATTACAAGTGATATTTAGTCGAAAGTTGTCAGGTAGCGGACACGAACTTTTGGTTACATTTAACCGCAAAGTCGCGAGGAAGAGGACTCAATTAAGAGAGTATCCGCTGCAATACCAGCTTCAAAATTAGAGCGTATCAAGTCCGAAACCTATCTTTTATCTATTTAGGTACATACAACACACACTTGGTAAGTTGCGACAAATCAGTGTCTCTTAGGGGGGAATCTAGGTACAGCCAATAACATAAAAACGTTGCCTGGTTGGGAGCTGGTATGACTTTTTATAGGCACTTAGTTCACAAACCAATAAGTAATCAATATGATATAAAATGTATACCATGCAATTTTGCCAGTACATGACGTTGCCATGGCACCATGCGTCCATTAGCTGATAGTGATCCTAATAAATAAATGCATAATATAATGTGCAATCCTATTTAATTGTTATATTATATCATAACTGGGACAGATATGTCAGGCGCGTGTCATTCATGGCCATGCAGAAGTTTGTAATATTCTCAGAATCAGAGCATTAAAAACTCAGCAAAGGTTGATGATGCGCGTCCATGCGGAAAATCTATGAACAAAGGGACCGACAACGATACAGGCTTAAGGTACAGGATGATCAAAGTACCACTCAAGATAGCGTCCCCAAATAACGTAAAACCACTTTTGGCAAAGTCTAAATCTTGGTTTACCTTACAAAAATCAGACTTTGAAACAGAAACGATTTTTTTAGATAAAACTATCAAAAACGAAAAATAAATTAAGGGCTTGCAAACCTGCAACTATTCAATGCACTTGGTGTGCTATCTCGAGAATGTGCCTATTTTTATAGGCAATTGAACCGACGTTCGAACAGACACAAATAAAAACGATCACGTTGCTATTGCCTGAAAAAGTAGGTTTTGCCGCTGCGCAGCTTTTAGAGGCCATGCGGTAGGTGGTTGACATAACTATACATCCGTATCGCAAGTTGAAGAATCAAGTTAAATACTGTTACGTTATTATCCATCAGACCGCCCCGTGCCACTCTATCAAGGATGTTAAAACGGGTGCACCATATTTGAAACTGGTAACCTCCGGGCCATTCCAAAGTAGTTTTCCACGCTTTCGCGCATGCTGGTGAAAAGCCTTGCTTTTATTTATGAGTTAAATACCGCATGGAGAGAAACACTAACGGATCTTAAATATTTTAGTTCGATAATTCAAAGTTAGTATCAAAATCGATTTAAACGGACGATTGGTTGGGCGGAATATACATTTGATTTCCCGGTGCGGGATAATATTACACCAGCAAAATATAAAAGTTGTTTGAGGAAATGTCAACATACTATTAACCTCATATACATTCCGGAACCGGCAACGGAATTAACTTTTGTAACGCTCGTAGTAGGTCTATACATATTGCCGAAAAGTAAATATCTCAAAACATAATAAATGGCCCAGTGAAATCTCTCACTTTAAATCTTATTTTCTTGTTTGATTGAAGATAATCTCGATTCTCGTAACCGGTGTTATATGAACTGATTTCTCGCAATTCACCGCGAAGTACGGTTATGTGTGTAAACGCTATCGAATGAAATTATTTACTTTTGAAGTTTACAACCCCGTCAAAATTGTAACTATCCATCACCAAGTGATGGGAGCATATATAGGATATTAACAAACTTTGTGGCTCGACTTGTTTAGTCAAGTGTATTTAAAGCTACTACAAATGCGGCAATAACATTTGGGATGAACACAGCATCTACTGGCTACAGATTCTTAATGTACTGTATACATATGGCGGTCAATTAAGAATAAATTTCTATAAAAACTACCAATAGGAAATCCTGAAAATTGCATTCTCAGTAATTTACAAGATCTGATCAAGAAGTTTAGTAATCAAACCATATGGACCTTTTTCAAGACAATTTTCTCAAAGCAAGTTTAGGCGCTAATAATTTCGTTATCTATCTAATCAGAGTGGGTGATTTACCACGGACAACAAACAAGAATGGACTGTACAATCTGTCAAACATGTCCGGTGTTACAAATCTTTACCTATGAGAAGATAGCTATGGTATTCTGGATGAATTACACACTAATAAGACAGTTCGCGATTTGCACATTTAAAATTTCCATGTGATGCAAATGAAGTATCATATTTTTAACCATGCATGGCAAAAACTTATCAGTCAAGATTAACGATAAATTTAAAACCATATCAACTTGCAACTGAGGTGGTTAACCAAATATCGGTAATGCGTAACCTCGCGGCTCGCGGAACACCAATCGGAAATAAACGAGGCTTTATGTAACCCGAAGTCCGTAACGGAAATGAAAATAAACGTAGGTTATGATAATAGACGGCTGCACAATAGATGATACACGATTGTCGAAAGACGACGATGAAGAATGATCAACAAACAATAAAGAGCTGCCGCCGGTCCGTTGCTGCTGTTTGGTATGATATACGAGGAACTATGCTTACGTGGGTGCAAATGTATGCTATAACTACAAAAGCGAACGGAACAAGACGGGTCTAATCTGACTCACAATACAAACGCATAACCATAAATAACTAATTAGGCGGAATTGATAATTTGATACAAAAATCAAAAATTTATTTAAAGCGCCTCGCGTGGAACAAAATAATAACTCGAATAAAAAGTATAATGGTAGTTTAGTATACTGAATTATGCCTGTGGTGATCTTGACCTGGATGTTGGCACGTTAACATAACAACAATAAAATCGATTACAGTTAAGAGATTCCGGGTTCGATACACGTCTCAGCTCTTCTAGGGTATAAGCAATAAAATTGGGGTAAGCTCTAAAGAAACGGCCATTCCAACTCTGGTTGTTCTCTCATGTCTTAAGTGTGGCTGCTATGCTTGTGCGCCCAACTTGGAGAGAAGGCGTAAAAGAAAAACTCCCAGCATTGATCACCCTGAAATTTAGATAGTTTTTCCCTACTTCAATTTTTTTAATCATGCAAGAGCCGTGAACAAAAATTTACCTTTATATCCACAAAGCTCCTTCCCCTTTTCGCCATCTTTACGTATACTTCTTCTATATATGCGATGAGGTTTTGTTCCCATTTCGTCGTTGACATCCAAGGAATCATATTTATCCGGATGGGAAAACGTTGTTAAATCGTGAGGTTGGATCAAGTAATCCGTGTCATCCATACGGAAGGCGCCGAACTGTGATATACAATCAGAAGGTTATTTTCTATATTTTCAAGTATAGTACATTTGTCAAAAACAAAATAATAAATATCGTGGATTTTAGAGTACAATCTTTACAGTATTGCTTTGTAAGTCGAAAATCGAACGAAAAAATATTTTGTTTAACCAATTTTTGCAGCCGTAGTTAGCAAATGATAAAATACTATTCGAAAAGTCATCGTTTAAAATAAACAAAACAGAAGAATATACATTTTACTATCCCACGTTATTCAACGACATTTTCAATTGGCACCCTGTATCGAAGTGACTGTTTTGAATATGTTCATACATGAATCAAGATGATTTTATTTTGCAGGATATTTGGGCGAAGCGACACGTTAGGAATTTCGGATATTCATTGTTTACGTTCCGATTCGAAAAATAAAACAACGGATGTGAACAAAGATTATTCTACGATGTTTAAAAATAATAAATTCAACGAAGAAAAGTACCGGGAAATAGCAAGTTTTGAAGCAGACGTGCGACAGTAAAAGGACTCAATTTGCAAAATTTAAATATTTGGATCATGAAGTATGTATACAAAGTATATTGATATTTCTGTACTTCCTCGTTTAGAACCTTAAAATTGAAACAATCATGGGTTCGGAAATTTGAGAATGTCTTTATGCCAAATAAATCATGTAATACTGAACCTCACAAAGCAACGTTTCGCACAATTTATAATTTTGCTGTTCTTAGAATCAAGACAGAAACCCAGAAACCAGAACGAATTGTAGTAAAGAGTCTTTGGTAACAAAGCCCTTTGAATATGGACAGCTCTAGACATAATTCGTAATTCAAGAAGCCCCATGAACAGCTTGCATACCTAAACATTGGGGACAATAGGCGGAATTGTCATTGGGTGTTTATTTTCTCGCTGACGCATCGCAAAACAGACAGACTTGGTTTTCATTCGCGCTCATGCGTGGAAGTCCATCACTGAACTGCCAAAAGTGCGTACCACAGACCCACAACCATTTAAAGTCCCTTTTATACTTCATATTTCTATGCTTTGAGGTCGGTGGGAAAATTTTGTGATATTTCCATACTTCTAGTATGGCTTTTGCCAGGAAATACCATTTCGCAATATAGCTGATAGGATTATTTTCGTGGCTGTATCAAAATACCCCATGCAAATTGTATAAACATAGATCGGTTAGCAGCATAACCAATTCTATCACCTCAAAACATGCTGCGTGTCTATAAATGCAATAGTTGAACTACGACAGTATGAGGAAATTAGATTATCAACTCTTCTGAAAAGTCAGCTATGGCAACGTGCAAAACGTTGCTTGCAAATATACCGAGGTCTGCGTAGCAACGTTGCCCTAGGTCAAACTGATAGGGCAACCGCAAATTTCTTGGTGTTAATTTACACGATTACAATCCCACGTGAGGTCACTAATTTTACGGATTTTTAGAAATTTATCAATGGCCCGATGTAGCGTAAGATTTGTCAGGTCCACAGATCTGCAAAAATGGTTTCTAAACGCTTGTCATGGATTATTAGCTGGACTGTAAACATACAATTATGGACACTAAAAGTCACGGGTTATTTAATACTAAAGTTGAGACAAAACGAGAAATTTACACTTGCTTTGAAATGGCTTAGATTGCGACAGAAATTCTTACAAGTCACGATTATTCGACGGTAACTAGTGCGGGCGATCGCTATATAATTAGCCTGTAACTAAAAATGTTATCGCAGGTGAATAAAGATGCGTTCCTATCCCACTTCCAGTTTAAGAACAATTTGGGCATGGGTGGAGTCCAACATTTGCGATTTAAAATCAAAGCAAATCTGAGCAAATTGCGCGAAAAATCGGAAAAACACATATAATTGGCTGAAACCCGGGTGTTCGCCCGTGTATCACTGAGAAAATTTAAAGTGGCGATAAATAGCTAAGGTTCACCTGTATTTTACCCACGGTTAAACATTTCTGTATATATCGGATAAGAAATGTATGTGACTTTATATATATATTTTAATAGTAAGGGCGTACCGACGACGATTCGTCGATTAGAACCGCGCCTGGGGCCACAAATCGTCGATTATGATGAAATCCTTTTCTCGCCTCCTTTCACATATGCATACCATACTTATCAACCAAATTTAACTCGTTTTGGTTACTTGTTCATTCGAAATCATGCTGTATTGAAAAATGCAATTTTATAATTGGGTTGTACGTAATTTTAAGCTAATTATCGCTCTTCATCGTTTCTGATTTTCCGGATGGAGTTTGAAGGTAACGACAGCTCATTTTATAAATCACTTTATAATATTGACTTTACACGCCACGTTTCCACAAACATTATAAAATGACTAACGTTATTTAACCGACTAGTGTATTCAAAGTTCAAGACAAAGTTCAAGACTGCTTACCGTTTACCATCTAAATTGAAAAACGCTGAATTCCTGCTCTATTCATATATCTCGAAGTTTAACAATTTTGGGTATAGAACACTAAAAATACTACAAGAAATATTAGAGAGGCCCAAGAGATATAAAGTTCTAGGGGTTGACCAAGATTTAAATTTCGTTCTATGGTATACCATTTATCATATACTTTGAAATATAATTACTTTTAACTTCAAAATTTAGGTTAAGTATTTTATAGCATATAGAGAGCGTTAACGGCAGTTTTCACCCGCAACTTAGCGGTTACGGTTAAGATTTTTGCTGCAAATTATGTTTATAGAATGTGCGGTTTCTTTATCTACAATGCATCACACACAGTCCATTGTTCAAGGCGACTTTATCCAAAAATAATGTGGCCACCGACAGTCAAGTGCCTTTGTATTTATAGCTTCAGGACCAGTCGGAAATTTGCCATCAAATAAATAATGGGCTAAAAGCATGTTTTTGTAATGCCTTTTTGAAATCTAAACTATACGTAAATAAATCTTAAACAAAATGTACCCGGCTATGTTTAGAGAGTTAATAAATAGATTGATAAATCCATAGCCGACCCTTCAAAGTACTCTAATCACCCTGTCTTTGAAGTGGCAATAGAACATCGCCATGGGAATCTGTCGCAGAAATGTGTATGCTACTTTATTCAACATTTTACTTGTATTAATAAAATATTATCGCAATATTAAACACTTCTCACTTAGAAACATTTTTCCATTGTATACACTTTTATACACATATTTTTCAGAAAGACGCCAAAAATATGGAGGTTAATATCAGAATTATTCAGAATACTTATGAAAAATGTGATGACTGACTAGTAAAACATGTTTATTTGTGACTTTGACATTGCCACACCGAGGTATTCCCACTTGTGGTATCCCATTTTGGCCTCCACAGGCTAAAAGTAAAAGAACCTTTGCTATCGAAGGTTCAGCCCACGTTACAATGCAAACGATATTGAGTCGTTTGAGAACTAAAACAATAAAGTCGGCATTTTATATTTAACAGGAGTAAATATATCGTCAAATAGGAAATATCTGGACGGATAATCGAGCACTAGGTGTTATGTAAATATACAGATCCTTGAGAGCGGACTTGAGCAATACGTTAATCCTTGGATTACGACGCTTGAACTATTGTTCAAATGTTACTTCTATTTCAGATCATACATGCTAAATCATGAGTGCGGTCAAAGTACGCAATGTTTGTAAATTTCTCAAATATATCGGAAATGTCCACTATAAAAAAAGCTTAAAATATTTTTGCGTGATGAATCAATTTTATAGACTAATTTCTGTGAACTTAAGACAGTGATTCAAATATCTTTGCGAGATCTAATGTTACAATTACGATATTTGAAACAGTACGATCATTTTTTCTACACATCTTATTTGTAATGACTTGAATATAGGGATTTCGCACATGTATAGTATAGCTCGTATATACATAAGGATTTCATCTTTTCACATGTACAAAACATATACTCAGGTAGCCGCACGATAAAACAGTAATGAATATATCAAAATAATCGAATAATCTCTCAGTTGTAACTGAAATTCGGTCCCTAACAAATGGGCTCGAACATTTAGAAAACGGAAGAAAACGAAAGCTATTTTACTTTGAGGTAAGTAATGTCGGAAGACAAGAGTTTTATTTTCCTCTAAAAGCGATGATAAATAACCGCAACTCTTGCACAGACTGGGTGAAGTACGATTTTATCAAGATTTCAATCTAGATCGGGATGTTTTTCTAAGCGCACAGACAAAAGAATAATCGCGCCCGGAATGCCGTATCAAAGATTGCCTGACCGCAAGTTTAGGTAAGAACATAAGAGAATGAATACATGCCATGTCGATACGTCGCCCGCAATTGTGAAGAGGGCGGATAATTAGCAGATTAGCCGATGACAAAATAGGAAACAACTTCACAAAGATGTGACTGACGCGATTGAGAACTACAATGTACTTTTTGTATTTGTTTTGCATGTGATATAAACGATCTGACCACTTTTTGAATAATAACGGTATTCAAACAAATTTGAATATTAATTAATCCGAGTGCTTTTTGTTTGACCAAATGAATATATTACGACAACGGCGTACGTATATTAAAACCTTGTTACAATTTTTTACATCCCACCTCACAGAACATTATGAGTAGATAGACTAATTTATTAATGGGAAATAATTTATTCTGTTCTCATTAACTTTATGGTAGTGATATCAATTTTTATTGGATGTGCCGTGGAAAACGTAAAGAAATAAACTCAAATATACGACAAAAATGCAACTTACTAGTCCACCACACAGAGAAATTACGGCAGTATGATCCGGTCTTGATCCTACTCTTCCGGAGTAAAAGCAGTGGCGTGGAACGTCTTCCACCTTGGCGTTGACGTCATCAGTGACATTTCCAGTGTAGTGGAGTGTGAAAGTTGGAGCAATAAATTCCGAGTATGGGGTTAAATGAAGATGGAGTTCGCTCCCAAAAGCATTAATTGAGAAATTCGCTACTTCATGCTCTTCAAATGCGTTACCTAATTTGTCAGTGTTCGAAACATCGTCGGCGAAGTTGCCAGCACTTCGCCTAAATCGATGACGATTGTTCGCGCCAAATATTTCAGATTCTCTCGATATTCGTTTCGAACGAAAGTGGCGGCCATGACCTATTGGCTGTCCAGTATGGTGATGCAGACGAATAGGGACAACGATGTCATGCTCTTGAAATCCGTGTGCAATATTTTCTGAAAATATATAAGAGTGATACCGTAGGCATGGTAACGAAGAAACGAAAATGTTTTTATTTATATCAATAGAAATAAACTCACCTTCTAAAAATTCATTAAATTCACGAGTGTATGATTTTGATTGTTTACTTTCTCTATACGGTTCCTTACCGGACGTTTTTATTCTCGACAAAACTTCACTTAAGTCCGGTAATGGTCCGTTAAAATTTGATGCACTGGCGCCCAGTCTGCATGTTGCAGACGTTGCAAAGATGATAAATAGCAATATTGTATATCGATGCAAGTGAGAAAACGGTCTTGAATGGGACCATGGACATTGCCTATAAAATTTGCATCGACTGATACTATTACAGTGAGTATTGTTTACGTGAGTCTGACTCATTCTATTTCGTTTATGTAAATGTGCATTATTGGGGAAACAACCCGTCTGCACTTCGTAGTACATGTTTTGTGTATAGAGAGGTCTCTCCTTGTTCGCAGGTAAAGCTTTAGGAGATATTAATTGCAGCATATTTCCCGACAGCATCCGATTGATGTATATCCATTCCACGCATCAGAATACAGAGTAGACTTGTTTTATTATGAAATGAAGGTTTTATATCTTCAACGTACGGGTATTTAGAGTAGATTCTCGAAGTCACCAGGACCTCGTAAATACAAACGCTGTGTAAAGAAACCTGTCAATTATTTGGTAGAAAAGGCATAACAGGTATTTAATACCAGACATATCTACATCCAGATTCTCGTGCAACCCAAGAAAAGCTGCCTCGCCAAAAAGTCTGGCCCTAAATTTGCAAATATTCAACAAGTTTTTAACCCTGTCGCCTGCCAATTATAAATGATTTATATTATACATTAAACAACATTCACCCATCTCACTAAAAAATACAAAACCTCGATAGACACTCAAAATTTTCAAATGTTAGCAAATGCCGTAACAGCAATTTTCTTGGTGTGACTTTTTGATTATCCTTCGCTATCGCGGGCGATATAATCCTGCTTCACGACCTATTTCGAAATCATAAAGACGAGCACAGCTGCTGCAATTAACTCTAGGACCGTAGTTGGATTGAATACAACGGAACGGCGCATTTATTTCTCGAAGTGTTTGGTGGTTTAGTTCAAAATCTAATATATTTCTGAATACATAAGCATACATTCAGAATACACCAAAACAACGCCCTGAAGAATTCCATTTGGTATATAGTACGTCTCCGCCGGGAGCCATTGTCTTAATAAACTTCACCTAAAAGATACCGGCATAGTGCATATATGCGCGCTCTTACTTAACATTTTTTCCCGGCGTTTTGAATTCTCTCACTACGCTGTGGCAACGCTACTCTACGTTTAATGAGACGTACAGTGCCTTCGCAAAAATCGTTTAGGTGAGAGAGCTTCACGAAGTAATAATATATGTTGCCGGTATTGGTATGCATCGTACGAGTGCGAACATCAATGAGAGGACTTTTGGAAAGTTGCTGTTTTTAAGAAGAATCGCGACGACTGATACCTTCGGTGAAAAAAAATATTAATTGTGTGTGAGTCAGCTCTATGACTTCGAGGTACTACTTTCTGATATCTTCTTTCTTACCGTCATTTTCACAACGTGATCATATTGCATTGAAATTACCACCTCGCCTTTCAATTTGCTTTTGGCCATGCGTGGGAGCTAGACTAAACGCTGCTTTGTATGATCTATGCTTGTGGTTAATTTTCAGAACTGTGATGTGGATTTCGTACTACCCGAGAAATTATTATATCTGACGTAAGATATAGCAGGTAACGCAAAAGATGACGTTCTCTGTGTACGTTTCCGTTTGGCTTTGGTCTCGCCAAAATGATAAACACTCCAAATTAATTTAATGGGGTTATAGAAAGACAAATTGACCACGATTTGTGTAACGTGGTAAAGAGGGGCGGTCTATGACCATATACGGTCATTTCAGTTATGCTACTTTAGATGTGGTTTTGACAATAATATGACGCTGTAGTGTACCATTCAACATTATTACCAATCTTCACTGCATTGATATGCGACTATTGTAGCGTAAATAATTATGACGTCATGGCATATATATCGAAAAATTTATGAATGAAGCACGGCCACACTAAGCCATCGGATCAATAACTTCTTGGGGTATAGTTAGTGCTCGTGCACAAAAACCTTTTAAACAAAGTAATGATATGTGTCAGAAATACTTAATACCTTCCATTTCCCAAAGGCGCACCAGGATTCATTTAAGCACATTACCATAAGTAGCACACATGAGCACTCCGGGTCAACGCACCCAACTGTCGATTCATTGTTGTAAAAATTCGTGCGACACATCGCAAACAGTCCATTGTAAATGGACGAGTTAAAAATATGTAAATGATGATAGTATGAGAAACCGATAATATTTAATAGTAAATCCATTTCCGGAAATTGGTGCTGGACCAAAACTGCTACATCCATATGTGAGATTGACTGAAATAAGCAAAATCACTAGTCATAGTGGTTTACCTATGCTTTGACAACAACATTTTCTCATTCAACACAAAAAATATCTACCACTTCCACATGCCTGTAGATGTGACATGAACACGTGTTCATCAACATGACATCAAAGAGTATGTTTTCAATAAATAAGGCCATGATGTGAGACGATATTTTTAATAAAACATAGAACTTGTCATCTAAGAACTGTCCAAACAACTATGCAAAGAAATCACATGTAATTCCATCAAACGATTTCAAACTCGCATTTGTTGAAAGCAAAATGATATATTATTACGAAATTTTGATTTTAAATTAATATATAAAGGGCCATATGCGACGGACACCACGAAGTATCAGACGGATGCACCTGTTACATAATTTTTACGACCATCGCCTGTATTGAAATTTATTGCTTTTACCATATAGATTGTGATAGTGTTTGAACGCCCATACAGCTTAACGTATGTGTGAAGCCCCCCCAGCCGAGCTTTGACCTCATCATGACAATAACGAGCGGAGTTATAAAAAAAATTTGACCAATTCTGCATGAAATCAACGTGCGTTGTCGAATGCAAAAACAGTATTTAAAAAATACAATTCCTGGGACAATTCTAGTTGGTGACCCACTGCAAGATGTAGCTGCTTCACACGCATTAATTGGGGCCAGTATAGAAACAAAAGTTTGACTCATATAAGTTGTACATTCTGTTCTGTAGCACTATTAGGGTATTTTCAAATCAGTAGGCGGGTATTATAATATGGGTTCTCGCTGCCCCAGACGTGATAATTATAACACACATTGTAACACATGAAAAAAACTCTTGGAGTTTATGAAAAACGATGTTACTCATATTCAATCAGATTACTTTCAATTGATATTTGCGATTTTAGCTACATACATTTAAAAAAAAATATATGCGACAAAGAAGATAACCATTTTGCTGACATCAATCAGGTAATAATGACTAACACTCGCCTTCAAATTAGAGATGGACATCTACACAGGATCTGAGACACATCTTTCCGCGGGTGATTAAACGTTAATCATGTATTGGCAGAAGCAATACTCTATTTATGTTATTTTAAAATTATTCACGACCGGTAAGTTATATCTGAATTCGATAAAGCTCATTTACTCAAGTGGCAAACGCATCTCAGCAAACATTATATCTAAGATCACTCTTTCAAGCCGCTAACTACACCAACATCACTAAGCCATTTGAAACGATTTGGTGCGATAAGAAATCGCGTGTGCTGTCATTTTGTCGTTAGATGAGGAAATCTGTACTCTGTAGAGGAAGGTCAAAAAGGTCGACAAATGCAATACGTAACTACCGAAAATGTCGCCGATACTTGCGCTTTTGCAAGTATAATGATAACGCATACTTTGCAATGGTATATAACTACAATTTTTACCGCCACAGCATCCACTAGATTTCTTTCAACATTTTAATCATCTGATGGTTAGAAGATGTATTATATATGACTTATAAGCTTGTGGAATTTGCTCGTTATCATAATTTATGATGCCAGAAACAACTTATATATATAAATATATATATTCAAATAGAAATCGCTACCCCTGCGTGTAAAAAAAATTTAGACGTCATCAAATAGTAAGTTAAAAAGTTGAATATCGCCCTTCAAAATTTTGCGCACGTTACTGTTATATATATATATATATATTCCTTCAACCCATGCGGTATGTACAGTCGAAGCATCCCGATGCTATTATTTTGACAGATAATTTGAGACATAAGCTATCGTGTACTAAAGTATAATTCGAAGCGGATGCTATTCATCAACAATGACGATTGCTCGAAAACCATCATTGATTTGAACGATTTAGTTGGCATCAAATAATTCTTCTTAAGCCGGATTTAGAATTTTGGTCCTGGTGTTTGAACTTTTGACCCTCTTGGTCACATCCCGGACCCGGCGTAAATGACGTCATCTCCGCTTATTCTGGGTAGTAAAACTAGTAGTAACTTTTTCCAGACAACAGATAAACACCCAGAAACCTACCCATACCCTGGAATGGTACGAAATATGATCAAAATACCTAGAGAGCAGACTGAATACGTATTTTTAGTTTTGTTTATAGAAACTAAAAGGTTTGAGTAATAGTTCCAGACTATAAAAATCTTTCCAGACTGAAAAAACTCTTTTGTACATATTACATGCTTCATATGGAAGTGAAAATTACGTCACGTCGGGATCGCGCTTTATGCAGGAAATCGACGTCGTAAATTTGTGGCGAAAAATTACGCCATAACTTGAGTCACAAACTAAAGGCAACACGATAAATATATCAAGCGTATAAACTTGAAAACACGGGATCGACTAATTATAAGATTCATCCATCAACTCCACGAACGACTCAGAGATACTTCTTTGGCCCAATACTGGAACATTATACGTGATTACGAACAAACCGTAAAATGACATCACTGCCGACTGAAATCGAGCACTTATTTAAAAGCAAACCACATCACTAAAAAGTTCTTGAATCATTAACGATGGAGAAAGTGCTACATATACTATCGAGACCAGGTTGTGGTTTTTTTTATTCAGCTGTTGTGTATAATTTTCTTTCTGAATTTGGACGGCTGAGGTCTGAGGCTATTATAGCGATCACAACCTACATTTTCGCTGAATCAAAATTATCATTAACCGACGGTTCAGATACAACTTTTCTCCGACTCCACATACCCGACATGAAATACTTACTTCGAAGGTCACGTTAAGAAATACGACGAGTCCCCAACATAGCCACTTCAAAATACTAAAGTTCACGAGAAAATATGCAGATTGCATTCAATTCACTTTATTTCAACATTTCATGTTTCCTTTAGTTAACTCGTTGATGAAAGTGGTGGCATAGCAAGAGGGGGGTAAATCGAATTCAATTTCAACGTCACAAACCGGCAAATTCTTTGCGGCACCGTCTACCTTGACCTGGCACTGTGGAAGATCACTAGAACCAGAGTTATATTTTAAATCCGTATCATTAGACAATGTACTTATTGTGAGCTTTTCTCTGTTCATATTAGAGTGCTCCTTCCCACAAGCCAGAGGAGGTGCACCAGATGATAAGCCATCGACTTCCTCCGCACTTACTCCAGTTACTTCGCATTCGATTGTGTTTAAGTTTTCGCTTTGTGTTTTGAGTGTATCTGACAACCTTTCAGTGATGGGCGACTTGTGAAAACCCAGAAATCTATAATAAAAAACGAAATAAACATGCACTCTTTTTAAATCTCGCTTGTATAGATTTGAATATGTTAGAAAATCAACACTCTAGTGAGCTTTCTTAAGAAACTATGGCTAAATCATTGGTAAATTTGTTTGTAGCATTTAATGAAAAGTACACAACCGAACAACGTGTCAAGCTAAAATCAAAAATAGTTTTACATGTTGTCAATTAGAATATACAGAGCTCTAATCCAGTATTCCCAACGGGGGACACGAGAACCGAACCCTCATGGGTCCAGAGAAAGACTGGAGCTACAATGAGAAATGAGCAAAATCGAACAAAGTAATCCACAACTTTCAGGCAAATCATCAAAATGGCCGATATCAATGAAAAGGTAGCCAACCACAAATTTCAACAACATGCACTTTACGATATAGACGGCTACTTGCAATGTAAATTTCAAGGTACCTGTGACTCAAATTCAAAGGGAACTCAAGAAGCTTCCGGTACGTTCCAGGCGCGTTCAATTTCAACTCCGGGATGCGGAATTTTTGAGATTCGGTGGATGAATCGTTATGTATATCGCCTGTTGGTTCGTAGAACTGAAAATATTTCATATATTCGTCCTTCATGTTAGGTGCATACATAACTTGATTACCAGGTACGGTGAGCACGACATCTCCAAGTTCAACACGCCTGAGTAAAATATCTTCATCGGTTACGACAAATACCTGCAAAATAATAAAAATCGATTTTGCTAAAGAAGAAAATTAATGACGACGAGGCGCTAAATGATACAAGTGGAGCAATAAATCTGTTTGAATTTCTCGCAAGAATTTGTTCAGAATACGACCACAAGAACTTGTTGGAAAATAAGAATAACTTCAAAAATGATAATCAATATCTAAACCGGAATTAGTTTATTTAGTATTAATTGAATTTATAAATTTCGGCTAACCGTGTGATTTGGTTTGCTTTTCAGTGCCTAGAATATATTTTCCTAGTTGTTCGTCCACATTCAAAAATAAACGAAACAAAAAAATGCGGATTGAATACAGCAACCTATAGATCTTTTATATCGTCATCTTTTTGTGGGTTCGTTAGTTTATACAAACTTGTTAATTACGACACAACCAAGGACCAGGCCGCGTTAGGTAAATTGGTTTCAGACAAAGAAAATTGACTTTTCATTATATTACCATCGGCGAAGATCACTCTAATTTTAGTGTGTTGTGTACACTGTCTAAAACATTGCATTAAAATTACTGGGATAACACAGTAATTTGTTCTGTATGTGAGATACAGTTAATTCGCTATTACTTGACACTATTTGAAGTTACAGCCATAATACGTTTTCAATATGAATGCATTCTTGCGGGGATGCCGCTTAGAGGCGCGGTCTATCTGTAACAAAAGGTACGAAACGAAATTGCCAGTAAATGCTAATGAATTTGCTAATTTTTACATCATAATTAAGATCGTATTTCACAGTAAGCGTGACCCTTTGATGGACGAATTTCAATTACAGGAAATTATCACTGAAACAACTATTTTTTCCAAAGTGTGTATTCTATCCCTCAGAATTGAGCTAAAGAAAAGGAGGACGCACATTAACCACGTACGTATATATGCCTTCGGTAAATATGAGAGATATACATTTAAAGATAAAGAGTTATTAATATATCGTTAATTGGACTCCCCGCGGTTAGAAACGTAATCATCGAGGCGATAATGGGAGAGTATACAAATAATTTTGACAACTGTTATTGAAGATCAAAGCAAATTATTAAAAATGTGTTTTACTGTTCAATCCATTGAATTACGACGTTGCAAGTTGGCGGAGGTCACAAATTATTTAATCTACAGCTGAATAAAGAAGCAGTTACTTCTACTGTATGTTATATACTTAGACATGATGTAATCCATAAGAGGCGGTTACAGAATTAAATAAAATTCTTAAATAAAATGAAATTAATTAGAGAGAGATATTCCTTTTACAGTTTCCGTGACGCCTGTCTACCATAAATAATTGTTTCAAGCAACGACGACGCAACCGAGGCCATATGATTCTATAACTCCAAAAAGTCTCCAGTTTAAAAATAGTCGCTCTTTATACTGTGGGGTAATGGGATATAGAAGCTAATGGTGTATTATGGCATAGTGTTCCAGGATAAATTATGCAGTCGAACATAGGGTTGTCTCGAATGAAAATACAAAAATGTTTAAATTATGTTGCACGTCTCGGCATATGGAAGTATACTCCCCCTGATATTGCTTTGACGAATGATACTCTCCGTGACGTTCGATCTTGGTGAGGACTTGTAATCGGCCTGATGCAGGTGACAACCGGTACGGCGTTTGATTCGATCTTATGACTTAAATTTAATTTTACTCAAAAATCGACTATCACACCAAGTGATACTAGGATCGACTCTGGGGTTGATGATTTATTCCATCCCTGGTTGGAAATTACAAAAACCTTTGGTTGATCTTATTTTGCTTTCAAGATTGTGATGAACCAGCGGCAATCACAATAAAAGCAAATATATTTCACCTTTTCTTTGTTTGCTTCTGAGTTAGTTCCAAGACTATCTGAGTCTTTCTTCAAAGCTAGATCTCCAGTCACGACTTTCTTTCCATATCGTTGAATACGCAGAGCCGCTATCTTGTTCCATATCCAACTGCAAAAACTGTGTACGTAAAATAGTCTTGCACTATGCGTCAGTCCCATCAATGCTTTGACGTATGCGTGATTGTCCGTGGTGCCGTAACGACGCAGGGTACGTAAGATTGAAATTTCCCGTATTTTGTGTCGAGGCATCCGTTCCAAGGCTCCTGAAGAAAACATCTGATATAACTGTAAAGTACTGTTCTATTTTTAGAAGCTGGCAAAACCATCGATGAATGCAGTAAAACTCCCCGGAGCGGAGTTAATAACGGTTATTGCTAGGCTGCGCTATTATGTATAATTCAAATAATTAAAACTGTACAGAGTAGAGAAAAAATAGTTGACCATAAATAGCATTTGAAATGTAAACATTAACATACCTGCTATATCTGCCGTAGATTGGAAATAGGCTTTCGCTTCTTCCGCATCATTTACTCGTGGTGACGTCACATTTTCAACGGGAGACAATAAAACATCAACTGCCCGTTTCTAAAAATAAACAACTGTCGGTGAATATTACAAAGATTTCATTGAAAATATAATCTAACTTGTGTAGTGTGGTGAACTCAGTGATCATGTTTTTTAAAGAAGTAAAACATTATAACACAAAACATTAAGACACAAAACCGATGAAAAATTTGAGCGAAATGATCCTTTAGAACACCTTAAAATAGCACCTCTAGAACAACAAAAATTGATATCAATACTCTAAACGCAATAATATCACATTAATCATTACAAACATGTGAGCTGGAAGAGGCGGGTGTGGGTTTGTCGATGAAGCTAAATTCCAAGTCCCCGTTTAAATAGGATAAACCGCCTTACCGTAATTATTTTCTTACTACAAATCATACGATATACAAGTGGGCCAGACAAGACAATTCTCCTGAAACCTTATCGGAGGTTTTAGCATGGCTAATACACCCATTAAAATTCTTGTATACTCACAATACAAGATAAGGCGCAAATGGTATTTCGGAGTATATTACCATTATATACATAATAATATTAGTTAGACATCTGATACAATTTTAACACAATATTATTGTTGCGGGTCTAACCGACTGTTATTAAATTATATACTTAGGTAATGAGGTGTACAGACTCAGTGCTATATTAGGTAAAAGACACATTTGTGAATTTTGCTGCACAGACGACGGATATTTATCACCTCGTTCGAGCAGCCCAATACAACATTAACCAGTTCAGACTTCAGGCAGAGAAAATGAACTATGTGCACGGTCTCTATGGTTACCTAAAAATTGACAATTCTCGACATGAGATCGAAATTGGCCAAGAAGATTTTGGGCATTCGTTTGTACTGGTCATATCGGGTCTAATAAAAAAAAGGATAGAACATTCCTACCTACAAGCAGCCATTATGCAGTGTAATGGGAAGGAGTTAGAGTGTAGTGTTATTATATTATTATTTTTATACATATTTTGTGGATTCGGAAAGTTACCGTCTGAGATTATGACGTCGTGCACATTGGTAATTGTTGTTTCATAAAGGCGAGACATCTCGGATTGTCATTCTCTACCACGGATTGATTGTACCAATGCAAAAAACTGAGAAACTCAATTTAAATCAGTCGATAACGGGTGTCTAAAAACTACCGTGTCTCGTACACGAGCCGATTGTAATTGTAGAAATATCACTTCATATGAATATTCTTAACCTAATTGCAGAGTCTTATATAAACTATAACATAGCATGAAGCCACCTCATGCGAATACTTCAAACATTCTCCCCACAATATATATTTACCATAACCCGGAAATTGTGGGACAAATGTGGGATACGCAAAACAAGTGTAGCAAAAGGGCAAGTAGGACACGACATTTTGCAGACCCATCGGCAGCTAATCCACAGACCAATGTGTCAGACTGCGCCTGAAGTTCTTATTCCAAAATTAATTATTCGAATACGTCTCGCGTATGGCGAATATTCTTAATATTATGGTAACTTATAAAATGATGAGTTCGTATATATTAAAATAGAAAGAAATATTGTATATATCAGCCCAACAACAATATATTGGTACAATGCTCGTCTATATTATTGTACGAATATAAAGCTCAAAGAATTGTCTTTTGAGCTTTTCTGACATAATACAGAATGATCAAAGTCCATCACCATCCAACAGGTGCGACAAAATATACGGCAATCCATATTTTGATCTCGGAGGAGGGTTTTTACTCGTCAACATCGCTATTGTGTTGGTTTGACAAATTCGTGACCAGATTGAAAGCAAGTCGACGACGAATAATATCAAGGATATCCTGAGCGTTTGGTTTATTTCAATTACATCATGACAAATTCATAATAAACTGTAATTGACAAACATGATAAAGGAACTGAAATACTCGGAATTGAAGATCAAGGTTTATTTTTATTTTTAATTTAGAAGGTAAAAACTGACATCGGGAAGCAAGGGAGTAAAAATAGTGATTCACAAATTCGCTGAACTAGACCATGATGAGAACAACCCTGCTGGCGAGTGGTCAAGCCGTTTTTTTTTATATTTTAAATTTCAAATGAAACAATATGGGCCTATGAAAAGGTGTTAGATCGAGATCATATTTTGCTGCTTGTGATTTATTATCGCTATTGCATGCATATATATCCATGCATTCATGCCAATCGACCAATCGTAATACAGAGTATAAATGACCACGTCATTCCTAAGAAAATGCAAAGAAAACAGTCGCGGGAGCCGGTAGATACAGTAAACGACGACAAACCATAATTACGGCGAAAAGTGATTTAATGATAAGCCCAACAAAATATTATGACCAGGCGAGGAACATTTTGCCACACTTGAACGCGGCCAACCTCTTTTAAATACGGTCGATTAAAGACTAACAACCCAAAGTTTGACGAGAGAGGTAATTATCGAGACCACACGCATTGGCCATATCCATGGTTTCCAGGTTGGCACCTGGAATAATGCTATAAAATTATCTGCCATCAAGCTATTTATATGATTATAAAAAAGTTATTGGATATCAAGAAAATTGAATAAAAAATAAACGATTCACATATTAAATTTAAATATATAAAAAGAAAAATATATTCGGACGACAAATATAAATTTCCATGATCAAAATAACAATTTTCAACAGTGTTATGTAAAGCTAGCTGGTGTAACTGAGTTGAGCCAAACTTGTAATAATCCTATATCGAGTTGAAGTATTAAATACCTTGAATTTGGAGGCAAGCCACAAACACAATACTGAGCTCAACCAACACCAAACAGCTAATCCACAACATGATTAATCATAACACGAAAGCGACTGTTTTATTTAAAATTTATATCAAAAATTGATGAAATATTCAAATTAAATATAGAAAACTACTTACAAAGTCGCTTCTCAACATTGCCAGACCGATGATTGGGGCTTCTTCATTAGGAGAATAACGCTTTTCAATTTGTGTGCCAGATGACGAAATCTTACGTCCAAATCTTTGTGGCCCGAAGTAATTGATAAATCCAGTTGTCTAAAAAGATTTTTGAGGTAAAGTAATTCAAAATGCCTTAGTGAATTATAACAGAAATATTGAATGATAATATTGATAATATATTGTCCTAAATTTCACCTCGCAGATAAGAAATTGTCACGTTACAAATTTGCAAACATATTAACCGACAGCAAAAGCAGAGGTATTTTGTCATTTTACAAATGAAATCCATAGTTGCAGGCACCTGGAAATAGTATCGTATTACTTTAGCATTATTAAAAACGCGAAAGCAAGAAAACGGCACATTCTATATAACAGAAAAAGTTCCACGATAAATTAGTGGTAGTATTGAAGTAAATTGAATATTTCTTGGATAAAATCAGGTGAAAAAAATCTTCCACAGTTCAAAGGTAACAATTTAGGATCGTTAATAAACCCAATGAAAGTAATGCAGTACAGAATGTTTGTAATCTACTCTATAATGCGTGTTTATTTAGGTAAACACAATCACCACAAATCACCGGTTGACAGGCGAAATATTTCTGCAGAAAGGAATGCGTGTTAGAATAGAAATAGTAAAGAAAATAAGGCAGTCAGCAAAATTATAAACTTGTAATACACGATAAGATAAAACAGGGGAATTGTCAAACAACCTCGTGTAATCGCACTTTAGAATGTCATCTGCGAAGAAAGGAAATGTTGTAATACGCATTAACCGTCTTCCTAAACTTATTTGAAGATGAACAGAATTGTCAGAATATTATTGTTTTTGTAAAAAGAGAAATCCATCTCAGTATTTTAGAATATTAGATTCAGAATATACGATTTATAATTCTCTCAAAGCTTTATAGAATTTAAACATTTCGAGCATAGCCGATAGAATGCAACACTTTACATTACCTTAACCAATCAAAACCGATAGGACAAAGCTAAAATTACTGTTTTTAATCATTATATCAAGTATACAGAACATAATACAAATAGATAAAATTCTAGACCGCTAAGTCGAAAAGATTTTCCAACACCAGGCAATAATCCATGCAGTATTATGTTGAGAAAATTGACGGGAAAAATTCGGTGTTAAGCATGAATGATGGAAGCAAACTATATACTTTCCGTGTAGTTAAAATTGTTATTTACATTTGTTCCGGACTACTTGCAACGATGTTTATATACGATGCCGTAAATAGCGGTGTGTGTCGAGTAATCGGCTGACGATTGATTGCAATGGGGTTTCCTTTCGCCGGTTCGATTTGGACACCTTAATAGCTTTTTTACGACACCGGCAATCGGAGGTACTTGGGGGATATGAGTTTTAAACAATTTGTGGCGTACGTCTAAAAGTATGCAGAAAAAGACTATATTTACGAGCTTGGATCACGACATATTCATTCCTTATGATTCCTACAGTGTGCCCATATTTGATTTTTGTGTGGTTTATCAATAAGTAATGCCCTAATTGATGTTTACTATTTTTATAGGTTGTACCTATTATAGCAGCACTGGTTCTCAACCAGGGTTTCGCAAATTTCCATTCAAAGCCCAGAGTTTATATTATTACATGAATATTGTTTGAATACATTCATATGTTTATTACGGTAGGTTTGATAATATTTTTAGACTTGGTAAACTTCAAAGATCATTTTATTTCGCCAGTACTAAGTTTGATTAAATATATTTAGTTTATACAATTAAGGCCATAAAGACAACCCAACTTGAGGCTCTGGATACTGGAATGTTTCATTGGGGCTGCGCTCCACTTAAAAGGTTGAAAACCACTTTCTTGCAAGATCATTCGACTAGGCACTAAGCTACTGTAATATAAGAGTAAGGGCAAATATATCTTCATTGATGCAACTTGATCTTGGCTGGTGACAATGACACTGGACTACAGTTTTTTTCATGAAAACTCAGTCCAGTCACAGCGCAATCACTTTCACACGTTTCGGTAAAAATTTTGGCGACAGAGGGTAGAAATTCCATTCATTTTTGAGCCATGTCATATGTTACTACCAAATCATTCGATTAAGATCGATTTATCGTCTTATCTTTGTACAAACAAGACTTCACCGCCTGATTAGTACAAGGATTGGATCTAATGATCCATGTTTTAAAAAGTATAATTTGGGAACATTTATCATCTAGTATATTCATTCTTTTGTGGCCATCGGTACTGGATAAAAATTTTGAAGCGTGAAGCATACATAACTCACGCCAATAACTGCAACGACCGCAGGTGAGGGTTACAAGGGAAACTGCTATTTTTAAAATTATAAATAAGTTTTGTTTGCAAAACCGCTGTAGCCAAGTAATTCGAAAAATGCGAGTAATTCCCGTCCTCTCGTCTTCATAGTTGAACGCCGTAAATCTTAATCTAACAAGATGGTCTCTTCCGCATTAAATGTAGGTAACTAATTTACCTAGATTCAACGGTGATAAAATTGTATGTATAGCATTTATACAGGGGCTTTTCTGGTGACAAGAGATTGGTTACTGACATTGGTCTCCGAAAGTGGACAAGTATGTCATGCGACCATGGAATTACCCAATCAAAGGAGTCGAGTGGCTTGGCATCCACCCTAGGTGAAACATGTGAAAAGTCGAAAAGTGCATACATTTTTGTGGTATTTCTGTCAAGCTTTGAAGATTTACAACCGCATATTGACATACTTTTGTACAACCCATTGAAAATGAATTATCAGACCTCTGTCTTATCTCGCAGTGGATTAGGTTGCAACTCATTAGCGAGTTTACGGTAAACCAGCATTGTAGTTTTGGAGTTATTTTACATTTCCAAGAAAGTTGCTTTCAAGGACTTTCAAATCTGACATGCACGAATGAGTTGAGATGTAGGATCGTTATCAGGTCCGAGCATGAACTGCTTTTTTAACAGCTAGAAAGAGACGTAACATGCGAGCAACCTCCCAAAGTTTAGCAACAAACTGCTTGTAGACTCAGTTATAATTATCCTAAATTGTTTTTCGTTGTTGTGTGAGCTATTCCAGTCGCCATGGATACGCCAGTAATGACTTGAGAACCGTGAAATATATGATGAGAAGCTAAGCTAAGACGCCAATCCAATATCTCGTTTGAAAGTTATAAACTTCGGGATCAACTTCGGGCCACTAGTTTCAAATCACGGAAATGTTCACCGATATAAAAGTCCGTCACAGCGCAGTAATCATAACTTCCATTCGCCTTTCAGAGGGGCGTTGAAACGGTTACATAAAATACAGATAATAGGGATAACATAAATGATTTGAAGACGACGGATCTTGAACATTCGCCTCCCCCAAAATAGGCCAAACACTGCCTCTACATTTCATCATTTATTATTTTAAACCGTCGACTGTTGTAACCCTGACTGGGTGGGTCACAGAAAAATCAATGACAATTTGTTGCGATTACTATAGTTAAACACATTCGGGCTATCACAGTGAAATTCGATTTGGATCAATCAGGTACTAACTTAGTGGGTTTGTGTTACAGCAACAAGTTTCTGGGGCTGCGTCTGTTATCGCGATTATGAAAGACCTAAAAATTGCGACGTCACAAACGTAGATTGAGACAATAATGCTACAGGAGGGTTGGACCAGGGCGATGCCTGATACAAGTTCCATCAGAAAATTTTGGTTTAGCAGCGCAAATAGTGTGTGTAAAAATAAATTACTCCAAGACTATTGAACAATATATTACATTGTACCTTCACTTCTTCCAAAGCAGATTCTACGACCTTCCTTACACTCGTTTTTGTTTCGCATTGTTTCAGGCGATGAACATTGCTTAGCCTGATAGTGAAATGATTCCCGGCCAATTCTCCTAAACATATTGCACGAGAAACAGGTCGTATATTACTGACTCGAAGATGACTAGGTAGTGACTCGCACTCTTTTTGGAATCTAAAATTTAAAAAGATAAGAATGACCAGGTCCTAAATTCAGACAATACTGATGTTAGTAAGTTGATGAATGGGGTATATAACAATAGGGAACAGCTTATTGCTTAATGATAAACTGGTACAAAATTCGATGCTGGTGTGGTTCAAGAGCAACATGCATGTTCTTGGTGTCTAATCTTGTAATCTATCTCCAATGCAAATATGAAAAATATCAATCATCGAACTAGAAAGTCGCAGACCAGGCTCGACATGCATTAGGTTAGGTGTATAAACCAACGAAAACTCATGATTTAATAATCCTAACCCTAAGTTCCTGTAGACCACAATGCACAGGCACCCGAAATTCAATCAGCGAAGATACTGATAAAAAATAGGAAATCTCCACAATCCCGATGTAATTATAGAGTTCGGTTGTTACATTTTAGGTGTCCTAGTAGGCTAGTAATGATGGTTCCACACCAATTTGTTTAACCAATTTCATCGGGAACTGTGATATGGAGAGGACTTTCGAGACCAAATTAGCAGCTAAACAACTTTAAATCAATGCCGTGTCCCACATTTTCACCGTTTGTGTTACCTGCCCCGCTGTTCTAATGTCAAGGTAAATATATCATGAGAGGCTAATTCTTGAAGGATGCATAAGAAGAAGGTCATTTTCTCGGTTAAGGATAGGTGCCATGATAATCCTTGTTAAGATGGTGAGAGCAAGCATACAATATTCATAAAATTGGGACAAGTGGGACAATATATTCATAAGACGAACCTCCAAACGTACCAGGGTTGTGCGAATCAATCAAACATAGATTTCACAAGAATCTATAGTAATAGTAATCAGGCAGGGTGTGTGTGTATATCCTCTACAATCTACATGGACATAAATAAACATTTTCAAATCTTTCATATTATGATATTATATTAAACCCTTTGAAGCTGCGACAATGCGATTTGACGAGTCATTAATGATGACTCCCAAAATATTTTTTAAAAGTACATTAGTGCCTTACATAAATCATATACAGAAAAAGTTTATAAAGCGCACTTTGTGATTTTCTATACTTGACGCCGCACGCTTTACAAAAAGAACACAAGCCAGGAAGCGACATTCGTTCATGGCGCGTTTGATGAAAATAAGGGAAAAATCAAAGGCGCCGACCTGTCTTGGTTAATTTGTCGATTTCCGCGTTATTATGCTTTGATGGCGGGGACGGGTGTATTCGATCAGTAACAAGGTAACTAATATTACTATGTTGTATAAAATATACAGAAAACCGTGTGAAGATAAACAAGGACGCAAAAAAACATTTCGCTGTCCCTTGATTTCCAAGTTATAATTGGGGTGTTGTCGCACGGTAACATAAAAGTTGTCAACTCCGTGGCGCCTTAGCTATAAAATGTAAATACCGGTAGGTACTGTACCGATATTCAAAGGATATCAAATAAAAGTATTTGAAATGTAATTCGACTTTTTAACAAGAATATCATAATTTTCCAAATACTCTACTTTGTGCTAGTAAATTAGAGCTGACGGAGTAATGTCAACTAGTTAAAAATGAATTTCGCTACGATATTTGGGTTTTATTTATTAAAGTCGTAATCATTAATTAAAAATTGATTTAGCTGTCTCAGTATTTATCAATTTAACACGAAAATGCAATTTCAAGTGACCGTACACGACGCCAAATGAGCTAAATTTAAGCTATGAAAAACTAATTATTTAAATATTTCTTTTAATGGACTTTCAAGCACAATGGTAATCCTTCACCCTAGCGCCATTATAAAATTGAAATAAAGCAATTCAGGAAGATAATCAAACTAATACCTTACCGGTCGACCTATGTTCTCACGTAATAAATTAAAATACAATTAGGAAGAACAGCTAGCGTCGCTTGTCCAAATTCATGGCAGGGAGCAGAATTTGGGGGAGAAAAGGCAGTTCTATGTGACTCGGTGGCGACATCTAGAGACCATGATCGCACGATCTTAGTGCATGAAAAGAAATGAGCAAAGCGCAATTTTATCATTGTTAAAGTTCAGTTCATTTAGTCGTTGCTAATCGGTAGTGAAAGGTCTTCACACAATCATGTGATTGCTCGAGTATCCCCGAGGGCTTTGAAATTATTGGATTTGTAGGTAATCGCTAGCGTTTCTATTTGCAATTCACTACAAATACCGATATAAAAGAATGAAAACCTTTCCGATCCAATTCCAGATACAGTGCAACATTGCGTGGTGATTGCTCTTTTATCTTTAATTCCAGCATATTTAAACATGTGGGGACGTAGTTGAAGATGCATAGAAAGTTGCTGCATTGCACTGTGTGTTTCAGTGTTCTTTTTCCAAAGAGTGAACGCTTTGAGAATAAAAAACAACAGCATGATAATTCTGATACCTACAACTTTTATGTTTGATATCACACTGCAAGGGGCAACTTTGCAGCATATTCAATGGAGAGACATCATGTGCAAATGGATTGTTGAAACCGGCACAACGACAGAGCAATTCAGCCTTCTTTATTCAAAGTATGAAAATGAAATCAAAATTATATGCATGAGGGGGAATCATCATGCTCAAGACAAGACTATTGTAATATCCTATGCTGGATGAAATCCCTCACACGGTCAAACAGTTCAACAGATAGTGCTGTTGTTGAGTGTTTGGAACGCACTTGCTATCACCCATTCACCCCCAATGATAAAACAGTCTTACTCTACTACTGGAGTCTCAAAGTTAACATCAAACAATGTTGCATGGCATGCAAAACATTTCTTTCATGCGTAATTTATGAAAAATGCTATCAACCGACCTGTAATGTCATCACTTTCCTTTGTATTCTTTTTCTCCTTGCGTTGTTTTATTCTGACAACAATTCTACTTTTTCCATCATTGCCAGTCCAGGTTTTTGTTTCTACAAATTTTCCAAAACTACTTCCTATCAAATGGTGAATCTGGCGTCGAATTTCCTTAGAATATTCACCTGGAAATGGATGTTTTTTTTACCAAAGCCATGAAAGCAAAACCTCAAAAATTGAAAATTTCAGGTACCTTCTATTGTCACACTGTTCTTGTACTTCTCAAGTCTCTCCACCAATACAAATCTCAGCAAGCTTTCGGTTTGTTCCACCCCAATTAAATTTTGAAACTGTTGAAAATCGCCGTTGATGTCTGCAGTTATAATATCAGAACGTGGAGTAGTAATCGTCTTCAATTGTGGAAACAAATAACTAATACTACGATGCAGTAACAATCTCTCAAGTTTTACTGAAAAAGTTCCAATTTTCAGTGGATCAATATTTTTATTCCGACAGTTATCCAAAGCCACTTTAGCAAAATTTTGTAAATTTGAAAAAACAGACTCTGATAACTTTTCCTGTAAAAATGTCTTGCACCAGCCGATATCGCATTCAAAATTAATGCTTGTTGGGACATTTGTTTCTGTCTTACTGCGTTTTGAGGGGATCGAAGATGTTTGCTCCGCTCTTCTTTTCAAAATTAAACTTTGATCAATAATTGCAGATGTTTGGTCTGAAGAAAGCCTTCCATCTGTTTCTTCAAAGTTGGATATTTCATCTACTAAGAAGTGATTAAACTTGGCCTTTATTGTAGCATTAAATCCAGGAATCGATCCCAAAAATATGTTCATCTTTGTTGAAATATAACAAAATTTTAAGATAATCCTAAACTGGTAAAGCAAGGAAGTAATCAATCGTTATAAATTTTCCAAACGGCAATTTTGTGAGTTTCAGAACCAGAAGCCAATAATTGTTTTGACGAATCTGAGTGATGATAAAATGCAATAGATTGTACAGTTCCATCATGATATTTTAAAATAGCGAGAGGTTTTAGAGTTTTAAAGCTGAAGATTCTAACACTGCCATCATGCCATCCACCAGCTGCAATAATTTTACTATCTGGTCGAATTTTAATATCAGCTATTCCTTCATTGGGTAATGTTCTAGTTTTTGTAATATGAATTCCATGCTTTTTATTATCATCCACTCGGATTTCAAACTTGGTAACAATCTCTGTTGGAGATCCAGCCACACCGCACATGGTGGCTGTATTGAAATCGAGGCACATTATGGGAACTGAATCGTATAAAGCAATAATGCACATCATAACTTCTTCTTTTACATTCCAAAGAGAAACAGAACCATTTTCATATCCACCTATAAGAAGCAATAATGAATCGTTTATAAAGAGTTTTGTACACATAACCATACCAAGCATAGAGTTTTCAGAAGGAGTTAATCTCCAGAGTGAAACTTGCTCTGTAAAATTCCACACAGATATAGAAGATTTTTCTTCACCAGTTACAGCGGTCAATATTACATTATTTTGAAACAAACATGAAGCCTTGCAGAATCCAACATTCGGAACATAAATTTGACCTTTGAACTTGAGTTTGTCATCTGAGTTAGCAAACAACTTCAATTCACCCTCTCTGTTCAATATCACAATTTCACCATTGTTATTACCACAAACTGAAATAATGCCATGATCAGATGGAATATGAGACTCCACACGCCTGGAATGAAGATTCCAAATGTCAACACCACCTTGATTAGTATATCCTGCAATAAGATGAGAAGGACTTTGTTGATCTGACCCACGTTTTTTTCCATCCATTGGAACTTTGCACCAAAAATGTAGATCAGTGATGCTTTCTGCAGCCTTTTTCAATACAAACAATGGACTGGGTGGTTCCATAGCTAAATTTATTTAAAAGACTGCAACTAAAAAAAATAGCGGAATAAGTCCCAGACCCAGACTAATGTGGATAATTTCAAGGCAATGGTTGGCTATCTTGGCTTCAAATGTTAATATAAAGACAGACAAGTACAAAAAATAAATACTGATATTGTGTTGCAAACTTAACAAATATAACTTCAATTCTAAACTGATAATTACCAAAGGAATGAATTTCTTGCTGCATTCAAATGCATTTCATTAGATATCTCATATGATTTACTAAAGCAGAAAAAAAGATTTATGCAAAATACTGATAAGCATTATTAACGGGTTAGATTGCAATTAGCGTAAATAAAATTTATGACGGCAGAAAATTGGAATGAACCGGCAGAAAAATACCTAGTTTTGCCTTCAGTGGTATTAATCAATTACTTTAGGCACCATGTTTAATAATAAAAATACAACAAACGAAAGCAAAATATGATGGAATTATAGCCAATCAAACAAATCGCAGGCACTTTACTTCAAATGAATGTAGTGATAGCTAATGATGTCTAGTGAATGGTTTTGCTCATGTCCCAGAGAGAAAGGCTTTATTGCTCTGTAGAGGGCAAAGGGCCCAGTTTGAGAAACCATGCATTAAATGCTTTGTATTGTATATCATAGAAAAATGCTTTTCAAGCTATTCTATGGTATGAGCAAAAATCAATAAATTTCGATCAGATTTCATAAGATACACTATTGCCTATATAAGAAATATTGTTACAGCATGCAATATTGAATTATCTAACTTGCATACTTGAACTGCGTTAGTAAAAATAGATAGAGAGGAATAATGAATCGATGATCATAGCTCATCTTTGCGGTTAGGAGATTCTTCACTCTGCACATCAGTACCATCTTCAGGTCTACTATCTTTATCGGGACCAGAAGATTCATGTTTCCCAGTTTTATCAGCAACCTCTTCCCAAATTGACGATGTTTCAGTGTCACTGAAATAATTTATTTCGTTTGTGTAATGAGTGGGGTAAATCAGCAGCGGATCTGCAGATAGTGCAATGAGATTTCTTGTTGGAAATTGATCTTTATACATTGACGAAGGATGCTTATCATACATAATTGGTAAATATTCATCAACAGGTACCATACGACCAAGAGGATCACCATCGATAAGTTTTTCAGCACCAGAGTGAGATAATAAATACCCAATTGTCCAATAAGAATAATCAGCTTCAACTAAACCTTCAACATTTTCCACTGGAGGTTCAGTAACTTGGTGCAAGCGTTTTCTTCCCACATAGATCAAATCCCATGGCATCTCAGCTATTTTGATTCTCTCCATTAGTTCTGTAATTTGTCGAACAAATCCTGGTTGAAATCTAACATCATCTTCCAATACCATTACAGTGCTGTATCCTTTTTCCCACACTTCATTCCATATTGTAAAATGGCTGAGAAAACAACCGATTTCCCCTCGTGTCAAACCTCTTTCTCTGAATGGATCGACATATCCAGGCAGCATATCAATTCCCATTTTCCTTAAATATGTTGTATTTAAATTTTTACTATCAATTGCTTCAAATACAGTGTAATCAATCCCTTGCATTTCAAGCATTTCTTCATTCTAATGCGACGGTCTGTTCTCCTTTTGAGGTTAATCATATAAATCTTGTCAAAGCCAAGCATCGATAGTTGTTCTTTTTTCTCAGGAACGAAAAACAGATTTTTTCATTTCGATACCTATTCCAACAGGAGGTTCAGTCATAACTTCCATTCTTAAATGAATAAAACTCTCCACTTCATCTTCAAGTGTCTTGTCATCATTGAGGGGAACAGGTAAATATCCATACAAAACAGAATTATCTATGTACATGAGAATGCCAGCCAACTTACAATGTGTGGCAAAAACAATAATATCATCAAATTCATATTTGTATTCTTCTCGAACTGGTAGAAATCGAATTTCCCTTGATTTTGGTTTTCTAAGATCAATTAAATAGGTTGAATGAACCATGGGAACTGCAAATGTCCCGTTTATTTCCTGATTCTTTATTTTTATGTATTCATCGGTTCGTTTGTAGTAACCATTTTCAGCCATGCCACCCCAAAAGTTGGAATATAGAGAGATAGATTGCAACATTGGTGCAACTACAACTTTATCAGCATCCATCAAATGTTGTAAACTATATGGATTCATCAATATATTATCAGCATCAATGTACAGAATGTAATCAGCCCAACTTTCTCGAGCTTTTATGAGAGCAGTTTGCCTTAATTCTAAAAGCCTTAAAACCCTTTCTTTTGTCCAACTAAGATCTGTTTTCTGTTTTGGATAATGCCAAGGACCTTTAACATATTCAAAATCAACTTTTGCATATTGTTTTTCTACGGCTTTTACCCAATTTTCAGTTTGTGCTGCTGAATTATCTTGGGTGTGATCACAAACAATCCATATTTTCATCCGGCTCTTGTCATATACTAAGTCTTCAATTGCTTTAAAAAAGAATGGCAGCGAATGTTCTTTGTTTCTTATGAAAATAGCGATAAACACTGTCTTTTGTAAATGATCACCAAATCCTAGTTCACCATCATAGGAGAATAAATTTTGTCGAGCTTGCGCTTCATAATCTGCAACGCGCTCAAATGCAGTTGCACTGCTTTCTTTGGCAGCAGAATATCCATATGAGACAAAAAATGTCAAAATGGATAAAACTAATATTAAAGAACCTTTAGCACTTTGCATTTCTATGTACAAATATAAATCAAATATTACCGTTAAAAGCACGCCTCTGGACACACAAAAATAATATTATGTGACACGCATAGAACAGACAGAATACTGGAATAGATGCAGCAACAGATACCAATCATTTTTTTTTATTCGTATTTTTTTACTAACTTATATATTTTCATAATCAAAATCAGAAAAAGATCACAGTCAGACAGTGGGTGTTTTGGGATTTTTCTGTTCACCATCTATGTATCGATATTTCATCCAAATAATGCACAGATTCTGAAATTATAGACAGTTAAATATATTCATATATTATTAATCAAAGGTGAATTTGCGAAGAAAATGTCACAGCATAATTGACATATGCAAGAAATCGTCTATGTGTTCATATAATAATAACTAATTTTTTTCACTTGTTTTTAATAAATTCAAATAATATTTAGATAGACTTTATTTTGAATCATTTACAAAAAATAAAACAATACACAAAAAAGCAACGGCTCTTGAAAGTGAACAAAACCTAAAAATAAGTTTATAACGTATCAAACGCGTTCACTCACCAAGAAGAAGAAAACAAATCACAATATACATAAATATTAACGGTTGGTCATTATTCAGGCGTCTAACTTCATAATCAAATTATGTGCAATTCCTTACAAACAAAGTAGTGAACTGAATAGCGGCTGTGCGTGTGATGAGTGAGACGGCATGTAAACAAACAATCGAGAAATTATTTCTAGATGAAAATGTGCAAACCTATGCCGGCGTTTCGTGCTTAAAATATAAAAAACAAACTATATTGTGATTGCCATGAAATCGACTTATACCTGTATACCGTATAACGCCTACACAATAATGGATAGGATAGGATTCACATATTTATCCCGGGGGAGAGGAAAGCCGATAAGACGGCTTATCCATATGGCGAACCACAGCCTCTCGTCCAGTTACCATTCCAAGTCGGGTGTGGGATTAGTTTTACAGTATTGTTTGTTTTCGGAAGCATGGACTTGGTGGTGGAGGAAGCCGTACCGGTACCTAACCGACCAGCGGTTACGTGAACCACCCAACGACGGCGAGGAGTCCAGCAATCCTCTCGCACATAACCATCCCTGCATAGGATTCGAACCTGCGAACCCACGCAGAGTAATTCTGTAATTAGAGGTGCGGTGGCGAGCGTATTCCTAACGCTTAGCCCGTTGAGCCACACCGCCGCGTAAACATCGATTGTCAGTTCTCAGGGTTTACAGAAATGAACTTTTCAGATTCTTTTCAAATGATTACTGATATTCCTTATATACAGGTACCGTAAATGGGATTGCTCGACTACCGGTAAATCTGACGTTACACCGATATCATACCTGCATCTGTGCACGAATAGTAGGCTGGTATTTTTTGCACGCTGTTGTTTTTACGGCAATTAGTTGTTGTTTCTCCGGCCTTTGACCCCAGAAAAATTCTGCTGTATCTGCCGGTGCGGTAACTATTGCAAAATTTCTGATGTTTTTTCGAAGCTTTTCACGGGTTGGCGCTTACACCTAATTCACACGTTCCCTACATTCATTTTGAATGAATATATTCTACAACCCGACATTTAGGTACGTGGGCCTAACGGTACGAAATTATATTCCATGGTGATCTGGAAATAATTTTTAAAAACTGCAACAAAATACAACTCTTCGAAAAATGATCATGGAGTTATGTAATTTATACCTAAATTCCGAAAATACCAACAAAAACTGACAAATAGTTAGCAAAACAACGAAAACGAGCCGTTGGATGTTTCCCCGGAATGGTATTCCTGATGATATCAGAGAATCCTCTAATAGATGTTTTAAATTTAGGTATATGAGGTATCTTATTGATAAACATTAAGTCTGGGAAAAAATGTTTTGTATTTGACGGAATCTTCACCCGTTATAGGTTCAAATTTCAATGCCCTAAATTTCAAAAAGTAGTATTCCATTTTAGATGTCATTAACTATGACAGTCTTGGAATATTTTTGGTATGCATCTTCATCTTTACAAATATAAACTGATTAAAAGCTCTTTTTTTTCAGGGCCATCTTACGTGTCCTCTTGATCTAGTAGTCATCCATATAGCCCATTAATTGTAGATCTTGCCCTTTACATTTGTGCTCTGGGTCATGGTTTGTAACATCAATAAATTATATGCCAACTGTTATATATTCTACATTTGCACCCTTGCAAAAAATTTATGGTAATTACAGACTTCAGTGAATCCTATTTAATGCTCCTTAATAAGTCTGTGTTAAAATTCCTTTGTACATGTAGCATTTGTAACTTTGTATAGTTCATTTTGGCAATTATACTGTGTTTATTTTGATGTTTGGTGACAATAAAATCACTCGAATTTCATCTTCGCATGTAAATTTATTGCAATTTAACAATTGCTATTATTACTTAATTCAATATCCACCCAAATGATACCATCTAATGGTATATTTTGACATCCCATTAAAATTGGAAATTTTTTCATGCATTTATTTTCATCAAATGTCTGATTGCATCTGATATAATTGAAGATACTGAATTTGTTCATAAAACTAAATGACTGATTGTGCTAATCATATTACTTTCAATTTGCCTTCCAGTAAACCCTGAGTATATTCTTCTTTGCAATTATGTTATATTATGGATAAGTTCTTCAACCCAATCATTTATAATATCTCCTTACTTTACATTTTACACAATTTTGCTGCCTCATTTACTGTATAAATATTGCTATGTGTTTGGTACACTCATGCCCTTCATGTCTTATAATGGTTCAGTCTTTGTCTCTAGCAAGTTACAGTGAAGATAAAGGTTATTTTTCATTTCTTTGTTAATAATTATCAATATTGCCCATAAATTCTTCTGAAATATTAGTGGCGATGTTTTTGTCTGTAATAGCCACATCTATTATACCGTAGTAGTATATATTTACGATTATACATACATATGTTCTGATGATCATCTTTTGCTTTATATTGTATATTAGTTGCCCCAAATGTGAATATTTGAAAATGTCATAATAATTACCCTTTTTGAATTACCGTAGTCAAAAACTTTGATATCACTGTGTGCAAAAGTGTATCAAGCATACAACCTCCCTGATTACACGATTGTTATTTATTAAAATTCCAGGAATAAAAATTAAGTATTCTGCCGTGGTTCGCCATATGGTTAAGCCATCTTATCGGCTAACCTCTCCTCCGGGATAAATATGTAAATCCTATCCTATCCTGTTTTTGATATTCTGGTGGAATCTTAAAACATTTGACAATGCTAATAAGGCTAAGAATTAAAGTCCAAAATGCCCCTTACATTGATCCCCCGTGTCCTTTCCTCTTTGATTGAATATAAATTTTGTAAAAAGTATTTTTTATTTTAATTTCAATGATAAAGAAGTTAGTTATATTACTAAGTTTCAATAACTTCTTAGTTTGGTTACAAATTTTCGCCATGTTGTTTAAAACGCATGATCCACTGTATATATATATATATATTTTTTATATATACATATATTTAGAATGTTTACATAAAGAATTATTTATTATAGTTTAAACTTTAAAGCCGACTGATATTATTGGTGCAACTAAGTTTTCAACTATATCTCATGTTGACATCATTTTTCACCATATTATTCTTACCCGTTCAGGTTATATCGTGTTTATTTTGAGTCCCAATTCATTATTGGGTATAATCTCTTTACATTTATATTATTTTTTGTTCCTAAAGTTTGTAAAAATATTACTGGTTTAACTTTTTCATTAAGTCATCTTAAAATTTAAATCCTATTCATACAAGCGAAATAGGTGGGAGTTGACCTCGATGACCCGCATGGTCGTATCGCTCCCTCCTGCCATACCAAAACAATTTTATTGTTGCTACTTTTTTACTGTATTGATGACTTCATTTTTTGGTTGACAAATTAATAAATCTCTCTCTCTCTCCCCAAGCATCGATTCCATTGTTTACTTCCGTATCAATGACCAATCAACAAAAAGTTAACGATGACGTAATAAATAAAAAAAACTTTCAGCCGCTTAGACACTTACGGTAATTCGCTCAGATATTTAAGCATGGGAGAGAGAGGTTTTATTATTTCTCCAACCAATAAATACAGTCATCAATAAAGTAGCAACAGCAAAAAAATTGTTTTGGTATAGACAGAAGGGAGCGATACGACCATACGAAGTCAGCTCCCACCATATACGCTTATGTGATTAAGATTCACACTGAGAGATGACCAGGACAAAAATTATATTAATGTGTTGAGAATATGCCTGAACGTGAAGAATAATTAAATGCAACTCAGTGATACACAGTATTGAAAAAAAGTAACGCACTGGATAGCGCAAGAGGAATTTTATTCATAGGTTTGTCATAATCTGAAAATGTTTTAAATTGCATGAACTTTATATATATATATATATATATAACTCTATTACGGTAGTTAAACGGACCTGCCATAATTGCAGTACTTAAGCGGACGTCGTTCCTGTGTCCGTATCAATGTTTTTAAATACGTGCTTGGAGAGCGCGAGAGCCGTTGACAACTACGGAGAAAAAGAGTCAACATAATCCTCTCGATAACAGATATAAAATTTTTGTCCGCTTAATTCGTCCACTTAATTCAGACCACCCAATGTTTTAGCCTATTTCGGCACTAAGCCGGACCCCTCTTATATGTCGCTCTGGATGTCTACATAAATGATGTTGCTTTTATTTTAATGCGCATTTTAAAGCGTATGACCTCGCTTCAATTTCCGATGGAATCGAACGATTTAGCAATATTTATCACAAAAAATAGCATTTCTTTTTCAATGTTCCGTCTTTCGTGCAAGGGAGATGCACTGTGTTTGGTTTTGGAAATATTCTTCTATATCAAAAAATACTCAAAATGCAACGTGAAGGTAGACAAATCGAAACAAATTGATCCAAACGTGTTATATATTTGAAACTGAGAAATACACAGAGCATATCACAAATGTTCGCCTATTCCAACCCTATGGTGTAACATATGGATTAAACAGATGCTATGTTGTGAGTGTCAAGATATCAATACCAAGTCAAAATTATGACATTCCAATAATATTGATAAACATTACACAAAATATATCTCAAATGTCAACTTATCCGACCACCTAAGGGTGGCATACAACAATTGAAAAAAAAATTCTTAAATCATATTGAGAAACATCTCACAAAATATATCTCAAATGTCCACCTATCCGGCCACCTAAGTGTGGCGCCATGTTCAGAATAATGTTTCTGAACGGAAACGCATCGCAGCGTCATTACTTCAAAAAATATAAGAATATTTTAACACACTTGCTAAGAAAATCGAAACAGCAGTACTACCACAATATTCTAGTCAACAACAGAGGAGACGTCAAACGCACATGGCAAACCATCAATGAGATTATAAAAATTAAGACAAGAGAGGTCCCCACCGTCTCAGAATTAAAATTGGAAAATGGTACTACTGTGACAGACCCCGTCTATGTGGCCACTGAATTCAACAAATTCTTCTCTTCTATAGGGAAAAAACTCGCAGATGAAATCCCACATAGTACCAAATCAAATGCTGAATTCCTGGGTGTCCCTTCACAGAACTCTTTTTTTCTTGAGTCAACATCACCTTTAGAAGTTCTCTGTGTAATCAGGGACCTAAAAAAGGGTAAAGCGGTTGGACCGGATGGTATTTCCTCTTATTTTTTGAAATTAGTTGCTGATATCATATCACCAGCTTTGAGTAATTTCTTCAATTCGTCATTCAATTTAGGTATATTTCCTTCTTCATTAAAACTTTGCTAGAGTTATACCAATTTTTAAATCCGGGAAAAAAACAACCCCTTCAAATTATAACCAATCTCGTATTTTATCTTCAATTAGCATCATAATTGGAAAAGTTGTTGTATACCAGAATGATGAGCTATTGTTACTAAATTCAGTTTGGATCAACAAATGTCAATTTGGATTCCAGACCAAAACACTCCACCAGTCCATCGCTATCCTTGCATCTGACAGTCATTTATATATGATTAAAATAGACAAAGGCGAAGTATGTTTGTTGTGCCTTCCTAGATCTAAAAAGGCTTTGATAACCGTAGACCACCCATTCTCATTCACAAGTTAAGACATTACGGTTTAGGGGTAACGCAGGAAAACTGTTATCCGATTACCTGACAGGCCGGTATCAATTGTTGAAATAGGTCCCCATAGATCCCCAATGTTACCATCCACTGCGGAATTGTTCAGGGCTCAGTAGTTGCCCATAGCGTTCTTATGTTTCATAAACGACCTTTCCAACAGCTCGAATCTTTGAGTAAACTATTTGCAGATGATGCATGCTTGCTCACCAGCGCGAAGGATCCGACTACACTTCAGCTAAATATGAACACTGAAATAAATAAAATTATGAATGGA